GTCCAGACTGAGGAGGAGTGTTACAATATGGCAGTCAGGGTGACAGATGTAGCAGGAGGAAGTCAGGTGATGCGGAGAATCCGCAACACAAGAGCTTTCGGATTGCAACAGTAGTTAACCAACTCAATCAACACACACGTATTGGTTCCACCCCTTGATACCTATTCCTCCGGTAGTTCTACCTTCCGACAATCAGGCGATACTTTTCAACTCCTTCCTATATTAGAATCTATAGTAATAAAGAGATAGATAAAATAGCTAAATAAGTAGCTAGATAGTATAAGAGCCTAAATAAAGTATATAAATTCTATAAGGCCTATAGCTATTAAATATATACTTTTTAGTCTATAAAGAAGAAAATAGACTAAGATAAGACTAATAAGAAATAGATAATATAATAGAAAAATAGTAAGTATAGCTATAAGTACTATCTATATACTATAAGGCCTTATAAGTAATACCTAGTTAGCTATAGATAAAGGAAAAAAGCTCTTTCTATAGTAGTAGTATAGATAAAGATAGGAAAAATTAGGCTAAACTCTTACTTATATAGGATAAGGCCTCTTAATATACCTATAGATAGGTACTAAGGGTATACTAAGTAAAGGAAAATACTTTACTATATACTACTTAACTACCCTTTTTACTAAAAGAGTAAATAAAAGTACTAGAAGAACTACTTACTAAATAGTCTTAAGGAGATACTCTTTAATATAGAGAAAATAATAACTATAGTAAGATAACTACTAATACTTAGCCTACTAGTTTAATTTAGTAGGGTAGTAAAGCGGATCCTATCTAAACCTAAGAAGGAGATAGATATAAGATAACTAAGTATAAGCTTATAGATATAGTATATAAAAAAGAGAAGGATATATAATAAAATAGTATAAAAAGCAAAGAGCGAAAGTAGGGGTATATAGGGTAGTAGGAAGGCATACGGCCATATAAATAACATAGTAGCTAGATAGTTTTCCCGGCAAGACCCGCAGGGTTAAATGGAGTATGATTCAAAAAAAAAAAAAAAAAAAAAAAAAGCTCTCGGACAGGGTCATCCAATTTTCATCGCGATTGAGACATCATTTTATGATAGAAGACAGGATTGAATCGAAAAAAAAAAAAACCAATTAGACTCATGACTGTGTATATGTTGTTTTCGAGACGCGTCAGATGCAGTAATTTTTGTTGACTGCTGGTCTTGATCACCCACGATCTTGATGCCATCTCGCAAAGGGTTCCTCATGGGACACAAGCAACGTAGAAACCAGACACTTCAAAAGACACATCAAACCACAATAGACAGGCATGAATAATTATTGAAGCTGGGCTAGTCTTTACGACTCCCACGCCCATTCTTCGTCCATAATGTTTTGCAACAACTCGGCTCTCCCAGCAGCAGACTCCTAATATCTGTCATATCCACCTCTGCCACGACCACCTCCTCCTCTTCCACCACGGCCGCGATATCCGCCGCCATTGTTATCTCTGCCACCGTTGTAGCCGCCACCTCCGTATCCTCCATTGTTGTAGCCGCCGCCGTTGTTATAGCCGCCACCATAACCACCGCCTTGATGATGTTGAGGAGGAGGAGGGACAGCCATACCAGGCATCCAGCCAGGTGGAGGCGGTGGAGGCAGACCACCACCGTTTCCACCAAAGTGTGCAGCAGCTTGTGCAGCAAGACCAGGAGGCAGGTTCTGGAAGCCACCGGGAGGAGGGGGCGGTGGTGCGCCGTAGCCATTACCACGACCATAACCATCGTTGCGAGGGCCATTGTTATAGCTTCCGTTTCCTCCACCTCTGCCACCTCTGTAGCCACCATTGTTTCCTCCGTATCCATTGTTGTTGTAGCCATTGCCACCACCAGCGTTGTAATCGATACGGCCACGACCGCCTTGGTCATATAATGGAGCTCCTCCAAACTGTCTACCTGACTTTTGCGACTTTTGCCTTGTTGACTCAATGTCGCTGTAGTCAAGAACAGGGTTGGGAGGTATTAATCCAGGCAAAAGCATGCTCTTGTGGATGGTGTTGGTAGGAGGCATGACGTAGTGGACAGTGATACTTTGATCGTCATCAATATCCTGGAATGGTGTGGCACCAGGAAGAGGGAATGTGAGCGAGGATGAGGGAAGGTAGTCTTCGTTCTTCTCGACCTTACCAGCCAGACCTTCAGACACTTGAGGGTTCAAGCTGAAATCACCAGCATTGGCCTTCTTGGAGTAGAAATTTGTAGCTACGTCCTCGTAAAGAGGATGTTTTGTGCTGAAGAGCAACGCGTCGTGACCGAAAGCGTTGCGAGACTTCTCGTCTTCAGTAAGAAGGGGATACTTTGTGGCCATGGCATCGAGCAACCGTTTCGCATCGATGAAAGGCAAGAGGGCAATACCCTGCCAGGCAAACTTCTTGCCATTGAGATCTACCACAAAGTCTTCTGGGTAGAAGTCCTTGATGTCGGAATCTTCGTCAGTCATGAGAGGGTGGAAGACGGCAGGCAGAACGTGATTACTGCGAGCCGGCATGACACCCATGAGTTGTTCGTAAGGCCTAAATGGCTTGCCCTTCACAAAGTTAAGGGTCATCTTCTCAAGATCAACAAAATCAGCTGCGAAAGGAGCGTAGTGATGAGGGTAGTACCAGGTCCAGCTGGCACATCCCTGGAAGTAGTAAAGTAAGACCCAAGCAAGACCTTCGACATAATCGCGAGCGACCTGGTGACGGAAGTCAATGTCTCCAGCCGGAACATGGAACTTCTGCTCGTAGTAACGGTCGGCGTAACCAGGCTCCCAGAGCATGACAGTGTCCTCGGCGGGAGCATCAGGGTCCTTGGCCGGACCATCTTGAGCAGGATCAGGAGAATTGCGGCCTGGAGTTCCAGAGTCGTTATCATCATCTTCGACCTTGCGTTTGCCAAGAACCGAAGCAGGAGATGTCTCGGTCGAAGCACCAACAGTGCTCATCAATTGATCAACAGCATTCTTCTGAGTTTCAGCGGGAGTTCCGTTCTTTTGAGCCATCAGCTTCTCTTTCAAGACAGCTGCAGCGCTCTTGTTGGCGACGTTGGCCTTGTTGACAACCATATCATGCGTCATGTAACGAGGGTCGGCACCAGTTTGAGCAGAACCAGGGGCAAACGTAGGCAGAGCGTTGATATCGGGTATCATTTCACCACGCTTGCGACTGCCCATGTACTGACCAACAGGAGTAGCGGGGCCATCTCCCGTCTCAGGACCACCAGATCTACGAGCGCGCTTGTTTGCCTGTTGAGCTCTACGTTTGGCGGCAGCCTCCTTGCGCTCCTCGACCTCCTTTCTGCGCTTGAAAATAGCATCTTCTTGCTTGGCGAGACCTTCAAGAATGAGCTGTGCGCGAGCGAGATCAACATGGCCGTCCTTGGTGACATAGCCTCCCATGGTGGGAATATTGTCTTTCCAGATGGCGATCAATGTGTCGATACCCTGTTCACGAATGTCCAGAGATGGCAGATGCGGCAAGAAATCGTTTCCAACGAAGAAACACATGAAAACCCAGTCATCCAGAGCGCGTTCCAGGTCGAATTTGAAGGGTTGGTTAGGAACGCTCATTTCGACAGCCAGGTACTCGCGCAGAACAGCCACGTGCAGCCAGATGAAGGGCTTCAAGGGTGCACCACCCTTCTTCTCACCAAAGTCGCCCTCCTTCTTGGCTGGTACACCCTTGCACTCAGCAGCCATATGTCCAGGCTGATTGCAAATGCGACAGCATCCGGGCTTTGTGTCGTTGGCGAAGACGTCTTCACGCAAGATTCGGAAATGGGGTTCGTGAGTAGCCAGACCCAACATGATCAAGTCGGCATCCAGGCCGTACATGACGTGGCGGGTGTTAGGATCGTGCTGGGATGAGTTTCTTTGAGAGCGCACGAACTGCATGATCTTGTGCTCACCCTCTCCAGGAACAGTCGCATCGGAGATGATGACCTTGAGCTTCTCCCAAGCAGGGTCGGTGTTGAGCTTGTAAGAGCACCAGTAGCGCAGACTGGCGGCTAGGATGTCCATGAAGGGAGTACCAGGAGTGATGGCGTTACTGTCCCAGGTCTTCTTGGGCTTGCCGTCACCCTCGGGCTCCTTGCCTTGAGAACGGAGCAGCTTGAAGAATTCCTCCTTTTCCTTGTCCTTCTCAGCAGCTTCCTGGGCAGCACGGAAACGTCTTGAACGTTGCTGGTTCATCTTTGCTCTGGGAGCGACACCATCGACGGCGATCATGAGAAGCTTGCGGGGTCTGACCATGTTGACAACACGCTCGGTATATTCAAAGACGGCCAACATCATGTCCTCCTCGGTCTCAGGTGGAGGGCGATCCTCGGGGTGAGAACAAGGATGGACGATACCGTTCATGTCGAGGTAGAGGTTGTCGAACTCTTCGCCATTGGGATTGGGCTTGCGCGCATCGATGGGGATCTTTTCACCGTCGACATCTATGGGATGGTCCTCGATGACAGGCGAGATGATCTTGGGGTACTTTTGCGACAGCCATCTGAACAAGGCGGGAACACCCATGTTGGCGTGGTGGTCGGGCGAATTTCTTGGACGGTATTGGTGATCTCTAGACGGAGCTCATCGGGGTTTGCAGATGTGACGATCTGACTGGTATCGCTAAGTCAAAAAAATGGCAAAGAAACAGGTCAAGTACAAGGTTGCGACCAGGATGACGCGAGGGATAGAATGGCCAGAAGGGTGGGAAGGCACGAAGATGGAAACAAAGCAGCTTCTTCAGCAGAGACTGCCTTGACTTGAACGCTTCATCGACTCGCGGAGTCGCTCTGGCCCTCGCCGCGCGCCACTAAGAATTGGCAATTGCGGGAGGGCGGCCTTCGGAGTTAAGATGTGTCTGACTCTGTTTGTGCTGCCTCGTATCGATACACGACTCGTGCTCAGTGGAATAGGAGCTGTCCTTTTTGGTGACATGGTCATTGTTTTCAGTAACTTCGACTTGCGAATAGATGGCGTGAAGGAAATTCGAAAATGTTGAAGGCGCCAATCAAGCAAACAGCCGGCGACACTATCGCAACCCTGTCGTCGCGCCTGTCGTCGGCCACTCTCCTCGAAGACAGACGCGCTGCCATCCTCGGTCTCCGCTCCTTTGCCAAACAATATCCCGCTTCCGTCGCCAGTGGTTCCCTCCGCGATCTGATTGCTGTCCTTCGCACCGATGGTCTGGGTCTGACAAGAGATGGAGAGGGAGATGTCGACACGGTGCGCCTGGTCCTCGAGACACTGCTCATGCTGTTCGAGCCCGACCGTGAGAGTGCCGAGGCCAGTGAGGACATTGCTCTGTGGTTGGCCGACGAGTTCAGTCAGGTATGTCTATACCCTTGCATAAGACATGGTTTGCGCGAGACTGAGCTAAGGCCCAGCGTCAAGACAACATCACCATTCTGCTAGACCTGCTCGACCAACCCGACTACTACGCTCGCATCTACTCAATCCAACTTCTTACCGCCATCTCGACTTCCAGGCCTGAGAGAACTCAAGAGTGTATCCTCCAAGCCCCTCTTGGAACTGCCAGACTGGTCGGTGTCCTGGACGACGGAAGAGACGCTGTGCGAAATGCTGCCCTGCTGCTGCTGGTCGATCTGACCAATGTCTCGCAAACAGAGCTGCAGAAGCTCATTGCCTTCGAAGACGCTTTCCAACGCACCTTCAACCTCATTCAGTCCGAGGGCGGTCTCGCAGAAGGCGGCATCGTAGCTCAGGATTGTCTCTCCTTGCTTGCCAACCTCATCCGTCACAGCCACTCGAATCAGGCCTTGTTCCGCGAATCTGGCTGTGTTCCGCGCTTGATAGAGTTGATCAAGCAGGCTTCGACTGTGCCTGACGATGAGAACGACTTCAGCCGTAGCGATCGTGAGAAGAACGCCTGGGGTCTGCTTGCTGTCTTGCGCCTCTTCCTCGAGCGAGGTGAGTTGGGTACCAAGCAGAACCAGGATGTCTTCTGGCGTAGTGGCGTGCTACACCTCGTCTTGACTCTGGCATTCGATGAGAGAGCTGCTCCGCACATTCGCATGAACGCTCTCAAGACTTGCGCCGATGCCATTATCTACAACTCTCCGTTGCAGGAGGCTTTTGCTTCGTTCCAAGTACCTGTCACTGCAGAAGCCCCTGCTCCCGTAAATGGTGTTGCCGCCAAAGTTCAGCCCAAGGTCATGTATGTCATCGAGGCTCTGCTCAATCTCGTGCTTTCCGCTTCGCCCTCTCGTACTATTGACCTGCGATCCGCGGCCTGTTCCCTGATCAAGGCCTACTTCCATGGTCACGATCGGATCAAGCTCCACTTCCTTCAGCGAGCTATTGCTGGGTATACTGAAGGCGAGGAAGAGGATATCAACATTCTCAGCACACTCTTGAATGGTCCTCAGCTCGGTCCCGCCACTCCCGATCCACCTCGCTTTGTCTTTGCCAGTGACATCACATGCCAGCTTCTGTTCAACTTGCAAGATGCCAAATCAATGCTCATGAGCGTCTCTGAAGGTGATGCTGACAAGGGTGAAGATGTCATCACGGCCATTCAAACTCTCTCTGGCCACCTTCTCTCATCTTTGCAAAACGACCTTGACCCTCAGATTTCTGTTTCATACCTGAACTTACTCATAACTTTCCTTTTCGACGAACCCTCAGCTGTCAACGACTGCTTAGCCGAAGGTTCTTCTCTTATGGGCGTTTTGATCGATAATGCTCTTCTTACTGCAAACTCGCAAGTTGCTGCTGATCCTATAAAATCCCTATTACCTGGTCTCTCGGCTATCTTGCTTGGAACGATCTACGAGTTCAGTACCAAAGACAGCCCCATCCCTCGACGAACACTTCATCCTCTCTTGACCTCCAAACTTGGTCGGCAAAAATACTTCGATGCTCTGTTGCAATTCCGTCAAAATCCCATCATTCGCGACTCCGAGTTCCTTGCCCCTGAGATCGAGGGCGCTGCTATCCTCTTTGGTGACGAGTTTGTTGACTGGTTCAAGGATGAGTATGGTCGTCTCAAGCGAGTAATAGATCGCGAACCTGGAATTGAGGTCGTTCGTCCTTCGGACGTTGGCGTGGATCGTGACGTTCTGGATGACTTACGGGAGAAGATCAAAGCTCGTGATGAAAAACTACAACAGATCGAGCAAGACGACCTGGCTGCTAAGCAGAAATCAGACCAAGCCGAAGCAGAGCATCGCCATCAAATACAGAGCTTGCAATCATCGCAGCGATCCATGGAAGCCGAGGTCGAACGCGTCAAGCGTATTAATGAAGCCCTGCAACGCGATCATGACGTTGAGCTTCAACGAGTATCTGGCGAACTACGGAGTCAACTTGCCCAATTCCAACTCGAAAGCCGCAACAACCTTCAAACACTCCGCGATCAGCACAAACAGGAGCTAGAACGGTTGAAGGGTCAGCACGGTGCTACTCTAGCCAGCGAGCGATCGCTATGGGAAGACAAGGCACGCAAAGCTGCCGAACAAGCCACTCGCGACCAGAGAGGAGCTGTAGATAAGGCTGCAGAAGAACATCGAAAAGCTACCGAGCAGACTGCAGAGGAGCAACGCATGCGCGCCGATCAAGTCGCTTCTGAGCATCGCAAGACCCTTGATGATCTCAATGCTATCGTACAACAGAAGGACAAGACAATCAAAGACCACGAGGCTACCATCTCTGATCATGCCCGCAGCGAGAAGATTCTCAAGCAAGAACATTCTGCCACAACAGCCACCCTCGAAAAGCTTCGTTCAGAGTTTGATACAACCAAGTCTGACAAGGCCAAGCTGGAAAAAGAACTCGAGACAACGAAGACGCTGCAGAAGGATCTCCAACAAGTCAACACGAAAGCCATGGCTCGTGTCAAGACCCTCGAGGAAGAAGCCAAAGCCCGAGAAACCAAGATCCAAACGCTCAACTCGGAAATCTCTTCCCTGCAATCCGATCTCGAAGCCAAGCAACAGAAGATCTCTGAACTCGAACAAGAAGTCTCAGGTCTCAAGTTGGAACTTGAAGGCGAAAGAAAGGGATACAATGACCTCGAAACCGAACTCAACGATCTCAAGACCGCACACAGCAAGCTCGAGACCTCGAACAAGGACTTTGAAACCCAAATCGCCGAACTCAAATCAAAATCTACACCTCCCGATTCTTCAGACAAGCTCAAAGCATTGGAAAAGGAACTGGCAGATACCAAGAAGAAACTCACTGCCGCCTCCAACGACTCCAAGAACAAGAAAGCTTCCAACAATGACACCACAGCAAAATTGGAGAAACAAGTAGAAGCACAGAAAAAGGAAATTGAAAAGGAAAAGGAAGAAGCAAGCAAAGCGAGAACCGAACTCGAAGATATGTTGATGGTGCTCGCGGATCTTGAAGAAAAGACCAAGGGCTACAGAGAAAAGTTGAGGAAGCATGGAGAGGAGGTTAGCGAGGATGAGGATGATGACGACGAAGATGAAGATGATGACGATGAGGAAGAGGAGTAGAACTGCTCAGAATAGCATTGTTGATCAAACCTCCTATTCCCTATTGTCGTATGCGATCATGTTGGTTTGATACAGAATCCAAGGAATGGTCGTTTAACTGCCTAGCATCTAACAACGGAACACTTCACAATGCCATTCTGGTCAACAAGATCTGGTACGAACGAGCTGTTGGCTTGCTATAGAGCTCACCACCAAATCCGCACCGAGCATTGGCAAAAATCGAGAGCAGTCGACGACCTCATCACGCCAACTTGATCCGCACCCTTATCCTCACACACTCAAATGCGCGTTTTGATTGTTCTCCAGCTGAATTTAACAAGTTTGTGCAGGATTGTCGATATATTTAGTCAATTCGAATCTCGTAGAACGTGTCCCTAATACCTACAACCTGTATACTTCCGTTCCTGGCAACTCGCGATATCGAGCAGACCCGCCGTATGGCCGCAAAGCTCGAAGAAATGATCATCTGCGATCTTGGACATGTGATACCAAGAACATCGCAGTCTTCGCCCTTGAATTATCTGATTCGAGGAGAATCCAATCACTTTCTCCAGTTTATCGAGCAATGTACTTCTCTCAAGAGACTGATGCTAGGCAGTACAACCGATCTCCTAGTTTCTGAAGAATTATTTGCATACCTTGCTGGCCTTCAAACACTCGCCTTTCGTTCCTGGTTCAATGCTTGCGTAGAACTCTCGTTCCATCCTTGCGAGATCCTAGGATCTCGAGTATTCGTTAACATTGGATACAACTGGTGACCCCTGTCAACTCATCATTGGGCTAAAGACCACGAGCCTGCGAATGCGTCAGCAAGCTACGGCTAGCCCGGACTGACGATCCTCTGCTAACGGGCAGGAGTATATACGCGCAAAATAACCTCGAACGGACGACGCGCTCGACCGATATCAACTCCCGGCTTCGCTTTGTGCTGGCTTGAGAAAAGCAAAATCTCCGCTCAGTTCACCACCGCCATCACTGCCGCAACCACCACCGCTACCTTGGCAGTCAGGGAGCTGACCACCTTGTCAACGATGCAGATACAGATGCAATCCAGCACTAGTCCTTATATAGCAGAAGTTGCGAGCGGTTCGTGAGGGCTGTGGCGGGGTATCTTTTGTGGAGAGCGTACACACCGTATAAGCCCTATACCAGAGCCCGCAGATGTGCTTTCCTTAGCCAAATCGATTCTTTTCATGGGGAAAGTTTGACGGTGACATCTGATCTCCAGATAACTCCTGGTTTCCAATGCTCAGTCGAGGGCATACCCCGCTTGGAGGCTTGAACCTTCGATCGACAAGAAAGATCTATGCTGCGCGGTGCGTTGTGTATAAGGATTGCAGCATGTTCTTCGGGAAAAGACAAACATCGATGGTGTACGATCACTACACTTGCACTTCTTTCTTGACTACCTTGATATCAGAGAACTTGAGACAATTTCAATCAGATCAGGCAACATGGGACCAAATTCGGCCGACACAAAGATGAACGTCCAGGAGCTGCAAGCCGTGCCATCGCTGGAAGAAGGAACCAGAGCAATCCCACGAATCCCCCTTGATCTACGAAAGCACAAAGCAAGCATCGCCATCCATTTCTCAATCATTGCATTCTCCAGTGGTATCCTTCCGGTTGTCTTGTACTTTGCACTGTTATACGGAGCTTCGCTGTCACCGCACTTGACTTTTACAATCATCTTTCCAGTCATCGGGGTCCCAGCGTTGTATGGTTATATCGTGTGCACGTACAGACTCATCCGACATGAAGAGTATCGACCCCTCGGTTACAGCAAGTGGTGGCCATTCGACTACTTCCACATCAACTTCCTCGCTGGAATCGTGTACATCACCGTCTTGCTCACGCTCGGAAACACCGAGCAACGCACCAACCTTCGCCTCCTGTCTCTATTCAAGCCATTGGTCGTGTTTCAACTGTCTGGTCAGTTCATCGTTCTAAGGCTCATGGCCCTTGTCGGCCTGCGCACTCCGTTCCGAATGTCCTCCTATCCCATGGGCTCGCCCATACCTTCTGGCGCGGCCGTGGTGGCAGAGGACATTGTAGCCGTCGACGGCAACCGCAAGAGCGAATTCAGAACCGCATGGCAAGCTCGTCTCGCCGCCAGCCCCATCGCAGCTGCAACCGCCACTCGTCTAGACTGGATTTGGGGCATTTCAGGTCTCGTGTTCGGTGGTGCTATAATGGCCATAGTCTTCACACTCGAAAATCCAGAGATCGCATTCGCCATCAGTAAGTTTTCCCAAGAAATTCTGGTGCTTTTTTTTGGCAAAGGTGATGAAAATACTGATTGGAATTCTTTTGTATCTAGGCTTTATTGTTCCTTGGGTTTGGGGAGGATTGATGGCTTGGATTACAATCAAGATAGCTTCCAATGCGACAGCTCTTGAAAAGCAGGAATATGGTCGCTGGGCTACAGTGTAAGGCAAGAACAATTAGCAGAGGTCCGAGAGTGACTTGTGCATTGCTTTTCTTTCCTGCCAATACAAGATATGGACGATTTCTGCTCAGTGCTGATCGTGGATGGATTGGATGTGCGCGCTATAGGTAGAATCAAGATTAGAAGGACTTCCTCTTCCAACTCTGAACATTCTTAGATTATAGATAGATGATCGGATGTCCAAAAGTGGCAGGATCTTTGATGTAGCTACCATGTTCCTGCCAGATAGCGGTCTTGAACCCCCTTCAATATCCATCACCTATCATCCAGTCACAGCACTAAATTCTGCTTTGATCTAACAGCAGTTCGCCGATAGGCAACAACTCATCGCTCTATAGGGGACCAGTCTAGTCACAGGATAGCTCCCGATACATATAACTCCTTAGCTCTACATGCAAGAGCGAGCTTTTTGGTGCCCTGGTTGCGGTAAAATCCCGCCATCGGGACCCATCGCTGGTGCTCACTGCTGACTTGAGAAAGAGCTGAAGACCTGAGAAAAGACATGTTGAACAAAATACTCCTGTGCAACGTATCCTAAGCTACCTCGTTTGGTATGAGACTTCTATATTGTTTTGCTCCCTTCCGTCTCCGTTCTCTGTATCTTTCATAGCCTGCGACAATCGAAGAACGAGGCACGCGGTCCAACGCGAGATACAGGTCGCCCAGAGCTAATGTCTGCGCTCTCAACCGCCCAACGTCGACAGCATCAGACCCAAACCATGGAGCCCACAACGACCAAGGCCCGGAAATCAACGACGTGGTAGGTAGGAGAGCATTATGGTAGTAAGTACCAATACCGCCAAAAGATGCAAAGGTAGGCACCTGGGCAAAGTCGGGCAGGCTGGTGCCTCTTGTGACAAGAACGCGATCGAGCTTTCGTCTCTTGACTGCCTCAATCACCGCCTGGCGTACGACCGGAGACGGACCGACACACCAAAACATGAGTTCTCCTCTGCCGGTAAAGCTCAATTGGCCACTTCGAGGGCCTCTCTCGATCTCGCGGGCACCGAGATGTTCCATAGGTATGACTAGAGTAACTTTGCCTTGCTCGTATTCTGGTTGCAGCAGATCTGCATGTAATGCTGTACCTTCACGGGAAATGTGTAGATGTCCGCTGTTGAACGCGAACTCTATCGTTCGCTGCCTTGATTCGAGAGGCTGCTTTGCAAAATATCTGCACAGCGACAGAAGTGCAGCAGGGCCGTTCTCTTGGACAAATGTATTGCCATCGGTATGACTTTCATAGATGATTCGTTCATCGATTTGTCCCTTGAGTATGGCAGATAGGTTCCGAGTGGTTGTGGCTTGGATCTCAGCGGACACTGAAATACTAAACAATACGTGGTGGTCTGCCTTCTCTTTCAGCAGAGCAGCTTCTGTAGCACCCACAAAAACAGCCGGTATTCTGTAATGAACTCCTTGGTGAGGCTCGAAGTATGACTGGATGTATTCTCGGTCCACATCAAACATGATCACCATACCAGCGGCTCCGCCTTGTCCTGCGGCGATCAGATCTTGGTTCAGAGGTTCATCTGCTCCTCCTGGGCGGTCGTAGTTAGACAAGAGGTCGCCAGTCACATCGGGCGTCTTGTAATAGCTAGGCAGAGACGCCATGGCGTAAGGTACTGATTTGGCAGGAAGGTCTCGCAAAATAATCTTGCCTCGCACATCGAGACTAGATAAAGCAATGTTCTTTGGGACATATATAAGAGGGCCAGCTTGTCCGGGTCCAGGCAGTGAGAACGGGACAGCTCCAGCGATAGGAATTCTGATGCTCTCGGTCTTGGTAAGCATAGTCAATTGTCCGGCATCGGCCAAAGAAACACCTCCAATGGTTTGCCATCGCAGGATCTCGTACTCGTGGCTCTTGATAGTCACGCCAGGGATCTTTCGCAACTCTTGTTCAAACCAGTTGATCAGGTCGTTGTGAGCATCGTTTCCTGTTGTGCGAGGCCCTGAATTGCCCACACGCATCAAGATGTGGGTAATTTCGTCCTCGTCAGCAAATGCCGAGTCTTCAATGCCTCGTGTCCATGTAGATATCTGCGAACTTTCCAGCAATCTGCAGAACTTTTTGGACAGATCAACGAGGAGATATACAGGCATCCAAGCGAGATTGATGATCGCCCGTTTCTGAAAGTCTTGCGTCAGACCGGAGATCTTCGGCACGCGTAAAAGGCGTATAGTGAAGAACAGAATACCAATAGAAACAGCGGCCTTACGCCAATAGAGGCTCGTCATTGAGTAAAGCTGAATTATGTTCATCACGGATTGATTGATTGATTGAAAGGATTCGTTTTTTGTTTATTTTTGAAAGCGTGACTCTGGGTCCGAATCAGCATTAATATAGAATTGAGAAAAGACGTGGTAAACAATTGGAATCGATTAGGGAGGTGTCTCCGCAAAGATTCCCCTTCTAGGTAAGTGCAGTGCGGCTGAAAGGAGACATGTGACATCAGGTCGCTCATTTTGACCATTTTGACAGCAGCCATCGGCCTTTTTGACCCCCTCGAGATGCCCACTCAAGGTGCAGAAAACGCACTTCCTGAGAATTACACATAGCACCGATCATGATCGATCAAGAGGAGCAAGCTGACCAAAAGTCGCAGCGATGCTTTTCGTGCCGACAAAGAAAGGTCAGATGCGACCGCATCCACCCCACATGCGGCGCCTGCACTCGACTATCGCTATCCTGCTCATGGGAACCGCCATGGAAATTCAAAGATCAGAGAAGATTCGTTGAAAGAAGGTACGATGTGACTGGATTGATCCCGAGCCGCCGCACGTGGGACAAACTCGAGTTTGTCGACAACGTATGTTTTCCCTCGCCTCAGAGTCTCAGCAGCGCAGACGACACCGGCTCGAGATCAAGCCCACGATCTCCCGTGAGAGATCTTCAGTTTCAATTGCCAGTCTCGGTTGATCCTGCTCCCTCGACACGCTTGCAGATGCTGGCAGTTGCGTTACAGCATTACTTGCCGTATGACGAACAAAATTATCGATGTCAAAGCATCGAACAATGGCCAACTTTGAACGTTCTCAATTTCAAAAACACTTCACTCATAACTGCAGATCCGCTTGTGAATGCTGCAGTGGATGCTTTCACTTTGGCGCAGGCTGCCATTTCTCTGACTGATCCTCGCCTTGCTTTTGCGTCAATTCGACGATACAACACATGTCTGCAGGTCCTTCGAGTTGTGTTGAAAGCAGAGACCGGCCATAGGAAATGCGATATCCTGCTATCCATGCTTGTGCTTCAGACATTAGAGGTCAGTATGTTGTCCTCTTCCTTTTCCTTCTGAGCCTGCAATCCCCTGTGGCAATACTAACACCTAGACAGTATACGCGTCCAACAGCACAGCCAGGAGGATATTTTATGCACATACAGGGTATGGCGCATTTCCTTGCAAAAGAGGTTCCGCAGCGTCTGAGCAGCTGCTACGAGACTATACTGTTTCAAAGTGCAAGACAAGCATCCATATTGTCGAGTATTGCTCTAGGCAAGCGCACACCATTCGATACAGAAGAATGGATCTCGTTGTCACAGTCGGCCCCTCTTGTCACTAGCGAGACACGACTCTTGGATATCGCTGTCAAGATACCTAATCTACTTGTCCCGGACCATCACAACATGGGCGACTCTCTGCATCTGTCAACCCTACTCGCGGTCCAGCGATCTCTGGGCCACTGGATTGAGGCGTATCGCAACCAGAAAATGGTTATCCTCCTCCAAGCCTTTGACCCTGCCCTATTCCCCGACTTCGCCCAAGTGGTGTCACACGATCTTGGAGGCCGCCAGGTGCTCTTTTGCGCCTCTTTTAACGACGCTTGGTACTTGTCGTTGGCATGGTCACTCTTGTTCATTGTCCAATCCGCTCACCTCTACATTTTGGTTAGCTCTTCCGAGCCTACTTTGGAGCTCGAGTGCCAGCAACTCAAGGTCTCGTTGCAAACCACTGCAAGCGCTTTATGCTCAACCATACCACAATTCTTCGATAAGACATGGGGATTTGTGGCTCGGTCCAGCATTAATCTCTCTCTGCAACTGCTCACTTACTACTATCAGAGCGTTGGAGATGATAGCATGATCGAATTCTGTCTCAGGGTAAGGCGTGCACTTGGCCGTCCAGAGCTTGGTCATGAAATCGTCACCGAAACCGAGGAGATGGCTTTTGAACGTTATTTCTCATCACTCAGAATCGCCGAGACGGGTCGCGACGCAAGTTGAACAAGTCACAAAAATATATAGATGACTTGATTACACAAAAAAAAAGAAAAAAAAAACCAGACATGTAACATCAATAATGGGCAGTCCAGTTATCTTGTGTAGCTGCCGTATGTTTCGGTTCTATCCATGTAGACTGCTTCTCCAGAGTTCAGTGCCAGGATGTTAGTGTTACATAGAGACTCTGGTGACTATCTTTATTGCGTTTCAAACATATATCTGGATTAAGCTTACGCTAGTAAAAAAGAAGACCCAAAACCCCAGAAAGCCTAAGTAATATCTGTGATGTATAGAAAATTATCTAATTCCTATTCAAAAGGCTTGCCAGAGGATCCAATGCTACTTAAACTTCTTACTAGCATCCATACTATGGCTAAGATAGAAGCACTCGCAAGAAAAAGCTAAGAGGAAACAAGTACCCATCAGATGAGCAAGCCCCATCTCTGTTTCCTGAGCTCAAACAACTGTAATTCAGTGAAGAAGAATGTTTGTCAGGGCTAACAGTGAGATCTGACAACCACATCATTTCACAAAAGAACAAACTTACTCCAGGACATGAGATATTTAGTCCTAGGCCCTGTATAAGTACCTTCACACGACACAGTCGCACGATGGGATTCGATTCGATATACAAGGACTAACAACAGGACAGCCATCCACGACTCATCTTCACAGCTTTCTGCCAAGTGATGAAGGCCTCGTGACCAGAGATATCTGATCTGCGGGCTCTCAATATCTCGGGGTTGTTAGCGAGATCAATCTGGTCGACCTCTTTTGTGTCGTTCCAGATTCTTGCACCTAGCCCTGCTGTGAAGCAAGCCCCCAGGGCGGTTATCTCACACATCTTGGGCCTTACGATGTCGACGCCCAGAATATCAGCCTGCAATTGCATACAATTGTTACTTTGTGACATGCCACCATCTACGTTGAGTGTCTTGAGCATCAATCCATCATCATAAGCCAGAGCAGCGTCAAATGCAGCTTTGGTTTGATAGCATACCTTACACAATCTCGTTAGCGCAACTCAGGCAGATTAGACACGTTCGAAAAAGATTCCGTAGACTTACCGCTTCCAACACAGCACGGGCAATGTGGCCACGTTGAGTCTTCATTGTTATGCCAAACACCGTACCTGCTCGGGTCAGTACTGCCGCCTATACATCCATGCATGCCAGATTCTGCTTTGATAACAAACATGCAAAACTAACCTCGAGCGTCATCGATCCAATAAGGAGCGAAAAGTCCACTGAATGCTGTCACGAAGACTACTCCACCAGAATCGCTGACGCTATCTGCAAGGGCACTGATACCGGCAGCGTTTGGGGCAAGGCCCATATTGTCAACTAAAAAACTGACACCAGAACCGGCAGTAGCAATGCTTCCCTCCAAGGCATATGCCATCTCCGACCCAAAATCATAGGCGATCGTGCTCAGCAGCCCGTGTTGCCTATCGAAGATTTTAGATCCAGTGTTGTAGACGCAAAAGCAGCCAGTACCGTAACTTGTGTATATGGTCAGCTCCAAGGATAACAACCGCTCAAACGTGAGGTGGAAGCGCAACACTTACGTAGCTTTTGCGCTACCGACTGAGAATCCTCTGTGACCAATTAGAGCAGCGGACTGGTCGCCAACACACCCTGTGATTGGTATGCCGTCAAGAGATCCGCCACGAACGGACCCATAAGCTACAGGGTCCGCGCTGGGATGAATAGACGGCATGCGAACTCTACTTAGGTCGTATTGGGGAGTGGTGTAAAATTCCAAGAGCTCTCGATCATATTGTCGAGTACTCAAATCCATGAAACCAGTCCTCGAAGCATTGGTACTATCTGTGACAACCAGATCTCGCTCAGAACCACCGTTCAATTTGTAAATAAGCCAGCTGTCCAGCGTTCCGAATACTAAGCGACCCTCTTGGTATGCTTCCTTGACTGCTGGCACGTTCTCTAGCATCCAGCAAAGCTTCAAGGCCGATGAGTACGTAGATATTGGGAGGCCTGTTTTGTGGACAACATCATCATGCGTGTGCCGCTTCTTCGCCGCTGTCACCATATCTTTTGTTCGAGTGTCTCCCCATACTGTCGCATTATATAGTGGGCGACCAGATGTGCTGTCCCATGCGATAGTGGTCTCTCTCTGGTTGGTCACGCCCAAACAGGTTATTTGATCTTTGCGGAACCCTTGTTCGAGGAATTTGTTCAGGCATTTGTCGAGAGAATTCGTAACGGAGTTGTACAGTTCCTCCGGATCTTGCTCATGCCAGCTCGGTTGTGGTCGAATCTGGGAGAAGCACTAGAAAGCATTAGATCACAACACGAATTGGACTGTGATTAATGATGTTACCTCCTGGTGAAAGGCAATGAGATCTCCTTGTAGATCGAACAAGGCGACTCGTGTGCTCGTTGTTCCTTGATCGACCGCAATGATGAATCTTGAATTGGGATTTCTCATCGCGAATCTGGTGACTGACAGTGAATTCTGTTATACGCACATAAAGCAAGGGGACCAAAGCTCACACTTGTATAATGCTCTTCGGTTATCACAGAGCGAACAAGATATTGATCCTTTCGTCCGTTCATTCCACGTTTGGGGCAAGTTTAAGCTTTGAATACTTATAACGGCTCGTATAGGGATATGTAGTTCGTCTTGACATCGGGTCGCAGATAAAGACTTCTTTTGGAGGAGCAGATCCGAGCTGATAAGGGATTCAAGCGACGATGCCCACGGTTTGGTAACCGCAATTCTTGTGGCACGAGGATCTGATCGCGTCTCGTACCGCGCCATAATGCCTTCGAGATGAGAACCTCGGGTTGTTTGAATACAGTCATAGTTGTATGTATATAAATTCATCCGTGTTCATTGCTTTTGATCGTTTGCTATCGGCCTGTGCGATCAAAATGTCTGGTGCAAGAATCTTACGCCCTCACAAGCGATACATCTGGCCAGGAAGTCTGGCTCTGACAGCCGCCACGGGACTTGCAATAAATCGCGGCCATGATGCACACCATGCATCAATGACCAAATCGATTGATTGGAAAGCTTCACCTCCGCAGACCAAATCTCGAGCTGCAATCATGGAGGACCTGAGGTCTTCTGTCTCGAGTCCGGACTCTGTTTTCGACATTCTTGTCATTGGTGGCGGAGCCACGGGAACAGGAATTGCTTTGGACGCTGTGACACGTGGGCTCAAGGTAGCTCTTATTGAACGAGAGGACTTTGCCAGTGGTACGAGTAGCCAAAGTACCAAATTGGTACACGGCGGCGTGCGCTATCTGGAAAAGGCCGTACTTCAGCTAGATATTGAGCAGTGAGTGATTCTTCTGTGGACTCTTAAGGAGACTGCTAACAAGATATGATTAGATACAAACTTGTTCGAGAGGCCCTGAGGGAGAGGGATACGTTCCTCCAGATGGCACCGCACCTTACCCGCTGGCTCCCGATCATGCTCCCTGTCAAACATTGGTGGGAATTACCCTACCTTTGGATAGGTACAAAATTTTCCGACTTGATCGCCGGTTCGAGCACTGCTCCTTCATCGTATTATCTATCGAAGAAAGAAGCTATGCTCAAATTCCCCCAGCTTGATGCATCTCAGATGTCCACAGCGCTAGTATACCATGGTAAGTTCATTCCCTTGCTGGTCTTGACCACGTCGAGGCGACCGCCTTTTGTATAGGACCAAGACCGCTGAGATACACTAGACGGACTGCAAGATGACGCTCGTATGAACGTGGCATTAGCGGTTACGGCGGCCAGTTATGGAGCCAGCATCACCAATTACGCCGAAGTCCTGAGTCTCAGTAAGAATGATCAGGGCAAAGTTGATGGAGTCATTGTTAAGGATCTTCTTGCGACTGACTCCAACCACGAACAATTCCCCATCAAAGCAAAATGTGTCATCAACGCGACAGGCCCCTTTTGCGATGCGATTCGTAAACTGGACGATCAATCGTGTGACAACATTGTTGTGCCATCGAAGGGCATCCATATCGCCTTGCCAGAGCATTGTACCCCTCCTGGTATGGGCATGATCGATGCCCATTCGCCAGATGGTCGAGTTGTTTTTCTGTTACCCTGGCAAGGCCGAACCATTGCAGGGACGACAGACAAGCCATGTGACGTAGATCCACTGATGGAGCCAGATGAAGATGACGTCCAGTGGATTCTTGACCAGGTCAACTCATATTTGAAAAACTCTCTCAGGTTGACACGCCAGGACGTATTGTCAGTGTGGGCTGGTATCAGACCTCTTGTGAAGGATCCGTCCGCAGCGACATCCCAAGATATCGTCCGACACCACCTCATCAACAAAAGCAAAAGTGGGTTGCTCACAGTATCGGGTGGAAAGTGGACAACTTTCCGGCAAATGGCCGAAGACGCTGTCGATGCTGCAATGGAGTCAATAACACCGATCAGTGTCCCATGCGTGTCAGCGGAAATCCAGACTGTGGGCGCGAAAGGGTGGTCAGAGACATTGTCTACCATGCTGATGCAACAACTCGATCTCGACTCGGATGTGGCAGGTCACCTGTCTGACTCATATGGAGATCAAGCGTGGCAGGTACTGAAGCTTTGTGAGGTATCCTCGCAAGGGGACTGTCAGACACGGCTCTCACCTCTGCACCCATATCTCACCGGCGAAGTTCGTTATGCAGTACGTTATGAATATGCCCAGCATGCGACAGATGTGCTCGCTCGTCGCACCCGTCTCGCATATATCGATGCCAGAGAGGCCATCAATGTATTACCTCTAGTGATCGATATCATGGCAGAGGAGCTTACTTGGGACGACGGCAGGAAGGCACTGGAACACCGGAATGCACTAAAGCGTTTGGAGAAAATGATCTAATTCCATCTGTCAGGTACACTCTTACCACTATTATAAGCAAAATCGAATGCACTTCATCCAGTTCACAAGGCCTGCTCGATGGAATTGTAAAGAGCCGTCTCGAGCTCTTCATAGCACGAGAAAACTAGGTCATCTGAAGCAGGTTAGTTTGCATCATTTTCCACGATAGGGCCGGACATACCTCCAAATGGCAGAATTTGAGACGCGAGAATGCCCCCAATGCCAGAGTCAATGTCCGCCCACCAGATGAGATTGGCCAGGCCACTCCACCAAACAGTGCCAGCACGTCTACCTGTTTTACTCGAGTGCAAAAGTTTGAAGAAAGACATCCCCCAACCTTGAGCTTCTTCACGTGGCTGCGCATACGTCTCGGCCTGGTAGTTGACTAGCGACGGCTTACAAGGTCGGCTCAGGTCTCTTGCGAAATCGCGATGTTCTGGGATCTGATTCTCCAGCATTTCTGTAGCAGAGAAACAATTAGGGTCAGCGTGGTTACAGAAGTCATCGCTGGGGATACATACGTTGGACCGTCCCTTCTTGCAGGATCCGAGTTCCAGTAGGAGCATGGACTCCTTTGTTGAGAAGTATCGATATGATTTCTGTGGTAACATCAGTTCCTTACCATTATCGAATTTATACCAAGAGTACTCACGACAGTAATCACTCGGAGTGCCGAATAGTCCGTGACCGCCCGCTTGCAGGAATGTTAAGTCTGGTTCGTGAACGCCTTGACGATGCTGAATCGCTCTACGAAGGAGATGTCCACAGTCTCGGATTTTGATCTGTCCAGATGGCATTCGCTCGTGCAGATAGGCCAGTGTGTCACTTGATGGAAAGAAGGTCAAACTGGATACTCCGATTTGATCGAAGATGTGCTTTTTCATATATTCGCCAAGCGACATAGACGTGATACGCTCGATCAAACGACCAACCCAGTCCATGTTGGTGCCATATTCCCACATCGTTCCAGGCTGATTAACGAGAGGTTGTTCAAAGATATCGTGTTCGTCGGAACTGACCTCGAGGATGCCCCGAGGTTCAGACCACTTTTTCAGTTTGGAATTGGAGAAGCTGTAGCCAAAGCCCGCTGCCAGAATGTGTTGTTAGTGAAAGTTCACAAGAAACATAAGGGAATTGCCAACCAGTATGCGAGAGCAGCATTCTTAAAGTGATCTTTGTTCGCTTGTCAACAAGCGAAAGTTGACCCTTTGCATCCTCTACAAGGACCTTGCGATCCTGTAGTTCCCAGAGGATCTGTTCCAGCTGATCTCCATCGTCAAGCCGAATTTCGTTGGCTTCGACGAGCTGCATGGCTGCGATAGCTGTGATCATCTTTGTACAAGAAGCAAACCAGAATCTGGTGTTCTCATCCATGAGGCAATCAAGATCATGGCCTTGCCTTCCGCTGGCGCAGTGGGATAACTGGTTGCCTGCGCTGTCGACGACACAGAATACCAGTCCCGGTATGCCATATTCTCTGCTCACATAAGAGTCCGCAATTTTTTGAAGACGCTCTTGTGCCACGTGATCGATTGTAGTTGTCATTGTGGCCAGTCGATATAATGGTTCAGCAGTTGAAAACAATTGACTGGTATGCAATCCATGAGAGAACAGCACAAAACATATATACACAAACTTTTCATCTGGCCAGCACGGGGTCTGGTAATTTTTTCGAGCGGAAGGAAGTGGTTCCGTTGTTCTAGTCAGTCGTTTCAGTCGGAGCAGCACCAATAGAAGCATATTTTGCGCAAGAGTGGAGTTGTGGTCAATCAGAATAATGTTTTGGCGATGCTAAATTGCTTCAAGTCGTAGCCTCGCAGAATTTGACCCAAATAGGTGACAACCACATGTTCAGGCGTTGTGGCGCAAAGCTTAACACCGCAACCTGGTATTGTTGAATACGACCCATGCAGCGCCCTGTTTGACTCTAGAGTCTACAGAGGACGTTTATCGGGGTCTTCGTCCGTTTTCACGCTCGAAAGGCTCGCAGATTTTGGCCGGATTTCGCGACTGGCTGCTTCCATTCGGCCGCGATGTTGGCAACCTAACCTACGACCATAGACTTGATAGGTTACAGCATCGTGTAGACCACTCAAAAGTCAGCCTCGAATGGTTTACACCTCCAAAACTATGGCTGCCCAGAATAAGGCTCGGACTGCCACTTGCGGCAAAGACATCTGGGAAAAGGTGGAGGAGAAGCGGAGAAACTCCCCACAGAAACCTGTATACATATAAGGAGGACGACACCCTAGAGTAATCTCGAAAATCATCTCTTTGAGGAGTTCTCCAAAACGTCACCTCGCACTTTGATAGTCGTCCTACTCGAACAAACATGTTGAAGCCTACTTGGCTTGTTCGGTTCGTTTTCACGCCCAATCCCCTTCGCGACCCATCTTATTAAGCATTTTGATAGTCCTTGGACTCAGAATTTCCTTTCGGGAATCATCCTGTTCTTGACCGTAGGCATCTATCTGGCTCTCGTTGGTGAGTCCAATTTCGAACAAGACAGAAAGCAATGCACGATAGTTGACATAGAACCTAAGGACTTGGTGCTGGTGGAGGCAGTCCATCAGCCGCCCACTATAATGTCATTACGTACACCACGCTCTATGCTGTGTTCACTGTCAGCGGATTCTTTGGTGGTAGCATTATGAATACTCTTGGACCCAAATGGACCATGACAGTGCGTCGTCTCCCTCGTCATTGTCTCGTTGCCTCATGAGCTGATTTTATTTCTTCCAACAGCTGGGTGTTCTTGGCTATCCGATCTTCGTGGGAGGTCTTTGGTTCTATGATTCTCACAATTCTCCCGGTTTTGCCCTTGCGGGAGGCATCATCTTAGGCATTTCTGCCGGATTTCTTTGGACTGTTTCGGGATTCATGTGAGTAAAGCACACTCTCCTGGCCTGAGATGTTGGACTGACAGACTTACAGTCAATTTGCTTACGCCGAAGAGAAGGACAAAGGTTCGTACATCGCTTGGCAGTTGTTCCTGCTGGGCGTGGGGTGTACAGTTGGTGCCCTCATCGTGTTCGGCATTACGAAGGACGTCACTACCATCAGTGGGGTGCCTGAATCTGTGTATATTGCCTTCATTGTCATCATGACTTCTGCAGCGCTTTGCAGGTATGTTTTGGATATCTGTTTGGTTTCTAAGAAAGATCTGCCGCTGACTCAGTTTGCCAAGTGCCTTTGGAATTGTTTCACCAGAAGACGTCGTCCGTCCGGATGGCAGTTCTCTGGCTGAATTTGTTGCTACAGACTTCCGTTCTGAGTTCGCTGGCTGTGCAAATCTTCTTAAAGATTGGTTGGTCGTCACACGGATAATGTAAATTGCAGAGATTGATCAGCTGACTTGGATGTAGGAGAATTGTTCTGCTCATCATCCCTATGTTCGCTACGGAGATGTCCTCGTCTCTCATCCCAACCATCAGCGCATACAGTTTCAACCTCCGTACTCGCTCTCTCAACAGTGTTATCTTTTGGGGTGTCCAAATTCCTTCTACTCTTGCATTCGGATGGGTTCTCGACAATGACAAATTCAAGAGAAGGATGCGTGGAATCATGGCACTTTCAATCTCATGCCTCATTGTCATACTGAGTTGGGCCCTCGCGATCGCAGTCCAGGTCAAACATGATTTGATTAGAGGCAAGCCTAGCCCCGAATGGGATTGGAGTGACAACGAGTTTGTCGAATTCTTCTTTGTCATCATATTTACTGGAATAGCATATGCTATCGATCAAATGATGGTCATGTGGGTCATTAGTGCTTTCAGCAACGAACCTCGCCTATTGGCTCGCTATGGTGGCTTCTTCAAGGGCATGCTTAGCGCCGGTCTCTGCGTAGCTTTCGGCATGGAAGCAGGCGGCGTGTCTTACCTGTACGTATGCTAATGAATGCAGAGGAATCAGGAATATCTTTGCTAACATCTCACAGTGGCCAAACAATCTTCCAGACTTGCTTGATGGCCGTGTCTTTCCCCATCATGTTCTTTCTGGTTCTGAAATGTGTTACAGACACCAACTACTTCTGTGAAGAAGGTGTCATTCCTCCACAGCACGTCATCGATGAGCAGAAAATCCAGATGGAAGTCGTCGAAAACGTAGAGACCGCACCTGCCAAGACGATCGGTTAGAGGACACCTCGGGCATGAACAACCTCTGAACATGAAGATGATGCCCTTGTTTGCGAATTCCTCTATGACGTCTACGTACAAATGGCGTCAGTGTCTTCAGGAATAAACTAGATCGAAATTATGCTTCTTGGGTTTTGGGCAAGAGAGCGCAATGGAATATTTCGAAACGCGTACTTCTAGGATAATTGGGTCCGCTGCATGGCCGAGCAACTATTAGCATAGCAATATCCATCAAATGCTCGAGCGTGATGCGAATCTGCTCTCGTTTGACAAGTGGTCGTACCCATGGCTTGCTTGCCTTGCTGTCTGTCCTGATCCCTTAGCAGATGCATTCATCAGTTTCATGCAGAGTTGTTGGCATCTCGGATGGGTCTAGATTTCGCAAAAATTCCTTACATTCGCAAATTGCCTACTTCCATCTAAACTTAAGATAGAAAACGATCCCAAGCTTTGTCTCAGGGGTAGTACTATCGAATGTAACAGACATGTGACTAGCACGATAATAGGCACCATAGGTGATCCTACCGAATATGGTAGTGGTTGCGAAAATACGGGGGCCCCAGAGAAGTTTATACCTATATCTCACCATCAGAAGGCCTTAGGGCACGATTTGCTGTATCACATGCCAGACCTTCTGGTGTATTGAGTCTGCAAATGTTCTCGCCAAAGGCCACCCTAAAAACACAAACCTAATCTTCAGGACCCACTTTGCTCGGAAAGTAGGGCCTCACCTATATTTCAGCATGCGCAGACTTATAGATTCAGACGTTGTTGTTGCACTAAACAATAGTTATGTCTCTGAACGCGAGTTCACATATGCCTTTTTGCCGATCAGAGTACGTTACGGGAGCAAGAAATGAGCGCACTTGGTCTGTGTGTCCATCATGTGCCTAGGGATATGATTTTCCACATAGACTCAAGATCTCGTCGCATTTGGTCTCGATATCTCTATCCTTCCACTCTCCACCATCTCTCTCGTCGCAGCATGACCATGAGGTTACCTGTCTTGATTCTTACTATGGCTGCAGCAGCTGCAGCGTCTGCCCTCAGTGACTCCAATGCTACAAGCACTGCAGACACTTCCAGTGTGGCTGCACTGGCTTCTGAGCAGACTGCAACCACCGTTGTTCTGGGCGCTGTTTCTACACCAGCATCTGATGCCAGCGCTTCTATTACGCCTAGCGCATCGGTTTCGCTTAGCTATGTTTCTCCTTCCAATGACACTGGCTCTGCTCAAGCTGCTCAAGTAGATCTTGACATGAAGTATCCAACTGTTGTTCTGGAAAACATCAACGACCTTGATACAGTCGATTGTTCGGACGGTTATATGCTATTGGCATTCAATTCGACTAATGCCTACGAGGGAGCCCTGAATGAATGGTCGGCTCACCAAGAAATCGTCTTTATCACCAATCATTTGGGCAACTGCGATGCTGAACTTGAGCGTGGTTTCTTCTTGGCAGGCAGTTTCACTGCTGCTCAGGACTCGACTCCTATCATCAATGCCACCATCGCCAAGCAGGATCTTTCGGAGACAGCAAGTAAATGGTTCCTCCACATTCCTTCTCCAAGGATGATGTGCTAACATATGATTCAGACACAGCGTCTATCTCCCTTGGTCGTAGTCAAGCCAGTGTTTCGAGACGTGGTTTGACCGAGGCTGTGCCTGTATCTTATGCACTCGATCTTTTCAATCTTAGCAAGACGGATATCGCGTTGGCGTCAGTGCCCAATGTGCTTGATTTGACTATCAACAAAGTCAATGCGGAAAGCGACATTTCCCTTATTGGCTCAATTGTCTTTGACTTCAATAAATTCACATTCAGCACTGTCGTCTTCGACATCAACTACGACCTATCTGCATACCTTTCCGCCACTGTGGAGGTGACGAGCAGTTACCAAAATACACTGTCTACCAAACCAGCAATCAGCATCAACCCAATATCGATCGCTGGTATACTTGAATTTCAGCCTGCTTTGCAATTCGCTCTAGGCGCCGAGATCGTCGCTACTGGAAACATCTCCGCCGTGTCAGAGACCTCATTTGATCTCAGTGATGCGACGATCCATATCGATGCTTTGACCCCTGCCAACTCTTACTCAGGAAAATGGTCACCTACATTCCAGAACACTTTCAACTCCAGTGAGAACTTCGATCTGATCTTCAATCCTAGCATATCGGCAGATCTGTCTCTGGACGTGTTACTTCTTGGTATATGGTCGATCGAAAGTGTTGGATTGGTCGGAGCATTCGACTTTGGCAACGATCTCAGCTTGAAGTCCTCCAATTCAACATGCGAGGTCTCACTCACCCAGGAAGTAGACTTTACTCTTGACCTCGACTTTGACGATCTGGTAATCGATCTCTACAAATATGACTCCGGCTTGATCCAGAGCTGTCTGTAGAAACATCGACCAGTGAAAGCTTAGATCCAACATCTGGGAAGGGTGACGTTGGAGAAGAGTCGCCAGAGGAGGTCAGGTACATGGAAAGCACGGGTCTGGTAGGGTAAGGACATAGCGATATCGGGTTGTTTAAATGGCTTTATGTTCAGAGCGTTGGACTTGAAGACCATGCACAAGTCAGTATGTAGAGCTATCTTTCGCACTTGTTTAGTCTTGTTACCTTGGCTTAGCACATAGTTCAATAAACCGCATATCACAATTTGGTCAAGCATAGCTTCTTACCTATGTCTTTGTGTATGAAAAGTGGAACTCATTAGGCACTTTCAGATCTTTGAAGCATATCGACTATACATGTCAGTGCAACGATCTTAGACTGATTGGGCGACAATCTAGAATTGTATTCTCGTCGGGCAAGTTTGAGAAGCTGGATGTGATAGCATATGGTAAGGATGAAGATCTCGTATCGGTTCCCACACGCAAACGTTCTCTGGCTGTCTTTCACGGTAAGTGCATGTTCTAAGGGGAAAGCTCGAGGGTGGTTTTTTAAGCCAACCGGCTTTCTTGCGATGCCCAAAATGCTTCAGAGCGATTCGGAGTTTCCTGGTTTGTTCGACCAACGAGATCATGGCTCTTTGGAATTTCACTTGACGAAGGGAATGACTTCAGTCGTGCTCAACAGCCTGCCACCAGTTGCATAATGGTCATGGGTCCGGCGGCCGTGGATAGTGTGGCTTCATCGAAGCCTGATGTGTCGCAGTATAGAACTCTGATGATTTTACGACCCAGAGTCAGGTAGGAGAAAGTCGCAAAGCTCGCAAAATTTATGACAACAACTATTGATGGGCAAGAATGGGAATGATGGCGATTTGATGATTGTGGTGAGTTTGCTTCAAGTATTCTGCGCGTTCATAAGGATTCATGGTTCGGCCCATTTGCTTCCCCTCCCACTAAAGTCTCTCAATCCAATCAGGTGAGTATGGCAAGCGATGCTCTACGAAAGTATTGAATCTGCCGCTTCCGCAGAGCAAGGACTCGCTTCTGTTCTTCGGTCAATGGCTGATCATGGTTCAATCTCTCCCTTGGCGATAATCCCCAGTACTTCCTGTCGAAGGGGAATGTTTTGCGAGTGAACTTCTTGAGCCATTCAGCTTCCGTTCGTTGACCAGATTGATGTAAGGAGACCTGAAGAGCCTTGGAGTGTTTGACCAAGCTGATCATCGCGGCTTTTGATTTTATGTGATGCAGAGGGTGGCTCGGAGTGTCTTGGGCTTTGTGCCACCAATTGAACAAGGGCATTGGGTCTGGATGCCGTGGATGATGCAGCTGCATCTCTCCCTGGTGCTTCGCCCTGTATCTTTCTGGACGTTTGCCCATTTCCTCGTAAAATGCGTCCCACGGCTTCAAATCTGTGTTCGGAAACAGTGGTCTGTCGCGAAAATCCTTACCAACTGCTTAGCATGTGATGGCATGTAGCTCAACTTAGTGCGTCTGGTAAGCTGTGCCTGGCAGAAATTGGCCGCTGAAGTGGTGTAGAGGAAGTAAGGTACATTTGTGCCGCGAAAGTATGTTTCCAGGGCTGCGTCGAGGCTGCCATTGGTTGCAAGGCGTGCTCGCCATACATGGCGGTCCCGATCAGAGAGTGTAGCAGGCTTTTGGGGTTCTTGGTTCATCCAATCCCACATGAGTTCCTCCTTGCCGTCCCGTACTAGCAGAAGAGCAATTGCATCCACCAGGGGGGTGTCATTTGGGAACTCAATCGAATCGTATTCCTCCCATAGCCACTTGATCGCAGCTTCTCCAATACCACTGCCAGATCTCGAGCGTATGATGTCCTGCAGACACGAAAATGCCAGCGGTCTTGTAAGCGATCCATCAGCGAGATGCGTGCGAAAAATATCTGCGGGATCCTTGACTTCAGAAGGGACCATCACATCGGCCAAATCAAGCTTCCTAACATTTGTTGTGGACAATGCCCGGTTGGCGCTAGATCAGGACCTGACAAATGGGTCCAGTCGACATTGGCCGAACGACCATGGTGTGATGCCATCGGAAGCGACATGGTTCAAGACTCGAGAGAAGCGAAAGATATGTATCACATTGGCCCGCGGACTCATTTTGATGTGATTGAGTTGTGGAATCGCGAAAAGAAGTCGAAGTCACAGTGGCCATTTCAGTGACGCGCTGGCCAAGGCTTGTGTAACATATGGGGCGTCGATCATTGGCTATACCGTGCCGCGATCCTCGAACTTCGAGAGCTGAAGCACAACCATCGCGGCTTCGCATCTTACGCCAACAAGATTTTCTTGAGCAAATAACTCGATCAGGGAAACGATTGTCGAAGTGACGTGCATTGAATAAGCTTGTGCTCTGGCATGGCGGAGGTGCTTGCTCTATCTTTGCACCTTCAAGCGCGTGTGGTGTGTTTCGGCAGGCACATTCAGATGCAGACAAACATCTACTTCGGAGGACTTTACGACATGAGATGAGCTTGTCGGTTGGTCTTGCAGGCCGCGCGCTTATACTGTCCATCGAGGCAGATCATGCAGCTGCAAGCGAACAGCACCGTGTGATCATGACCGTTCTGGTCTTATCAAGTAGGACCCGGGATGCTTACGAGAACCTCGTCATTCCTCGTGGACAACGTCGACAACTGTATCAACGTCTCGTTCTGCCTGCCCAAAGCAGCACGCCACGGCGGGCACGGCAAGAACGTCCCTCTTGAAATAACGGTGCTGGGCGCATGTTCGGCTTCCCCTTCACCTTTGCTTGCAACAGACTCCCGAACCTTCAGCTGGCATAAACAGTATGGACATCTTCGGTCGAGATTCGTGAGGGGTCATGTCGTTGCAGTGTGCATTCAGGAGCCCTGACGCGTCTTATACCGACTTTGCGTAAGTCTGCTTTCTGCTCAAACCTCGCACCTTGCCCTAGCACAACAAATTGCAAATAATCGATGCCGAGCACATATTCAATACTCTGTGGGTCAAATCTCGTTCTATCAATAATTTCCAGGAGAAAGATCTTGACTCGGCATGAAAAATGGTGTCTTTGAATATGCCGAAGCTTGGCAAACAGGGGTGCATCCAGACTCGGATTCCCCACGAAAATGGCGTCGCTTCCGCAAGCTCATCCGTGATCAGCGTCATTCGACCTTCTTTGTTTCTGCCAACTTGATGCATAACCACAGCTCTTTCCTATTCATGCAGCTGTACCTGCTTGTGGGAATAACAAAAAAACAGACTGACTCAGTATGAAATCGATTATGTGCTTATACGCGGCTATTTACAAAGACGATGGCATTTCCGGCTTGCGACGTTGTAACGGATGACCGAACGACGTTGAAACCGTACGAGATAGGAGTCCCTTGGGAAGAGAAACCCCCTGGCAACCAAAAAAAGACGCCATCGACGAAGATTATAACTGCCATGGAGACTTTAAAGCTGTTCAGACGCGCTCGCTCTCCTTTTGACGTTACTACCGCGTTATACCACACACTCTCTTTATACAAACCTTCGATTTGGCTGGTCCAGTCGATTACCACACACTCTTTTTCAAAATGATCAGCTACAATACTATGTACGAGAAGAAGTACGAGTATGAGCAGCTTCCACAGTCGCCTCGCTGGGCGCAAGAATCAGCATACAACCGCCTACGGACTTATGGCAGCACAAGAGTCAGAGTGACGCGTTTACCAGTCATTGTTGGAACTTTTATATTCTCGGCTATTATGTTTGTGTACTTCACAGGGGTATGCTAACTTGATCTGATGATATCGACGCGTTCTGATGACTGACCCTACTCAGACAGCACCAACCATATCTCAAGCCTTGGTTCCGTCATTAACGCCAGCAAATGTGCACCTCCTTATACCAGCATCAGGCAAGGACGAAAATCTATGTAAAGCAATCGTTGGCGCCGCTATCCTTGGTTACCCATCACCAAAGGTGCTCAACTGGGGAAAGACTTTCAACGATGAGCATCTGGTGTCCGGCGGCTCGCACATTGCAAAGATCAGCGGCGTCTCTTCATATCTCGAGAGCCTCTCACCGGAGCAAGACGAAGACTTGATCATCATGACGGATGGCTACGACACTTGGTTCCAGTTGAGACCAGAGACACTCATCCAACGCTACCTCGACATCAACCAAAGAGCAAACGAACGCATCCGCCGCGACTTGGGCAATCATGTCGTCAACACCAACAAGATCGAGCAGAAAATCGTCTTCTCAGCACAAAAGAGGTGCTGGCCTTGGGCTGCAGACGCCGCACCTTGCTATGCCGTGCCAAACTCAACTCTTCCCGAGGACATCTTCGGACCAGACACTGACACAGATGTCGGTGACCGCAACCCATACCTCAAGTTCCGCCCTCGCTACCTCAACTCAGGAGTTGTCGTAGGCACAGCAGGCGCCATGCGTTTGCTCTTCGCCGAAGCTTTAACCCGCGCAAAGAAGGATCCCAACTTCGGAAGCGATCAAAACATCTTCGGCTCTATCTTTGGCGACCAAGAAGTTTATCGCGAGGTCGTGCGTCAGAGAGACATGCCATGGATCGAGCGTCAGCACAATCTGCGCAACGATGATCCTCGCCGTGGTCTTATCCGCGAGCAAGACCTCGAAGCCGTCAGAAACATGACCCGCAGCATGGAATTCGGCATCGGACTTGACTATGAAGGCTCCATCTCTTTACCTACCGTATTCTCCGAAGACGACACGGAATGGGTCAATTTCGACAACCAACCCTGGCTCGATTTCTTCAACTACAAGCGCAACATTGACAAGACGGAGAGCAGACTCATCCTAGCTCAAGACATTGCAAAGACGGCAGCGCCTCTTTCCAGCAACGGCACCGATGGCATCGAATCCAAAGACTGGTCGCAAGTACCACTCTTCACAAACATTCCCACTGGCTTCACACCAGCAATTATTCACCACAATGCCCATCGCGATGGCATGAAGAACCTACGCACCAAGGTCTGGGATCAGATCTGGTTCCAACCCTATGCTCGTGTGCTCATGGACCAATACATGGATACCCCACTCACGGCTCTGGCAGTCGCAGGTGGTAGAGAGTGGAGAAGCAGTGATGAATGGAAAGGTGGTGTTAGAGATGATGTTGGTCAATGGTTGCCATACCAAGATGTGTGCGATGGCACGGAAAACGAAATCTTCAGAGATGGACAAGGGCCTTGGGTGGCAAGTCGGCATGTTTGAGTGACTTGATTCGTCTTTTCTTTCTTCTCTTCTTATTCTTTCCTTTACTTCTCTAGATAGATTTTTATGAATACCATCTCACGATACCACAATTTTCTACTTGCCCATCCTTTGTGCTGTGACTGTGCTGCCCCACAACTGACAGACTTTCAGACGGGAAACTCTGACGGCAAAGCTGGGGGACACGCGGCAAACTCTAGGCTAATACAGCTGCGAAATCTTTTGTCATCGGGAAAAGAAAACACGAATAGCAATTGTGATTTCTGCATTTCTTTCTCAAGTTGTGTCGTTACATCTCACTTTTTTCGTTTAGAGTTCTGGGTACTCCTTGGTCTCTGGAGGCATCTTGCTCGAAGTCATAGACTGGACTAGAAATTGAAGCGGGATAGAAAAAAAAGAAAAAAGAAAAGAAAAAGGTCAAAAGAAAAAATGGGAAAGCATCCAGCAGTCGAACTACAAGTCCTGGACCTAGGGTCCATCGACAACGACAAAACACCGCCGACCTCTGGACCTTCGACACAAAGAAATTCTTTCTCAGAAACTGCGACACCAACACCCATCGACACCGAAGCAAATTCTTCAGATGATGAAACACCATCAGAAGCACCATTTCCCTCAACACCAACCCTCTCAACCACAAGAGCGATTATAGTAATCACCCAACTCGTCAGCGTACAACTCTTTTCTTCGTTTTGTAATGGCGTTATTGTGGTGGGCTTGCCTTCTATCGCTGCCTCGCTACAGATGCAAGGGGCATTGCTTTTATGGCCGACGTCGGTGTTTTATCTTACTGCTGGAGCGTGTCTGATGCTAGCTGGTTCAATTGCCGACGTGCTAGGCACCAGACCTATGGTCTTGACCAGCAGTGCTTTGTTGGTTGTTAGTGCTGCTTGCTGTGGTGTCAGCAGAAACGGAGCTGAATTAATTGCCTTCAGAGGTTTGCAAGGTATCAGTAATGCTATTGCCGTGCCGGCAAGCGTTTCTATCATTTCTACAAGAGTGCAGGATGGTCAGCCGAGAAATATTGGATTCTCGTGCCTTGGCTTTGCGGCGCCTTTGGGGTTTTTGCTGGGCTTGGTGCTTGGAGGGTTGTTTGTGGATGGTGTGGGTTGGAGACCCGCGTTTTATCTTGTCGCGGCGGCGAGTGGTGCTACGGGACTTGTGGGTGCTTGGGTACTGCCAAAGGACGACAAGCCAAAGTCTCTGCAGTGTATCAAGAGACAGTTGAGGGATGAGATCGATTGGGTGGGAACACTCATCTCGAGCACTGGATTGGTGACTGTGTCGTATGCTTTGGCGTGAGTGTTCCATCAACATCTGGCAGAGGACAATCGTGACTGACAATACCTCAGAACACTCTCTGCAAATGTTAACAACATCAAGACTGCAACCACCATCTCGCTCTTGATCATCGGTGTCGCTACCGTCCCAGCATTTGTGTGCTGGATGAATTATCAGGTCAAACACGATCACCCAGCACTGATCCCAAACTCGTTCTGGCGTGATTCCAGCTTCACGAGCATCTGCATCATGATCCTCTTCAACACTGCCGTCACTAATGGCATGGAGGTATTCGCCAGTCTATTGTAAGTCGTCACGGTCCAGACCAACGACCAACCTTTTCCTCGTCACGGCAGAATGTGGTTACTGAAACTCAACATCACAGCTTCCAGCAGGTTCAAGGCTCGTCGGCACTTGGAGCTTCGATCCGCATCTTGCCTTCTCTGATCACGGCTGTCTTGACCAATGTCTCGACTGGCTACTTTGTCAACCGCATGCCCGTCATGTGGATGGTCTTGATGTCGTGCGGTCTATCCGCGCTCTCACCTCTGTTCATGGCAATCATAAATCCAAGTTGGCCGTACTGGTATATGGCCTTTTTCGCCCAGGTAAGCATAACACCTACCTTCTCATCAATATGGCTGACACGATGAAAAGCTTCTTCAAGGTGTCAGTATGAATGTCCTCTTTACAGTAGGTCTCCTGATCATCTCGGCAATCTTTCCGCCTCATACGCAGGCTCTGGGCGGTGCTGTCTTCAACACTTGCGCGCAACTGGGCACTTCGATTGGTCTGACCATCACATCCGTCATTTCCGACTCGCGAACAGCTGCTTCAAAATACGGTGACAAGACAAGTCCCCAAGCATTGATGACAGGCTATAGGGCAGTGTTTTGGGCATTGTTTGCCTGGATGATAGTGGTACTGTGGGCAGGCATGGGTGGCTTGAGAAGAGTAGGAAAGATTGGAGTCAAGAGGGATTGAGATGGGCAGATGTTGTGTGAACTGAGTCTGTGTGGCAGTCTCAATGACGCTCTGTCGGGTTTAGTACAGGGCGAAGCAGCTAAGAGGACATGGCGTTCAAGGCTCGGGTTTGGACGTGCTTCCAGACTTGGTCTCGGAGGATTTTCGACGGCCAAAAACCTTGTCCTCGTAACCAATTGGCAGGGCTCTTGACCAGTCGTTGGTAAAACATGGATGGCAAAGAAAGTCATCCGTCTTCTTGTCCTGCCACCACAACTTGATATGTCTGTATGCATGACATGCAGGACATTGACGAAGGATTTTTTCGCTTGCATAAACAGGTTTGTGAGTGGGCCAGTCGAGATCGCGAACCCAAGAGTTTTTTGTGATCCAGCCTCTCAAAGATTCCCGTTGGTGATAATGGTGGTCAGAAGCCCAGCGATGCCTTTTATTTGCGTAATAATGTTGATCAAAATCAAAGATCAATCTTTTCTCTTTCTTGTATTGTCGTCTCTGAGCGTTGCTTTTGTCCCGGTTGTTCTCAAGCCACTTTGCCTCTTTTGCCCGAATGGAATCGCGGTACTCGGGGTCGGTGGCGATGCGTCGAGCACGAGCTTCGTTGTACTTGTTTGACTAATGATGTGTAGGAGTCCAGTCGGATCCGGTAAGCGACGAGTAGTTGGCGCGACCAAGAACAGCGAGGGGAGACGCAGTCGGAACGAGGAAGGAAGACTGGAGACGGTACGTGAATCTGGGCAGCACAGAGAGCATATTGGCGTGGTCAGCTGTCGCAAGCGGCCAGCGATGAGTCGGCGTTCGTTGGCAGCGTAGAAGCGGTGCAATGACAGCGGAATAGAGACAGGTAGATGATGTCAATGAAAGCGACAGTCGAACAGCAGTCGATATGGCAGATATTCAAGGATGATAAACGAGTGAGAGGTGGAAGAGCTGGTCAGTCGCGACGCGTTCGGCTTACAATGGCGCCAAAGCTGCGGCTCTAAAAAAAATGCTTGGACAAGCCCACAGATACGAGCTTATTTGAACAAGGCTGAAGGCAATTTCTCAGGATGCGATACTGCGTCCAAGCACCTGCCTACCTGTACGGAGACATAGACGCAGCTATGGCAGCAACGCGCACTCTACAGCAGTCGCAGCTGCCTGTCTTGTTGTCGCTGTTGCTCTGAGTGATGTCCAAGACGGAAGAACCCTGCCGAATCGTAGCCGAAAGACGGAAGGCGTCGGCAAGAAAGGCACTCAAAAGTCAACCTTGACCGGCGTCAACGGCTATTGGCTGCCAGACTGACTCGCTGCTCGCGTGGTCAAGGGTCAGGCTCGATCCTTGACATGGACCTCGACCGTCGCAAGCACATCTCTGCGATAACAGAATGCGGAGAACAACTGGGCGACGGCGCTGCATTTGTAGATAACTTTTAGCCATCGAAACTGCCCGGCGTGAGCTTTTCGGCCTTATTAAGCTGACGTTCAGACAAAGTCGTCTGCCTTTTCGGCAACTCGGGGCCAACCGCTCGCTGCTCGGACTTCTCGGCGACGTCATGCTTTAAGAAAATTTGCTCGCGAAACCTGCAGAGCCCAACAACAACGCCTGACGGAACCACCGCTGTCCGAACTCAATGATCCTCATCAGCAGTCGACGACCGACCATCCTCCTCGTATGGAGATTATCGTTTGTCACAATAATTCAATCCGGTAGGTCTATATGGTAAGCACACAGTTGCTTTTGTCGACCGACTCTCTTCGACACGCTTCTTCCTTCGCTGCTCCTTTCCTTTATGTGCGCTTTCCTCCTCTTCAAAACGTCAAGCTCCTCCTCTACGCCTTACAGCACGCCCTAAGCACTACAAGCACGCCCTACTTTCCAGTCCAAGCTTCTCCTTCTAGCTGCTTGATCCAATTTCAGACCCCAACATCTGTCTTGGCTCTATCTGAATCCTGCACGTAAAAGCTTCGTAACAGAAACTTCGTTATTCGTCAATTCTCTCTTTACATCCCAAACCTGCACACAATCGCATTTGCAAATCCCAAGCACACGCCGCTGATAGGCTTCCCGTCCTTTCATACTTCAAGAAGAAGCTCATCCCCAGCGCTTCTTCCCCTCATCTACCCACCCTGTCACACATGTCTTTGCCAGAACACCCCGACGCTGCCCGTTTCGGTCCCTTTGGCGGCAACCTCGCAAATATGCCTCCCCACTACGAGGATAGCATCGACAAGGCTGGTCCTGGTGACAAGGTCGGCGCACCTGAGCTGGAGAAGACGGCCACACTCGAAGAGGGAGAGGCCAAGTTCAAGAAGTTGGGATGGAAGCGTCTGACTATCTGTTTGATTGTTGAGGCCATTGCTCTCGGTGCTCTATCCGTTCCTGCTGCTTTCGCTGCCGTCGGCATGGTTGCTGGTGTTATTCTTTCGGTCGGCATTGGTTTGCTCGCCATTTACACGAGTTACGTCGTCGGACAGGTCAAGATCAAGTTCCCCCAAGTCGAGCACTACTCGGATGCCGTTGGTCTCATGTTCGGTCGCATCGGAATGGAAGTCGTTGGTGCCATGTTCACTCTCCATCTGATCCTGCTCTCGGCTTCGCACACTCTGACTGGCACCATCGCCTGGATCCGCATTGTCGACGACCCGACTGTCTGCGCCCTTGTTTGGTCCGCCATTTCTGCTATTCTCCTGTTCATCTTGGCCATTCCTCCCACTTTCGCGGAGTTCGCCATCCTGGGTTACATTGATTTTGCTTCCATCATTGGTGCCATTGGTATCACCATCATTGCTACTGGTATTCAAGCAAGCGATTCCGTCGGTGGCCTTTCTGCTGTTTCATGGAGCGCCTGGCCTCCGGAGGACATGACCTTTTCATCTGCTTTCCTCGCAGTCACCAACATCGTCTTTGCCTACTCCTTCGCCATTTGCCAGTTCTCCTTCATGGCTGAGCTCCACACTCCCAAGGATTACGTAAAGTCCATCTGGGCTCTTGGTATCATTGAGATCATCATTTACACCGTCACTGGTGCTCTCATCTACGCTTTCGTTGGTACCAACGTTGCCAGTCCCGCCCTTCTCTCTGGCAGCCACATCATCACTCGTGTTGCCTTCGGTGTCGCACTTCCCGTCATCTTCATTTCGGGATCCATCAATGCAACCGTCGTTGGCCGCTACCTGATTGGTCGCATCTTCAAGAACTCGCCTATCCGCTACACCAACACCAAGCAAGGCTGGGCTGTCTGGATCTTTGTGCTTATCGCTCAAATCGTCCTTGCCTGGGTCATTGCCGAAGCTATTCCCTTCTTCAGCGACCTTCTCGGGATCACCTCCGCCCTGTTCATCTCAGGCTTCTCATTCTACTTCCCCGCCCTCTTCTGGTTCCTGCTCATCAAGGAGGGCAAGTGGAACGCCAGCAAAAAGAACATTGCACTGTTTGCTCTCAACGCACTTTGCTTTGTCATTGGTTTGACTATCCTTGGATGCGGTACCTACGCCAGTGTCAAGGATATTGTCGATTCCTACGACTCCGGCAATGTCAGGTCCCCTTTCACTTGCTCTCAGGAGGCTTATGCTTAAACGATGCAAAAGTTATTTTTTCACGATTCCCTTTTCAAGAAAGGGGAGTTTTTATGTATATATGTATATCAATGTCACGTCCCTTCAATTCATCCCTTCTACCCACCAAGCTTCCTGTGAAACAAGATGATTCTCTGCAACAAAAACTTTCATCACTTCTTGCCGATTAACTATATGTTTCTGCTTTGACCGACATGGCTTGATAGTTCGCGTAACCTCTGGCAACCACTTATTGTTCTGTTATTATACTCGAGGTATAAGGCATCCCAATCTTTCTTTTGCAATCTGGGTGTGCGTTCGGATCTCACTTGCCCACACACGCTCCACTTGTCCTCCGAGTACGGCTCCCAAGGCCTTGGAAATGCCGTATTGAAACTACGAGCACCACGTGGCAACCGACTCTTCTCGAACCCTGCACCTCCCTTTCGCACCGCGCAACGAGTCCGACACAAACGGCAAGAAAGAATAGTCGGTCCTTTTCGTGTGTTGGTTGTTAGTATCATTGCACGAAAGATTCGGAAGTCAAGCAGTACGTGGCGCGAATCGACATTCCGAGGATTCGGGCTTGTGTGCGGATGGCGCATGGGCGGCTCGGACCGCCGGCGTTTATGCATATGCATGTATGTTGTGCAGTGGTTGTAGTTGCGAAGTTGATGAGGCGCTGTTGGCAACGTGGTGGCACTGAAAAGAGAGGTGATGGTATCGTGTTGGTTTCGTGGTTTGATATTTGCAAGGAGATGTTGGGGAGTGAATAATCTGTCAAAGATTGCTGTCTAAGAAGAGTACCTTAATATAGAAGCCTCTATCTGCAAAGTTGCACTTGCTGACTTCTCTCAAACTGGTTAGATGATGGAGACTGAATTGTGTGTGAATTTGCTCGATGGTGCGAAGCTTTCGAGTCGTGAAACGAAAAAACCCAAACAACTCGATCACAACCGGCAATATCATTCTTGTACCGGAGTATCATATCATGTTCGGTATTCTAGACCTACAGACGTGCTCAAAGTCTCATTCTCCAAGACGTGGACTCCAGAATGGCCCTAGAAGTTCTGATAGGTGTTGCTGATGGTAGCACCCTGCTCTGCTCAAGCCTCCATCTCAAGAAGGAAATTTCATCTCCGAATCGGACATGACGAGTGCCCAGCTTCCTCACGACCTCGGCGGCATTTCCTATTCGAGTCAACTTCCGTTCTGCATCAGCAGATGCTATCGAATATATATCGAGTTCGATAGACGTTGCTTTGAAAATCGGTTTGATTGTTCTCAGTTCTGACATTGCATTCACATGGCACTGGAAGATCTATGGTACGGGTGTCATTTGCGACGGCACCGCTCGCGCAAGGACGCGCACTTTCCACGAACATGTTCTACAACTGATCTTCAAACAATAGCGGCGTGTTTGTGAAATGAGATGAGATCCGATCTCATCATATTGGTTCGTCAGAAGACGAAACGAACATCGTACGCTATCTTTGCAGTCTTGCGCAACCTGTCAAAGCAAGTAGCTATCTCTTACCATGCACCCCAGTACTCCAGAAGTCCAGTCAGGTGGTCCAGCGACCATTCGGTCCTTCTCTTGATCGAGTCTGGAGGTCTGGAGATGCATCGCGAGACAGGTTCGATTTGCGGAGCATGGATTTGGGGGATGCGACGCAAGACACAAAACAGGATCTGATCAGCTGCAACTTTCAATGGAGCCGAGCGAGGAGTTTGGGGAGTTGCAGGTTGGGGCGTTGCTCTCCTCGCAATTCTCCAGGACATGTGGGCCTTCTTTGATTGCGACCGCGATACCACCGACACTATTCGTCTCCGCAGCAAGGCAGAGATGTTTTGCGGGAACCGGGGTTCAAATTCAAGATGCAGAAGGAGGTGGAACAAGGGTTGCAAGGCCCCCGGTGCCTCTCGGGTGTGCTCGTGTCAGGAGGTCACATAGAAAGAAATACACCAGCTGTTGTTGGAATGTTTTCACGAGCGCCAAGTGGCCCGCGGGTGGCGTCTACAAAGACAGACGCCATTTGAAGGCTTCTAGCGGCTTTTCCACACCTTCTTTTTGGCTAAACGCCTCGTGCGTAGGTGTTATTTCCGCACCGTAAGCCAAGATTGCCTTTGTCTTCAAGAAGGGACATTCGACAAACATGCAATTCTCTTCTCTTGAAGAATAACAGCTCGACCAGCAGGCTCAAAGTCTGCAGGATTCGAGGCGCACTCCTCGGAATTGTGGTGCCCCACGTCTCCACCGATAACCCCCGACCGACTCGGCTTGTATTCGGTGGTATTCTGCATTTTGCGCGCTCCGTATGGAGTCGCAGTGCGGATTGATCAGCTCCCGGTCCGATAAGTTCAGGAACCGCTGCGATGTTACGAGAAAAGCCTGCCCGCACAGGCGCTCGCGTGTCGTGTTCCAACATGGCAGAAACAACCATGACGTCTAGCGTGCCATGGGGAGTCTCTTTTACTTCTCGGCCAAGCCCCACGATTCGGTAGTCCATCCTCCAGACCTTCTGTTTGCGAGGCTTATGCTCCGCGTTTGGAAGACGGTTTGATGCACGCGGGACTTGCGACGGGCTTGACTTTCGATCCATGCACTGGGCGCCAATTTTGAGTGTTGCCCTCTGTCAAGGCGTGGCGTGCAAAAGGTGGGTGCCGTTTTGAGGCCCGGTTCTATAAGAGGCATCCAATCTGCCACTCCATACAGGTCAGTGATTTTCGGTTTTTTTTGTTCAGTCGCTTGCAACCTCTTCCCCCCTGTGTGGTCCTTTCATACTACGACTCTCGTCAATCTTCCTCCATACCTATCCTCCTGGACTAGCATACAAACATGGGTTTCCTCTCGCTCAAGAAGCCCGACGATGAGGTCGGTGCCGCATGGCCTTCAATTATGGTCGGTGCCTTTGCCGCCTTTGCTGGTATTCTCTACGGTTATGATACTGGTATGTTAAGCCGAAGCTCCTATCCAGCTCCTTGAAGTCATGCTAATTGTACATTCACTTTAGGTACCATTTCTGGTATTCAAGAGATGCCCTACTGGATCAAAGAATTCAACGACCCTGCTGCCCACGGAAAAATCTCCCTGATCGTCTCTATTCTCTCCGTCGGTACCTTCGTCGGTGCTTTGGCTGCTGGTCTCATTGCCGACTGGACTGGTCGCAAGTGGGGTATCATCATCTGTGCTGCTATTCCTTTCAACCTCGGTGTCATTCTCCAAGTCGCTTCCACTGAGCAGAGCATGTTCATTGCTGGTAGATTCTTCGCTGGTCTTGGTGTTGGTCTCGTCTCTGTTCAGATTCCCATGTACCAAGCCGAGACTCTACCCAAGTGGATTCGTGGTTTCATCATCGGTTCTTACCAACTGTGTATCACTATCGGTCTGCTCATCGCCTCTCTGGTCAACAATGGTAAGTTCTGCTTCTCAGCGGTAAATCTACCAAACACTAACATCGTATAGCAACCAAGGATCGCAACGACACCGGCTCATACCGTATTCCTCTCGCCATCCAGTTCGCCTGGTCGCTCATCCTCTGCTTCGGCATGCTCATGCTTCCTGAGACCCCCCGTTTCTTGATTAAGAAGAACAAGCCCGAGAAGGCAAGAAAGTCGCTTCACTTCCTCCGCCGTCTTCCCGCAGACCACCCTGCCATTACCGCTGAGCTCGCCGAAATCACTGCCAACTACGAGTACGAGCTTTCTCTCGGAACTGCCTCTTACGTCGAGTGCTTCAAGGGCAACACTGGCAAGCGTACCTTCACTGGTATTGCTCTCCAATCTCTCCAGCAACTCGTCGGTGTCAACTTCATCTTCTACTACGGTACATCCTACTTCAGCAGAAACGCTCCTGCCGACCCTTCGATTCAATGGCTGCCCAGCGCTTTCATCCTCTCCGTCATCACCAACGTCATCAACGTCGTCTCAACTTTCCCTGGTCTCTGGGCCATTGACCGCTTCGGTCGTCGTCCCGTCCTGCTTGTTGGTGCTCTCGGCATGGGTATCTCGCAGTACATTGTCGCTGCTGCCGGTGTCGCCACTTCGCCTACCGACTACACTTCGGCTTGCGCTCAATTCGCCTTCATCTGTATCTACATCTTCTTCTTCGCCTCCACTTTCGGTCCCGCCGCCTGGGTCGTCACTGGTGAAATCTTCCCTCTCAAGGTTCGCGCCAAGTGTCTTTCCATGACCACCGCCGCCAACTGGTTCTTCAACTGGCTCTTGGCCTTCATCACTCCCTACCTTACTGAAGTCCAGTATGCCAACCTTGGCCCCAACATCTTCTGGATCTGGGGTGGTTTCTGCTGGATCGCCGTCGTCTTTGTCTGGTCCTTCATCTACGAGACCAAGGACTTGTCTCTCGAGGAGGTTAACGAGCTTTACAAAACTGTTGGCAAGGCATGGAAGAGCAAGTCTTACCGTCCCATGATTGCTCAGTCCAACGGCGATTGGGATGCTGCTCGCACCAAGGCCGAGGCTGAGGGCAAGACTTCGCACGCTCAGAGCGATGAGATGCTCGAGAAGGCATAGATATGAGTTAACTTTTAAGAGTCACAGCTGTGTTTTTGGGCTGTTTTGGCTTGCATATATGTGTAAATGATATAATATTTGGCAATGATTGAAAATGCCTTCTACTTACAATACCTTGCCTCTTCTTTGTTTCTTGTGACTCTCGATCTGGATGTCTTTTTCTATTTTGTACGTGTGATATTGACATTGCCAAAGATCAAAGGGAAATCAGCCCCAAAACCTGGGCGCGGTTGAATCAAAATACAGCCTTGATTTCGGCAACTATAGCTTCCTGTGCCCTAAGAGTATAGTTAGCTCACTTTGTTTTGATAACCCAAATTGCCAATCTGGTTTGTTTTGTTCTTCCGAGTGGTGTTTGCATCTCCAGTGCCTGGTTGCCGACGGAGCACGCTCCGCCCAATTCGTCTCTTGGCATCTCCGCAGCCAACTCTGTCTACTTTCAACCTTTCCCTCCAACTCTCTTTCTTCTAACAACCATCACATTCTTTCACACTAGAGGTGTGCTCTAATCGCCTGTGCTCCGTAACAGCTGTAGATAATGAGTGATGCCAAGTGGTTTGCCACATCAACTTCACCCGACATATTCGTTTTGCGACTTGTCTGAGTCACTGCAACAAAGACCTTCGCTTCTTGGTTGCGATTCAGCTGAGATCTCGTCTTGCATCAGGTCAATCTTCATGGAATTATTGCCATGCATCACCTCTTTGTGCTCAACAAAGCTTTGTTTGTTGGTTGCAGAGATGTCTAGGAACATACGATAACCTCACTTTCACGAGTGAGATGTTTGTCCCATCTCAATCACTCTTAACCTTGAATATTCGCTCCTTGAACGACCCTTACTTTTGTCCATCCTTCACTCTACAATTTCCTTGCTTTCCATCCTCTTTCACACCCTTGTTGCTGCTGAGCTTCTGTAACCATGGCAGCTCCATTGCCTCCTCCAGGCAGTGATGCTATCCTGATGAGCATTGCACCCAACATCCAAGCACGATTTGATGCCCGTCAGCAAGCTCTGAAGGCACAATTTGATGCCGAGTCTCAGGCTCTTCAGCAAGAGCTTGACTACGACAATCAAGCCTTGCGTCTTCAACTCGAGGAACTCGGCTACCGCGAAGCTCGCATCACTGGTGATATTCCTTCAGACTTCAGAGATTTTTCATCAAGAACTCTTGATGCCGTAACTGTCATCAACGTGGAGCCTGTCGCCGTACCTCCACAGTCGACCTCAGATCATTCTGATGCCGATGCGGGCGCATCGTTCTCAGATGTCTTGCGTGATGCTCTCCGCAGACTCAGTAACTTTCCGGAATATGCTCGCTTCTGCGCTGATAAACCTGGACTAGAGCTCACACTTTGTCAAGCTTGCCTTGAACGTTCGCCTAGATCAGAGATACTGTTAGCACCATGCGGTGACAGATATTGCACAGGCTGCATGACCACTCTCTTCGAGAATGCTATCCTTGATGAGGCTATGTACCCGCCTCGCTGCTGTGGTCAGACCATTACTCTTGATTCTGTTCGATCCATCATCACTTCCGATCTGGCTGTCACTTTCACCAAAAAAGCTATGGAGTTTGACACGACTAACAGGACATACTGTTCCAATTCTGCCTGCAGTCAATTCATCCCCAACGAGCGTATCAATGATGATGTGGCTGTCTGCGATGCATGCAACCAACGTACTTGTTCAATCTGTAAAGGCAATGCTCACCACGACGATTGTCCCGAGGACGAGACCACTCAACTCACTCTCCAGCTCGGCGAGACTCAGCAATGGCAGCGCTGTAATGACTGCCGAAGTCTTGTCGAACGCTCTGCGGGTTGTAATCATATTACGTGAGTTTATCCCCGTGCCTGTTCATTGTATGTCACTGAAGTCGCTATAGTTGTCGATGCCGCGCTGAATTCTGCTATATCTGCGCAGCGCCTTGGAGGACTTGTTCGTGTCCTCAGTTTGGCGAGCCTGATGTTCAAGCTGGAGACGCAAACCACCCTCGCCGCAGAATCTACCAGCCTATCCAGACCGCCATCCGTCCTGATCCCAACGCCTCGCCTACCATTCCCACTCAGCATGACGACTGGACGATCCCGGCCATCACCACTCAACCCACCGTTACTAGCACTCCTGCTCAGCCTGCTGCAGCCCCTTTCACCAGAGCTCGACCTACGGTTCCTAGAACTCCTACCCGGCCTGCCGTTGCTACGGTTCCTGCCATCAGGACTCGTACTACCGTAACTAGAACGCCTGCTCGGTCTGCTGCTCCCTCCGCTCATAGAACTCCTACTCGGCCTGCTGCTCCCGCTGTTCCTAGCACTCTTCCCCGCCGTACCACTCCTGCTGAGCGTACGCGCATGAATGAAAGTCGATCCACCGTCCCTAGCACCCCTATCCGGCCTGCTGCTCCCATCGTTCCCACTCGGCGTGCCGTACGGACTCGAGTCGTTATCCCTGAATTCATTCTTCCCAGACGTATCACTCTCGCTGAGCGTGCACGCATGAATGAGAGGGGCTCCTCACATGCCTGATGTTGCTGGGTCCGCCAAGCCCTTTGAGCTCGCAACTCTTGCTGTACTTGTCGTGCTGTCTTCACAAACCTCATCTCATCAGACTCTACTGTGGAACCTCCATAAGGTAGGGTAGTTCAGTCATATGTTTGACTGTGTCAGTCAGTATTGCTGTTTAGTGCTTTTTACTCGCTCAAATAACAGAAAAAATGCTATACTAATCAACTGCTTTTTACATGATGCTTAGCCCTTCTTTGTCTTGTGTTTGTAACTTCCGCAATGAGGATTGGAAAAACATACAGCTGTTGTCTTACTCTCGTTGGGCTGAGAATTGGAGGACTATCGTTGCTTCGGCAATAAGCCGTGTGCTTGTTGCCAACGTAGTCAACAGCTTTCTTGTTGGTTACGTTGGATACGTTGAATAGGTTCATTGACCCCAACAAGTGTCTGGTCAATTGTGTCCACCTCATCTTAGCGTCCTACATCGACAGCGTAGCATCCGCATCTGGCATTGCCGCTATTTTTGAGCGCAAGCGTTCGAGGGGAATGTGTCTCTGTTATTGACAAGTCAGTCCACAAATGCCTTCTCTTGTTCTGGAATCACGATCGCTGTTCGAGTCGTCTCATCGATAATCTGGTATGAACATATGTCGGACCAGCATCGCCTACATAGCGTAAATCTGTCTGTTCAGTATGCTGACCGTACAACGCACTTTTGGTGCTAATCAGCTGCTGGCCTTCAGCCATACAGAGTCAAGTTTTAAGGTTCTTGCATTGCCCTATGGCGCCATTCATGTGGAGTTTTCCGTCAGACCGAAAGTATGCGTTTATCTGCGAGTACCTCTTGATCTGCGGTCATTCTATACGGATCACAACTTTAACGATAGCTATGGCGTTATCTCAGTCCAGGGTGCAATGCATACAGACAGTAAAGATCTCCAACCATAAAAAGGCACCATATAATGCCGCCTTGGCCCGCCAAAAAGACAAGCCTTTCTTCGAAGTGCCGATTGTCATGCTCTTGGAGCTTGATTTTTATGACTGACTGGCTTGTTGGACATGGAGTCACTGAAGAATGAGCCGCGCGCCAATGCGATAGCACATCCGGACTCGATTTCGACATTCGAGCATGATCCTCGAGGCAGCAGTAACGAACCCAAGGTCGGCGAGCTTTTGCCAGGCGAGGCCGAGCTGGGAGGCTTGGGTCGTCATCTTGGACTGTGGTCTACTGTGGCTTTGATGTTCGTTCAGTCGCTCTGATCGCATCGCCTTTCTCTGCTGACTTCCTTGCCTAGTGTCGGTCGCATCATCGGAACAGGCATCTTCTCAACCCCTTCATCGATTGTGTCGAGTGTAGGAAGTGTCGGCGCTGCCTTCATGCTCTGGTTGCTCGGTCTCGCATCCTGTCTTTCGGGCCTCTGTATCTGGCTGGAACTTGGTTGCATGATTCCACGATCCGGAGGTGAAAAAGTCTATCTGGAAGCAGCGTTCAAGCGACCCAAGTTGCTTGCTACCACATTCTTTGCCTGGCAAGCCGAGGACGATGGCTTCACCGCATCTGGATGCATCGTCTTTGCTAGTTATGTCATCAAAGCTGCCGGTCGCACAGCTACTGAGTGGGAGAAACGAGGCATCGCGCTTGCCGTCGTCACCGTCATCTGTGCAGCGCATACTGTCGTTCCTCGATGGGCTGTTCGCGGCATGAATGGTCTTGTTATCGTCAAGCTGGTAGTCCTACTTTTCATCGTCGTTGCTGGCTGGGCTGTACTGGGTGGAGCAGCCAAAGATCGCATCCCGCATCCCACTGCCAGCTTCCAAAATGCTTTTGCTGGCACTACCTCGAGCGGCTATCTCTGGGCTACAGCTTTGTTCAAAGTCCTCAACTCATACGCTGGATGGTCGAACGCTGCATATGTTCTGAATGAGGTCAAAAATCCCGTACGAACACTGAAGATTGCAGGACCTCTCGGTCTGGGAATATGCGGTGTCTTGTACATGATGGCTAACGTCTCATACTTCGCCGCCGCGACACCCAAAGAAGTTGCTGCAAGTAAGCTCACCGTCGCTGCTCTATTCATGAACAAGGTCTTCGGCACTGCAGCTGAGAAAGCCATCAGCGTACTCATCGCAATCTCAGCCTTTGGAAACGTCATGACCGTCACTTTTGCTCAAGCCCGTGTCAACCAAGAACTCGCCAAAGAAGGTGTGATACCTTTTCCTCGCTTTTGGGCTTCTTCATGGCCGGCCGGCGCGCCGGGTGCTGGTCTCTTGCTTCACTGGATCCCAAGTGCCATCATCATCATTGCGATACCATTTGGTGATGCCTACAACTTCATTCTGGATGTTGAAGGCTATCCTAGCTCAGTCATCAACTTCTTCGTTGTCGTTGGATTCTTCTGGCTTCGCTATGCTGAGCCTGGACTTGATCGCCCTTTCCGCTGTTGGTCACCTGTAGCTGCGTTTTATATGGTCGTACAGGCTTTCCTCATGGTCGCACCCTTCCTGAAACCTCCAGGTGGTAAAGGCGATACATCGCTGCCTTATTGGTTGTACCCGGTGGTGGGTATCATTGTGCTTACAGTGTCGGTACTGTATTGGGTCGTGTGGCGCAAGCTGCTGCCGTTCCTTGGAAGATATAGCCTCGAAGCAGATCATGAGAAGCTAGCAGATGGAACTGCTGTGGTGATATGGCGTAAGGTAAAGCGTAGTTAGCATGCTCACGATCATTCTGCAAAGTCGTATAGTTTGGGCTTTAATTGGACTTTAACACCGCCCTCCCGTCTACTAATCCATCAGCCCATTCATACGTGAAGTATTTGTGTGATCTGTCGATGTACGATCAGCAGTCAGAGCATGATCGCATTGGGCAGAGGGACTTCAGGCTTTTTCATCTAGACCTTGTGTGTCTTTCTCTTGGTAATACTGTGGGCGTTTCTACCTAACAGCAAGGAGTGCACAACTGTGATTGTTATATCTTGGCACAGTACACACTATCAGTGACGAATACACCTATAGTAGACGTAACTATCACGGAAGAACTACGGTTCATTGTTGGTACAAGAAGAGACGCTACACTCCGAGTGTTAGGGCATGAATATCTCGGCCGATACTGTGGACTTATGCTGTATCTCCGCCTCCACCGAACGTTAACACCGCAATTGCCGTTGAACCATTTCAAGTGATTTTACAGGCTGCGGCAGGGTATTGCTAGCCTGCGAAGATTCTCGTTCAGCAGTCTGTTCATTGTTGCGGCCCGATTCATTGGGCCTCGATACATAAAGATGTCCTGCCTACCAAACACCATACGAAACTTCCACCTTGCGTTCCCAGTCAAGTCATGGCTATGCGCACACTTGAGAACGATATAAACCAGGCCATCGAGGCAAAAAAGATTGCTGGATGTGTACTTCTAGCCGCTTCTCGTGATGGTACAGTCTGTTTCTTCCCCATAGTCTCACTCCTCTGACAATCCAAAAGATAGATGCAACTATAGCAAAGCCTTTGGTCGGCGGTCCATGGAAGCCGATTCACAGGCTTTGCGAACCACAGATATCTTTGCTCTGATATCTTGTGGTAAGCTTCTTGTATCGATTGCGACACTTCAACTTGTCGAGCGCAAATTTATATCCCTCGACACCGATGTTGGTACTCTGATACCCGAATTGGCGTCCCAGTCTATTCTTACTGCATTTACACATGAAGGACTCCCTGTGCAACAGAAGCGAGGAAAACCGATTCGGGTACGACATCTTCTTACCCATGCGGTTGGTTTGCCATATTTCGACCCTTTATTGCTTCAATACTTCGAGAGCCAGGGGATAACACCCATGCAGCAGACCACAGTGATCCAGCGATTTGCCGTGCCACTGCTAGCTGAGGTTGGAGCAAGTTTTCACTACGGCTCTTCCTTTGATTGGCTGGGTAGGATCATTGAGATTTTTACTGGAGTCTCTCTCGATACTTATGTCCGGAACAACATCTGTAACCCTCTTGACATCAAAGACATCTTCTTCTCCATCCAGAATCTGGATCAAGTGCAAGAGAGACTTGTGTCTACCTCAATGCTGGCAGAAGGTGGCGTAATGAAACCCAATACGCAAGGCTCCATTAACGATATCATCACCGAATGTTTTGGTGGGCAAAGCGGACACGCAAATCTTGAGAGTCTTCTCACAGTTCTGAAGTCCCTTACCGCCAATGACGGGAGATTGTTGCAGCAGGACACGGTCGATATGATGTTCCAGCCCCAGCTTGGCGAAGAAAGTAAACTGGCATTGAGCAAGCAAATCAAGGAGAGATCGGGGCTGGTTCACTTGTTCACTGATCTAGAAGATGGCGACTATGACTGGAACTTTGCCGGAAGGGTTAGACTACAAGATGGTAAGCCCGACTTTACAGACTGGTTTGGAATGATGAATACACACTGGGTAGGTGTGCTGTCTCCGACCCGTTACGATCAAGAAGTTTACTAATCATCGACACAGTTCATAGATCATAAGCGTGGTATCTGTGGTATCTTTGGTACTCAGTCCTTGCCTATGGGCGAGCCTGAATCTATGGAGCTGTGCCGTAGATGGGTGCAACAGACGACCAGCCAGTGAAAGGTTTATCTCATCGTTCAGCGTGAGCGTCGCTACTATCCACACCTCCACCAACAACCGTGTCATTTAACATCGTCATCCCCGGTCTGTTGCTCGAAAAAGAGTAGCCAATCAGGTCTTTTCATAGCAGGATGTTGGGACTTTTCATACGATGCCGTTTCTCGAAACACTGATGCTGATAGTCTAACCCAATTTTCAACATTCCCGTCAGCTACTCTTTCAACATGTTTTGGTGAACGACTGGCGAGACTTCGAGACTTCCTTACTGAAACGCTGTCATACAGTCTTGAATGAAACTGAAACAGGCAAAGAATGGCACTGATGGATTATCATTCTGACATTCTGTTTTTGTCCATTGTTCTATGTGCTATAGAATCGTTTGATATCTCATCAACAAAGCTAGACCAAGGGCATGAAAATGCCTCATGCAGGTGTTTCTTGCTACTCACTCGAAACCCATACCCTTCCATTCCGCGTTGACTTTGTCCTTGACCTCTGCTGGGTACGAATTTTAAAAGTCAGCGGCTTGCCAGTCGGCACCAGTAGTATACTCGACAGGCAGAAGAACATCGCTAACAAATTTGCCACCCTTTCCGGGATTGAAAGCGCCATGCGAGTTGTAAGGGATCAATGGGAAAGCCTTGACGTCGTCGAAGAAGACCTCGTCATCGCCAGGACGACAGCGTGTGCAGAATGCCCACATGACATCTTTGAAGTTGTAGACATCGATATCGTCGCCCACCAGCACGATGCGGTGGATCGTGTAGCCGACTTTGTCGTTGAAAATTAAGTCGCCAACTCGTTTGGCAAACTCCTTGGACGTGGTCTTCATCTCGCGGAGTTTTGCTGTGTCGATCTTGAGGGCTACCCAGGTGACTTGGGATTCAAAGTTGGACATTGCTTCGGTGACGGGCAAGCTGGCTTCTTGACAGAGCTGGCGAATTGACGCTGCGGCGAGGGGGCCGATCATGGTGTGCTAGAGGTTATTAGTCTTGGCAATCTTGGAGGGGCTCGATGATGAATACTCACAGTCTCGTCAGTAAGTCTTCCGCAAGCTGACATTGGAAGAATTGCGTCGTCGCGGTGAGTGATGGCATTCACAGTATACTTGGGCCATTGGTGAGTGTCGCCAGGGAAGACATAACCATGCATCTCGCCAAAGGGACCTTCGGGAGCAGTCTCTGTAATAGAGAGCGTTCCCTCGAATACGATCTCGGAATTCGCAGGTACCAACATGTCGTTGGCCTCGCATTTGACGAGGTCGAGAGCGGTGCCAGTCATAGAACCGATATACTCTGCTTCGGTGACACCAGCTGGCAGAGGCATGCTAGATGCCATGATAGCAGCAGGAGGCACACCGAAACAGAGAGCCCAGGGAACGTCACGTCCTTCCTTTTTCCAAAGTTCTCGGATCTGCCAGATGTGCTGGGGCTCGATGACAAGACCAACCAGATGACGATTGTCGTGTATCATGGCACGAGCGATAGACCAGTTTGTCCATTTGCCGCCGGGGGATTGCACAACGTGCATGCCATACGTCTGAATGTACTTTCAACCATCGGCTTGATGGATCAAAGGAGCGGGTAATTTGGTAAGATCAATGTCATCTCCAAAGATCTTGTTCTCCTTACAAGATCCGTTCTCGATAATTTTTGGTTTGAGAGGAGTAGCCATCTTTGCAGACAATATCTTATCCAGAATCTCCTTCATGCCGGCAGTCGGAGGCAAAGCCAAATGTCTAGCCAGACGACCATATCGTGACTCTTTAGAAGAGCGAAGAGAGGCAGGAGCACCAAGAATTCTGTTTGTGATGCAAGAAATAGTATCACCTTAAGACATCTTGGTGGGCAGGAACAAGAGAGCCCACTTCCTTTGCTAGGCCTCGTATGGGCGATCGTTCCATGTATGGGTATACGTCCCATGTATTCTGAAGCCCCAAAGCATGTCGCATGTCGTCTGCCGAACTGCCGTCTGTACATGGCGTAGTGTTGACGAGTGATGGTAAAGAATTCTGGCCCAGGTTGAGGTAAGCCATGGACAGGAGCGGAAGATTCATTACTGTTATCGTCGTGTGTTGAGACATGGTGTGAGACCCCTTCCGGAGCCGGACTACGGGTGCCGGTCACTGATGGACGAGCCGACAGAGCACGTCGCACTCCCTGACGCCTTCGTGATACGGTCTTTTCGCGATTTTGCCCACTCGGTATACACAGGTCAGGGTGGCCTCTCTGAATGCATGTCTGGCAAGGAACAGATCGATCACATTTCACTTTGCGCGTCGAACAAGGGTAGCACGCTCTTCTTTCGCCATGATTGCGCTTCGCTGCAAGTGCCTTATCGACATCGGCGCGGGAAAGGGATGGTCCATTGGCTTCTACGTCCATGTGTTCTCGACTCTCTGTTGCCTTGGCCTGAGGACTGTCGAAAGAACGATTCCCGAGCGCCCGAGGCGCAGCTGTTGGCGTGCACGAAGTCACGTGGACTCGGCACTGACCCACTGCTCCCATAACGATTATATATACACGTCAAAGGATGTCTTATGAATAAAACTTCGCTTGTTGCAGTATCATCAAAATTCAATGGCAGCTTTGCAGCCGAAGCGTGGTAGAGATCTGGCTGGTCATTGTTCAGAACGAACAAGCATGTTGTTGATATGATCGCTAGAAACAGGTTGACAACGACAATCGTGTGTGCCTGCATGACTCAGCGGAGCAGAAAAGCTTGGCACAGAGCTCAGGCAGAAGGGCGACAGTCTCCCTATAAATCTGACCTGACAGGACAGGTTCAGGCATCAAGCGCGTAGACCACACGCACTATGTTTGCCATGCTGGATGCCATGTCAATTTGGTCTTGCGATGCGCGAGCTGCCTTGACGGCGCCTCTATGCGTCCGGAAGGATCTAAGAAGCTACCGATGTCTGTCAGGAGAGCTTCCTTCGCTTAACTTGTCGTAACGTCCACTGACCGCAAGACAGGTTTCTTGGTCAGACTTAGCTAGTGTTTCAAGAAACAGCCCCTTATCATCAGGCGCCAAGATTTTACGCCGGCTATACATACTCGTTCGAGGTATATTTTGGAAGTGGTATAGGAGATCATGCTCTCGTCTTGATCTAGTGGGAACTGACTCCGCCCTGTAGGATGCACGCCCTTCCCCGGCGCTGCCAATCCAGACCCATGGAGTATGGTATACGAGCCCTGCCAAGCTCGAAGGAACAGCACCTTCTTGGCTTTCGGAGTGGCCGAGTGATCTTGCAGATGTTCAAAAGGTACCAGTCGTACTCCTGATTCTGCGAGTGTACGGTTTATTTTTCCCCTCCATTGCCATCAAGCTACCATGATGGTGTCTGTCCGCGCTCTCGCCCTGATTCTTTTGCCAGTGGCTGCTAGAGCTGCTTCCTCAGAGTCATCAGACCAATCGTCATGTGTTAACCCGGCTGGCTACGAGAAGTGTAATGCAGATGCCGATACCAGGTTCAATACCTGTGTCAACGAGTATTGTGGAGGATCAATTTGTGTTTCGAGCTGCAAAGGCGATTCGAACTGCGTTTACAACAACTGCCCTAACGTTGGTAAGGACTGTCTCGATGTCTGCGAGTGCATCCGCAACACAGAACGTGTTGCTTGTGCAGCACAAGATTGTTGGAATCAGGTGCGTCTTCGAGGATCGGATCAACCTACCACACGGTCTGACTTACATGTGTGCACAGGTCTATACTTGCGAGTATGATGAGCTTGTCGCCGCGATGGTGGACATGTGTGATGTTTCCGGGGGTGTCGACACCAATGTTATTCCTTACTACCCTGCACCGGACTCGGCACCAGGCTCGTGCAGCTGCAACCAAGGCAAGCTGCTTTTGACGCTCAATAGTATCACCGCGCAAACGAACGCGTTATATGACAACAAGACGAACGTGGATGAGGCGATCCCGAATTATGCCGACCAGGCTACCTATTGGGCGTCCGCTGGATGCTGCTTCAATGCTCACCTTCAGTCTGCGTACGTTGATGCACCCCGCATACTTGACGGTTGACTGTGTTAGCTGACTCCTCGCTCGCAGGTATCGAGAAATCTGTCCAAATACGCAGCCAGCAGTTCTTGGAGCGGACTTGATGAGTTTCCCGGACGTGGCTCAGCAGTCGGAACTTGAGTGCTCGAACCTGATGCCCAACACCGATTGTGCAGGCGATTTCGGATTCGGCGCAGCAGTGGGGAATGCCATGTCTACCTATTACGCCCTGGACAAGCTTCCGCCCAACGGATCCGAGACATTATACAACAGGGATGGTGCGCTAGCATCGCCCACCCAAGCGACTATTGTTTGGACGCCAGCCTCAGCACAACCACCCATCACAATTGTAGCCGCGCAGGCGAGCAAAGGTGCCGAAAAGGAATCTACGACTGCAGGGACCGGCGCAACAGCAGCTAGCAAAACCAGCAACGGCGCGAACTCCGGCGCGAACTCCGGCGCTCAAGGTGCTACCCCGGCTGCTGTTTCTGCTTCGACTACGCCCAATGCAGCATCAAGAGCACATTCATCATGGTTGGCGATGGCATTCTGCATGGCCGCGACGATTGCCTGCTTCTGAAGAAGTTCCGATCACGATCTCTCTTATGGTTGTGACAATCGGGAAGCAATTAGGGCTGCGGATTTTGTAGCGCATTGACGAAATTGCGCGGTTGTTTTCCATAACAAACGTCGCTTGATTCAGGCATCTGTGACTGGCTGTGGCCGAATATACTTTACCTTGAATGGATTCACACAACCAGCAAAACCCTTTAAGAAGCGCAGATGCGACTAATCTTAGTTAGAATTATGAGGGTTCCGTGTCAATGACGCAGTATTTAAAGATAAAAGTGCGCCCAGCCTGGTCTAAAGGCAATATTTGGCTTCCTTCAAACGGCCATGTCTCAACGTTGTGATGAACAACAAAACAGGAGAAGTTCCCCCACAGATTTCATCCTCCAACGATCCCGGCCAACATGGCTCCCGAGGATGCAATTGCAATCGTTGTTTATGTCTGTCTGGGGCTTGCTTGCACCTCTGTCTCTCTGAGGACCGTGGTCAGGTGCAGATGGCTCGACGTCGGAATGAGAGTGGAAGACTGGTTGATGATTGTCGCACTGGTCAGTAGCATGATTACCTGACAGCGTGTCGCGTCTTCCGCGTACACGATCTGTCGCTATATCAGCATGAATATCACCTTGCTAAATTCCCTGCAACAGATGGCTTACTTGCCCTTCTGCGCAACGATAATTACTTTGACTGTGGTGGAACGTCGTAACCCCATTCTGACCGAACCCAGTGCCGATACAGTACTGCTAGTAAGCTATATTCCTAATCTCTGGATTTGCGTGGGGAACTAACAATTTGCGTTGTTGTAGCTGCTTGCCATTGCAGAATCCTTGTTCATGATAACGTCTATTGCTTTTAGGATTTCGCTGGCAATTTTCTTTCGTCGATTTCTCGTCGATCGCACACAACGCCAATTGGTATTGGGAATCACAGGCTTGTATTGTGGTGTAGCCGCATTTGCCTTCTTCCTCTGTCTGTTCCCATGTGGCGCACCTGTTCATATGGCCGCAAAGCGGATCAATGGCAAATGTATCCCAAACAATTGGTGGAATGGACTCCTTTATTTCCATGGCGCCCTCTCAGCACTTGCGGACTGGTTCTTCGCATTGCTACCGCTAGTGGTCCTATGGAAATCCACGATGCCAGCCAGAAACAAGCTGGGCGTGTCTCTGTTGATGCTGCTTGCAGTTTGTGGTTCGATATGTGCCGTCCTTCGCACCATCTATGTTGGAAGTCTCCGTTTCCACGCTGCATATTTCGATCCGCAACACCCGACATATTATCACACCACTGCTCTGGTAATCAACATGGCTGTGCTGGAGTTGGGCCTCGGAATCACAGCGGCATCCGCAGCATGCCTTATGCCCCTGTTTAGGCGCGCTGCTGCCTTGTGCCGACGCCATCTAGGCGGCAGACTTCGGCCAGAACACCTCAGCGGAAAGCAGCAACGATGCACATCCATAGCCCCACATGACGTATCATTGGATCTCTGGAAAAAAACTCCTGCCACCTCTGAGAATGTTACGACTCAAGACTGGGAAACCATAGATATGGAGATGTTGGGGGTTTTGCCTCCGATAGAGTTGACATCGACTGAAGACAAGAATGGAGATGTCTGAGTGCCACAAGACTGACTTCACCACCTATCAGCGCACTAAATTGAGCCAGCATCTTACTATCGTCCAACGCTTTCAGATCAAGAGCTTTCTGTAATTGTCAGAGTTCGCCTGCGCAGAAGCCAGCGAGCGGGGCCGATTGTGCTCACAGCACCACAACTCAACAGTGAACCGCCCCGCACAGCAAGCCTCAACGACAATATTCCTATGGGATGCGGCAAGATATGCGTCAACATCCCTCGACAAAATACTGCTGGATACCTGGGAGAAGTGCGCTGGTCCTTTACCCGACGTGATATCGCTTGAGCTAGAGACTATGGAACTGGAAAATCGAGGCATTCTGCCGGATCTAGAGTCGACGACGAATGAGATCAAGGACGGAAAGAGCTGAATGCCACTAACAAGCTTTGATACTTGTGAGCATGCTGAACATGTCTGTTCATCCAGGCTCCATAGAACGACCTGATCATTTGCTATACCTTGGCCTTCAGCTCTTGTGATGAACTCGATCCAGTGCTTCTGTGTCGCTCTGACTAAGTCTACGTGCTCACTAGAGCAAGATTTCGCATCAGCTTGCTCCAAAGCCTCGTGGAAAGCGTCGAAGACATATATGAGCTCGACGCAGTGATGCGAGACAGCTTGTTCAGGCTCTTGGAATGGCCGTCCAAACCAGTAAGATCAAGGGCCTTCGTCAATTTGTCAAAATTCGCCTGAGCAGACGCCATCGAAATGGGCCCAAGTGTTCCCATAGCACCAACCTCCATGATGGCCCGACTGAACAATGGAATGCTTTGCACAGCGGTAGCTTCAAGGACATGAGCATGCACCGAGCTAGCTCCCACCGACTGCCCGCCTAACGTGATTCGATTTTGGTCTCCGCCAAAGGCAGAGATATTGGCAGAGACCCATCTGAGTGCGTTTCGCTGGTCTACGAGTCCGAAGTTGCACCCCTTTATGCCTGCAGCATGATTCTGCGCGTGCATCAGAAGCGGTGACGCTGCAAAATCAAAGATGTTAAGCCGATAATTGATGCCAATGGCAATGAATGGACGTCCGAGTGAGATCGAATCGTCGACTAGTCGAGTGGGATCTAAAGTATTGTGTTAGCATTGCAGAGAGTGGAACGAACACGAAGGCATGATGTACCCCACATCGGGTCGGTAGCAGCACCAAGCCCGTAGCCACCGCCGTGGATGTAAACATAGACGGGCAGTTTATCAAGATCCTTACAAAGATCCAGACGATTGAGAGATTCCTCATTGGGACGAACGATGAAGAGGTTCAAGCACTTAAACTCGTCTTCTGTTACCTCAGGTAAAGCTAGATATGAATGGAATGTGTCTGAGTTGTTGGGGCCCTGCTGTTGTGGACATCTTGGACTAGAGGCATGGTTAGTTTTGCAAATCAAGAGAACGAAGAAGTGGCGATACCCATTCTTCGAGGCATCGAAGTTGTCAGAAGGCAATTCCTGTCGCAAGGTCGAATGTATCCAACGATCTGCTATATCAGCGTAAGGAATGCCACGAAACTCGTCCACACCCGGGATCCATGAGGTCTTGCGAACGACTCGCTGGACGAACGGGTCCTTCGTGTGATATGGTAGCTGAACAATGACTGGAGAGGGGCTGGCCATCTTTGCCTGTGGCGAATGGGGGCGAGAGCGACCTTTAGGCTGTTATTGTTCTCTGCTGAACAGATTTGTCAAGAGCTTGCGTACTTGTTTTCCGTGATGTAGTCTGCCCGCCTTATCAAAGAGTGCAGCGCAGTCTTCAATTTGCCGAATTCGATACCTAGAAATACCGTTACCATCGAAGAAAATAACTCCAAACGAACATGAGTCTTCCCCACAGTGGAACTTTTGGTGATGTACCACCAAATCAACGCTCATTTCCGCCTGGATTCTCTTGCGGCATGTCGAATTGCAGAATCTGGCAGGCCAAATTAGGTAGACATATCCTTAGGGCAAGGTATTTTGTTAGCCCTAACTCATGGTATTGTGTGGGGAGGCCAGTGGGGTGCGGGAACTACGCGATATAAGCTTTCCTCAGCTCAAAGCTCTTAACGGTCGATCATTGGTACAGGTCCTCTGGAGTACGGAGTATCATCAATGAAGCCACAGAGACTAGATCGTGGACTTATCACCTCGGGTAAGACTATTCGTGCCCTCGGCAATGTTGTGAATCCAGCCTATATAGCCATTAACTGCTTCAATATCCCATACATCAGTGTTCAGAGCAATGTCCTTCATCCTCATACTCATTGACAAAGCATGTCTCCTTCTGTCTTTCAGCAAGCAGTTGAGTCTCGCAGAGCATTGGCGGTCTGCTTGTTTGTAACTGTCGCCGCATTCCAATTTGGCTATGACTCCTCTTACTATTCGGGTAAGTGATGGAAGAGAGTACGGGTCCAGTCTGAAATGGACAGTCTTACCAGGTATCCTTGCCATTCAGCCTTTCCTGGAAATCTTCGGTCACCTTGATCCGGTCAAGGGAGTATATGTCTTGTCGGCGGAAAGACAGTCATTGACCACCAGCATCATCAACGCTGGTGAGTTCGTTGGTGCTATTTCCTCCTTCGTGATCGGGGAAAGTCTCGGTTCTCGCAGCGGTCTCTTTGTGTCGAGTGCTGCAGTCATCATCGGCACACTTATTCAGGTCCTCGCTCCAAATGTGGGAGCTCTCATTGCAGGCCGCTTGATCCTTGGTAGGTCGAGATGGCTAATCTTCACGTTTGCAAATAGCTGATCCTGATTGCAGGTTATGCCGTTGGCCTCATCTCGTGCCTTGTACCTGTATACATCGCCGATTGTGCTCCAGCTCGATTCCGTGGCGCCTTGGTATCCATGTATCAGTACTGCCTTGGTCTTGGTTTACTTTTGGGTGTCATCGTCGACTACTGCACCAAGGATCGCACCGACACTGCCTCCTTTAAGATCCCGATCGCTGTTCAGTTCGTCTTTCCTGTGGTTCTTGTGCCAGGCCTTCTGCTTTTCGTTCCGGAAAGCCCCCGTTGGTTGGTCCAGACCAACAACATCGACAAAGCCAAGCGATCGATCATGAGACTTACAGGAAAGTCGGCCGAGAGAGCAGAAGAAGACGTCACTCAGCTCCGGCTGCTACAACCAATGAGCAATGAGTCCTCCTGGAGAGATATCTTCACATGGGGGCCCGAAGGCCATAAGGCATATCTAGGATGTGCGCTGCAAGGTCAGTTTGTCCACCCTGTCGATGTGGATGAATCTTTCCTCATATATTGATACTCTTACAGCTCTCCAACAAGCCACAGGTATCAACTTCATCACTGGCTACGGCATTGTCTTCTTCTTCCAAATCGGAATCGACAATCCCTTCCTCATCCAGATGGGCCTTTACCTTGTTGCAATGCCAGCAGTGTGGATGAGCCAGTATGCCATCGAGAAGTTCGGTCGAAGGCCTATTCTCATCATTTCGGGCTTATTAACTTTTGCTGTGCTAATCATCATGGGCGGCGCAGGCCTCACCAAGCACAAATCAACTCCTCTTGAGCAGACTATCGTGGCTATGGTCTACATCTTTCTTGTGGTCTTCAACCTTGGCTGGGGACCGACAGTTTGGGTCGTAACATCCGAGATCGCAACTGGACCAAATCGGTCTAAATTGTTCGCTTTGTCTACCGGATCCAACTGGTTCTTCAACTGGGTGGTAAGCTTCTCCTTCCCCTACTTGTTTAACGCCGACGCGGCAGGTATGGGTGCAAAGATTGGATTCTTATACGGAGCACTTACTCTATGTGCTGTGGTCTGGGTTTACTTCTTGCTGCCTGAGACTTCTGGACTTTCCCTTGAGCAAATCCAGATGGCATTCGAGGCTGGCGCGTCTCCACGTTCCTTCAAAGGTAAGTGTTGCATACTGTCTTAGCACTAGTTGACCATGCTGACTGTAAACAGAATCTGCATTGATTCTGGCAGCATCTGCCGAGGAAGAGTTGAGAGACTTACCAAATGATAAAGAGGTCGCAATCAATTATGTCGAGACTGTATCTTAGTCACTCTATCTTAGTTGAGCACATTGTCTGCCTGGGTGTCACTTAGTAACACAGGGAGCATGCGATTCGAACCAATACGATTCAATCAATGCTCTGCGTATGTACCAGCGATTGGATTCTCCAATGCCAGAGTTCTCTTGGAAGCGCAGTCTGCAAACCATGAGTTGCCACTTCGTGGACAGCTCCCTTGGGCGTGAATTGGCCTCTCCCTCAGGCATCCACTTCGAGAACTTGCGAAATGCTAATGCAGGCACAACATGGTAGCGCTGCGGCTAGAGCAAACTTGCTGACATCCTCCTCGCCAAGTCTCTTGCAAAGCATCATCCAGAGATTACCAGCGTGTCTGTGCACCCATGAATTACGCGCACACAACTCAGCAGTGGTGTCGAGACTTCTTTCCTGACGCCTGTGTTCAAATTGATGTGCTTGACTCCTCTATGTCAGAGTGCAGACAAAAGTGCGTACAACGTGCTTTGGGCTGCAACAGCCCCAAAGATCAGGTCCAAAACGGCATGTATGACGAACTTGTGGGCAAAGTGCCTGGCAAGGCCGCCAAGGGCTCGGGACAGTCAAAACTGGTTCACGATGAGTCCTTAGCAGAAAGAATTTGGGAGTGGATAGAGAAGGAACTGAGCGACGTTATCTAGTGATTGATGATGTCACGGAATTCTTGAGGGACACTGCAGTGGAGCGGGTTTACAAGATGTACGAATTCACGAAATAAGTTATCCAATATATACAGGTATTTTTTTTTGCTTAATCTGCAAAGAAGCGTCTTGTCAGATAAGAGCTTGTATGCCATTACCTACAGAAGCTCGGGACAAGAGCCACTCTTCTGCCTAAGAATATGTCTCTTGATCCACCAAGACAGCCATACCTTGATTTGATATGATGCATGCCTGGTCGTAGGGATACTGAAAACCTCATCCAGCTCTTCAAGTGTTCGTTGTTTGGTCTCAGGCACGACAAAGAAGATGACAACGAAAGAGAGCATGTTGAGTCCGGCGTACAAGCAGAACGCGCCGGTGGGCGTGATCTTAGCCAGGAGAGAAGGGAAGGTGAGACCCAAAGCACTGCTGACAGAGTTGTTGACGCAGATGGTGAAAGCTGCTCCAATCTCTCTGTGAGATAGAGGAAAAGCTTCTGAAAAGTAGATTGAAGGAATTGGACCAATACCTAATGCAAGTCATAAGCTTAAGTGTATCTGCACAATGTCAATGCAACGTACCTGGAACATAGAATGCACCAAAGAGGAAGACGAATACAGCAATTAGGGGGATCTTTGCGCTGTTGTCACTTGACATCAAGAAGCTAAAGCCACAGCCTAGCAAACACCAGGCCATCTGCGGGAACGTGCTGAGCAGTAAGTTCCTTCTGCCGAAAGTGTCCATGGTGTAGATGGCAGGAAAAGCGAAGACGAACGATACAGCACCCTGCACGAGGAACGGGTTAGTGACTAAACTCTGGATGATGCGGTATGAGAAGACTTACAAATCCAAATGAGGCCAGAAGAGATTGCTTTACAGAGTATCCTGCCTCTGAAAAGATAGTAGACGAATAGAAGGCCATGATGTTGATGCCTGAAAACTGTTGAGCAATCACGATGATCGAGGAAGAGATTGTTGCACGACGGATCCTGGGTACCGTGACGAGCTCCATCACTCTTTTGGAGAGCGACTTCCCTTTGAACTCTTCGGCTTCAGCCATGAGCTGACAATGAGCATAGAACATCTCGCGAGCGGAGATCAATTCGTCATTTCTGATGCGACAGAATGCCCAGAAAGCTTTCTGATATCGCCCTTTCTTCATCAACCAACGAGGACTTTCGGGACACAACCAGATTAATCCAAGCAGAGGCAAGGCCGGGGCGAAAGCAGCAGCGAGTTGGAATCGCCATGCCAATCGCCCAACGTTCATGAAGATAAGGTTGGTGCTGAATCCTAGCAGAATACCAAACGCGACCCAAAGTTGGAAGCTGGTGACAATGCCTCCACGGATGTTGGCCGGTGATACCTCAGCACTGTAGATAGGTATTGTTGATATCTTGATGCCCATACCAAGACCCATGAACAATCTGCAGATCATAAGGCCAATCCAGTCTTTGGTGAATCCTTGTGCAAGCACGGGGAATACAACGAAGAGACCTGTAAGGAAGATTGTGCCCCGACGGCCGAGATAGTTGTTGACGGGATCTGCTGCCCATGCACTGAGTAACCCGAATAAAGAAGGCGAAGCATTGATTACTCCGATCAGCCATGGCTGATCCGCAATGCCAAACTCTTCCGGGAAAGAGAGATTGGCTCCATTGGCGCCTGTATTGTCCCATCCTCTAAAACTCTTGTCAGTTATAAAAAACGAAGAATGGTGGGCCTGTCCTACTGTACAGCAGATCCGATAGAGACAATCATGATACACATGTACATCGCCCATGGCAGGTCCCAGCGATCTAGACTACGTCAGTTTCCAGCCTCTGAAGATACAAATGTATGTGTTGCGTACTGGTGATTTCTCGACGAAGCCAGTATTTATCGTCTTCGGTCAAAGACTCGATAGACTCAAAGATTGTTGGTCTCTGAGCTATCAAAGCAGCTTTGTGGAATGTCTCAAATTTGTCCTCGAAGCCATAGGTATCGCAGAACAGATTTGCCTGATCTCGGAGCTCTGCCACAGTAAGACCAGATAGAGGATTGTTGTCCTTGACGCCAACTTTGCTGGAAGTGTATCCGTTTTGACCATACTCAAGGCATTCTACCTGCTGGACTTTATTGTCCTTGTCCATGATGTTGTAGTTCTGTTGAGCTTCTGAGTGAGTATGAGCAGCAAAGAGGGTGTGAATAGTGAATTGGTATCTGTGAATTGCAGCTTCACAACAGTCGGGACATCACACGACATTAATAGTCGTCACCATGGAACATGACTACCGCATATACCTTTGCCGTGCTCTGCTGTATACCACGAAGCGGGGCCCCGGATCTGGGGTTATCGACAATGTTTGATCCTTCGCTGCATCAAACGCGACTGCCGAAATCGGACAGTGAGACTCCTGCGCAGGTCATGTGCTTGATTTTGATTTGTAGAGGGGATTCCAAGCGGAAAGCCGTACATACCGTCCTGTGGCGGTTGATAGTGGCGCGGCAATACTATTGATTGGCCGTCCTTGGCGCGAGAGTCCTGTACAGGACAGTCTTGGCCTACAGCACTTCCTGGTTCAAAATGATACCACAGGCAGTCGCAGCTGTCGGAAGATCTTCCCTCGGTCTCTGTTACCCCGAAAGAACTGTACAGGACTGACCTGACCTTGGACGCGTGACGGTGCAACTGATGGAGAGGCTCAAGGCAGACCGATCTGCATAGATCAGACATGCCCTGCGTGCAACCACACGGGTGACCCCACTTTTCCCCGCCGATTGTCACAGGCCTGTACAGGTCAGACGTCGGGACAGTGGACTTCGCATGCGATACGTGATTGCACACATGCTATTGCACACAAAGTACCCACTTCGAATGATTAGACCTGTTTGCGACCGCTCCAGGATATGCGCTGAGCAATTCCGGGATTCAAATACAGGACAGAGCCTGCTCTGTTGTTTTGTTGGAAGCAGCCCATCTCACTTTCCAGACTGGTGCCTGTCAACTGCTAACCATTAATTATTATCTTGATTGGTAACCGAAAAGCAAATTTACAAGGAAACATTCGAAGCCATGACCCGTGACGCACCCAAGACGTGGTTGGAAGTCCTTGACGAACAGCGTAGGAGAGATCAGATGAAGAATGCAAGCCAGCGCTGACTCGCGAATAGTTAATGTCGATGTTGACTGGATGGACCCAACCTACTCCAAGAACCTTGCCATCACTCCGAATGATATGACCAGCAACAATCTCTGGGTCAACCAGCAGATGTCCCATCCCGAGAATGAGAAAATGGTGCTGGAAGTCTGCAAGGAGCTCAAGTCTCAAGGGTGGAAGGCAGCTTACACTCGCATCGTGAGTTGTGCTTCATCTGTGAGCAAGAACTGCAGCTGACCAGGACGTTTTCCATAAGGCTGTCAACATGTGCAAGAACAATATCGACAACATCAAAGGCCGCACTTTGCTCCAGGTGTACCCTAATGAGGCCTACGACACTCAGGCTGTCCTCGATTCTGCCCGTGCTTATGCTAAAGAATTCGAACGTGCTGGCATACCCCAGAACAGATACTGCATCAAAATCCCGTCCACTGGTCCTGCGCTCAATGCTTGCCGAACACTGAAGCAAGAAGGCATCGCCACTCTTGGAACTGCGCTATTCGGTCTACCTCAAGCTATCGCATGCAGTCAAGCTGGCTGCCTATACATCAGCCCCTACTTCAATGAGACCAAGGCACACGATGACCTTCAGCTGTGGCCTGATGTTGAAGACCCTGCTACTCAACACACCATGTCTGCTCGCACACTGCAGATTCTCGAGACATACGCTCGTCTGTACAAAGAAACTGGCAAAGAACAGCCTCTGCTCAAGCAAGCTAGTTTCATCACGGCCAAAGAAGCCATGGCAGCCGGCGAGCACGGCTGTCATAGTGCAACAATCTCGCCTCAAGTCTTGGACGAGCTTTCCAAGCTCACATATGATGGCTCAAAACAGCCAGGTGAGGGTAAGCCCAAGCCTGCCCACATGTATGCCGGCTATAAGACTCCGGACCGTCTTGCAGAGGTCTCAAAGATCGATCCGCTTGCTGCAGCTTCCATCGACGCAAAGATAGCTGACACTGACATTGATTATCTTGCCAACAATGGCGAGGAGTTGCAGAAAGCAATCAAGGCTGATCCTGTGACCTCCCAGAGACTCGATGATGCACTCAAGCTCTTCACTGGTGGTTTGATGGAGAGCAAGGCGAAGATCGACAAGTGGTTCGAGCAGGTATAACCTGTTGGGATTCATGTCCAGAACTTCCAAGAAACTTCCTAGTCTAGTTCCATGTATCGTTGTCTTCCTAGTGAGAATTCGACAAGCATGTCTCAAAGTTCATTCCCAAAGGCATCGTGAACGTCGATGGCGGCCAGGACATCGTATTCCCGAAAGCTTGAATGATGGCATCCCGGTCACTTGGACTGAGTCCTCGGTCGAACAATAAGGACTCCGGTGCATATGTAAAGAAATCGATGTCAGGTTCCACGGTCATTGGGTCGAGTAGAATCTTGTCTGGGAACGTGTGGCTGTCGGGCAATGTTGTGTCGGGCACGAGTGACGTGTTTGGAGCATTCCACCTCAGATCTATGCTCCTTGATCTTGTTTCGGGTACGTGAAAATCCGCCAAGCTTATATCCTGTTGTGGGTGCAATTTCGGTGCCGTCCGCTCTGGAACCAGCGGCGGAATCATCGTTGAGTCCATAACCGCATTGAGCCCCGCAGCCATCAAGCTGGTCGAGAAACCTCCTCCTGAGCCTGTATAATCCGGCACTTCCTCGAAGCCGGTCGCATCATGTCGTGCTATGCTTTTGCACAGCTCACCTGGCTCCACTATATCTGATACTGTGCTCGAGACTCGTCTCCACTGGTTGACCTCCGCTATCAATGAATCTCGCTCTGCTACGAGCGTGTCGACTGACTTCTGCAGTTCCTCTATCCGTTGATGTTGCAGCTGATGGTATCTGAGACTTTCCTCGACGATTGTATGCTTAGACAATTTGCTTTCTTTGATATCCTCAAGAGCAGGTATAGCGCGAGCAAGTAGCTAGAGCTCCGTTCAGCAAGATATCAACCGTCGAGAACAGTGTTTACTTGCCAAAAGATTGTCGCTGAAAGCTTCGCGACGCTCTTTCTCCAACACCCGATGCTTCGCTCTGTCTTCTGCTGTCCAGACACGAACTCTTTTCTTATGTCTGCCTTCAATGACGTCTGAGCCGACAGACCCTCCAGATTGTGGACTATCCATTGCGTTTACATCAACAAGATATAATTCGACATGAGTAGATGTTGGTGTCGAGAATTGTCAGGTGAGGGGTTGGCACAGGATGGTATATACTGTAGAATCCTTCCGGCGGGGCCCCCGCTAACCCCTCTTTGCCCTCGATGACCAATCAAATAAAACACGGTACACCACTTGGCAAGTTGCTTGTAGGATGCGACCTTGTTACAGTACATGATACGACCTATCCGCCTCTTGTCTCCAACCTCAACATATAGACCAAAGGATATCCGTGATCAAGCACACGACCAGCTCGATGCTTTGTTCACATCCCCACCACAATATTTCTGCTGCTTGGGATACATGCAAAGCGGTCTCTGTCTCAGAACAGTGTCTTGCGTGGTGTCGTTATGCCAAGCTGTGGCAATGATTTGGTTCGGAGCGATTCCTTGCTCGACCCACTGCATCATGGCGAGAAGAACATCGTGTTCGGCGTCTCTGAAACCAGGCACACCGTAGACGCCAGGGTTCAGAACTTGGCTGCCACCAGCGAAGTACCAAGGTGCGAGACCTGGAGGGAAGTTTCCACTGCAGTGACTATTGGATGAAGAATGTGGTCAGCTAGCTGTGTCATGAGGAACAAAGAAGAACTACTCACCCCATGCCAGGAACCAGGAAAAAGCGGAAGAAGTCATCCAATTCGATGCCTCTGGGTGCAAGCTCGCGCAAAATCTGGGAGTACAAGTACAAGCTGCTACCAGTCGGAATCAATGGATCAGCCATGCCATGGTACATTAGCAACTTGCCGCCGCGTCGCTTGAAGGGTTCGAGGTTGTAGTCGTCGGCTGTTGCGTTACCGGGTCTGATCCTTTCGGCGTTCTCGACGATACTGTAGTCGTAATCTTGCCACTTCCAGTTGGGGCCGTACTGCATGAAAGAGGTCACATAATCCGTACCCAAGCTTGCTGGCTCTGGGGCGCCGAAAATCAATGGCCAGCCAAGCTCACTACCTTTCCAGTAGGGGGGGAACACCCAGGTGTCATTGGTCTCGACGTAGTCTGAGTAGATCTTGAACAAAGTAGTCAGCTGAGGCGCCGTCAAGCACTCAGACTGGTTGGATTTTGGAGTACAAAGAAGAGCATCCATGTTGAAGTTGCAAGCTTGAGGATCGGAAAGGATGTTGTCTTTGACACCATCAACGCCGTCACATTGTCGAAGAACTTCGGCATTGATGACAGGGAACAAGTCGTTAGGAATGTGTGCGGAACCGTTGATGGGTAGGTTGTAAGTGCCGGCCTTGATCACGAAAGGCGACATATGAGTCAGGAACCATGCAGGAGCTCCAGCAACAACGCCGTCAAAGTCTTCGGGATAAAGCTGGATGTCACGAATACCTTGGCGTCCTCCAGTCGAGCAGCCCTTGTAGTAACTGTACTTTGGCTTGTATCCATAGTAGCCTTGGGTCAATTGCTTACCCAGGACAGTAGAGCCATGCATGGCACGGTAACCCCAGTCCTTGAGCTTATCCTGTGACCCGTATGCCCATGTTCCATCGAAGGCGGTGCTGTTGTGTCCAGTATTGGTCGACATAACTGCAAAACCATATCCCAATCCACCGCCCTGACGTCCAATCAGCAATGTGTTCGCGAGTAAGCATTCCGCTTGCTTGAACCTACCATATCCAACCAGTTGATGCCGCCAGCATAACCGCCGTTACCTACAGCCCTGGCAATGTCCGTCAGCTTCATGACACTACAATGAGAGACGACTGACTGCACATACAAGAATCTTCCGTTCCAATTGTCAGGCAAGAACATGCCAAAGCCATATTGAGAAGTTCCGTTGGAGACTCGAATTTGAACAGCGCAATGAGCCGTCAAATTAGTGGGAGAAGTTGGGTACGCGATATCTCCAGTAGGGACCGAGAAAGTCGAACCTCCAGGTTGCCAATAGACAAAGTCCACACTAGCGATAGACGGAAGCACGGCCTGGATACTGGCAGTTGAACAGTCGGCTGCTGCTCTGGTTGATATTGATGCCAGCAGTGCTGCCCTTGCCCACGGTGAAGTCTTCATGCTGTAAGTGTATAAGCAAGCAAAAAATGATATGACCTGGGCCTCTAGGGATGTTCTCGTGGCTCTTATATGTCGACGCCATCCCTCTCGCAAAGGCAATACTTTGAGGCTCAGCCTTCTGCCGATCTCAATTGCCGTCTTGCTGAACATGTGGCTTTGTACGAGAACCAGGAACTCTTTCAAGTCGGCCAGCCAAGAAAGGCAAAAGAAGTACAAGAAAAATGCGGGGCTCCACAAACCCTATGCGTCGATACTCAATTATGGCTGTGTCGTGGCTGCGGGATATCTCGACCCCAGCGGGGTCTGTTGAGATTCTTGCACACACGATGCGAGGACGGGTCGGTCATTGTTAAGACATTAGAAGCGACCGCGAGATTTGTGACGTTCGTACGATGGATTATTGTTGGACGGCTGCAGATCAAGCTTCGAGGCGTCGTACATTGGCTTTCGCGTGACCCGTTGACGCTTCAGGTCAAGCGCTCCGGCTACTCCACGTTTTAACCAAGGTTACCGGCTATCACGATGCTTGGAGTGCTCCGCAGAGAATTTCTTCTCGACCAATATTCAATGTGGTCTTGCAAGCCATTTATACCATGATCAAAAAATCACACACAGCAGTATTACTATTGCCTCGATCTAGCCTAGAACACAGAAAATGTTTGACACTATCTACGAGCCACGATCGAGTCGATCCGGAAGTCTGGTAGTCCTGGTGTCTCACGTCGCCGACGCGTCCTGCTCTGCGAATTATGGTCATCACGGTAGCGACACCGACTACTGGGTAAACTTGAGTTTTGAATGCAAAAGACACAGCCAACTCTCCACCCACAGCAGCCACAGATGCATCTGCAGAGGCGGAACAAGTTGTACGCGAGGCCAGACACTCCGAGCCGAACGGTAGATCTGAAGTCTACCTTCGAGTCTCCAGGAACGCGCAAGATACTTGTGAGAACCCTGGGAGCGATTTCATCGTCAGTGCGAGTTTGTAACTCTCCAAGGTCCCAAGACCTCCGAATTGTACTGATGCTGATCAGCCTTGATGAGGCACCGCAAGACAATTTTCGGCCTGAAATTCTTTTGGTAGCTCACCTGATCCTCTGGCAACTGTTGAATTGCATTTCTTCGGGTAGCGCCTCGAGGCGCTTCGGACGCATATTGATTTCCAATGCAGCATCCGCAAAAATAAATGAGATCCAATGCCTGTCCTGATCCACACTATAAGAAGTCATATACTTCTCAGAATTTTCTCGACAGATCCACCGCTAAGCTATGGTTTGTGTGCAAGCTGAGGGGTAGCAAATTTTTAGCGTCTTGGCCACCATTAATTCTTGCCGAACTTCGTCCTTAGGACAATCAACAATCGATAAAACTCCATCATTCTCGCATAAGCGAGACTGGACCAACAAAATGAGGAATCAGGTCATACCGAACGCGTTCAACTCTACGAGCGTTCGCTTTGCCGATCGGGGCTCGCGTAGCATATTTGACCGTATGTCAAACGATATAAGTAGGACCAGCGTCTGCCATGAGTTCCTTCACAGTCATCCCGATCTCGAACAACCAAAAGACAAGCATTCCTATTCAGGATGCAGCTTACAACAGGGGCTTTGTGTATCTTGGTGACATTCTCAAGCCTTGTGTCTGCTCTAGTGGCGCCTAAAGCTTCACTGTCCGGAGCTTCAGCATGTATCCAACTCATCACTACTCTTGGAGCTGCTAAGATCCGTGGGCCTCATACCGTACCTTACGTTTCCTCCCAAAAAGATTATTGGAATGCAAAACAGAGCTCATATGACCCCTCGTGTGTGGTCTACCCCAAGTCTGCACAGGATGTGTCGACGACCCTGAAGATCATCAAGACTGCTGGATCACGATTTGCCATCAAAGCTGGCGGTCACAACCCGAATACTTTCTTCTCTTCTGTCGAGAGTGGGGTGCTGATTGACTTGAACTCCATGACTCAAAAGTCATATGACTCGAACACCACTCTTGGAACCTACCAACCAGGAGGCACATTTGGCGACATTTATGACTACTTTCAGCAGTTCGGTAGAACCGTAGTCGGAGCTCGTCTTGCAGGAGTTGGTACAGGTCTTGCTCTAGGCGGTGGCTTGAGCTATCTCTCCGGACAATACGGTCTGGCTTGCGACTCGTTCCGCGAGCTCGAGGTCGTTCTACCCAACGGTACCATTGTGACGGCCTCGCCCACAGAGAACGAAGATCTATTCTTTGCGGATCGTGGCGGCGGTGGTAATGCCTATGGTGTTGTCACGAAATACACTGTCCAGACAAGGCCGTCAGGTACATTCTACGCTGGTAATCTAATATACCTGTTCAAACAAACAGCGAATGTTCTTGAAGCCATTCAAAACTTCATGAAATACAACACCGACCCAAAAGCAGCTATCATCGGCACCTACGAGAAACTCTTCACTCCAGCCGTTGGCGATCTTAATTTGGATGAAGCAGTCATTATGTTTCTTGTCTACGACGGGCCTGATCCCGGGGATGCTTTTGCCAACTTCACCGCGCTACCTCATCTGGTGAATACTTTGGGCCCCAAGACTTATCCGGAAGTGGTGAACATGCCTATTCCGATGTCGACAGAACTCAGTCGGGGCGACAACATCTTTCGAGTGCAAGTCCATCGACTTGACGACGACTCCTACCAAAAAGCCTTCGAAGCATGGGAGAACTGGTGCGCAGTCAACAAGGCTCATATGTTCTCTCATCACTCGATTTCCAGCCAGTACCAAAGAGTTTGACGGATGCATCTAATTCTCAAAATGGCGGGAACGCCATGCAGATGCCTGATGGACCATGGTTCTGGCTCAACTTCTTGCTCTCGACCCCTCCAGGCATCTCAAAGACCGCTTACAATCGGATTCAGCAAAGCTTCCGAGACATGGTGAACTCGGTTCCCAATGCTGAAGGGCTACCACTCTTCATCAATGATGCAAGCTTTGATCAGAATCCGTTGCAGACTTTCACCACCTACTCTCGTCTACAGGATATCAAACGAAAGTACGATCCTGATGGTTTCTTTGAGAACTACACGGGCGGTTGGTCGTTTACCTAAACTTGGCTAGTGCTGTACCAGACGAGTATCCATCGGATGTGTAACATACTCAAGACGATCAGTTTTTGGACGTATTAGTAGACAGTCTGTCTGAAGGTCCGTTCTGAAGATGCCGCTATGATAAGTTGAACTCGGAGTTACATGTGCCAAGAGAGCGACGATTTTTGTAGTGCTTGTGTATACGGAATAACCATCTTTGCTGACCAAGAAGGTAAGTAGAAGATATATTCATTGCACCGAAGGATCAGAGAGTGGGGTGGGGCGGCCCGGTGCGCTTCCTCCTTCCTTCGATGGCATGCCGAACTCTGGTTGGTTGAACATGTACCGAACCTCCTGTAATCACATCTGACACCGGACTTCATCTCTGCAGAGGGACTGTGAATAATACTCAGGCCGACAAAGTCTGTTTAGAGCACTCTGAATCTTGACTTCAGGGCCATTAGTATCAGTTCCAAGATTGTTATGCAATGGGTCGAAGGTATTGAAGAAGTCCATCGGCACGTGGCAAAGGCTGCTGCCTACTTTGTGAGTCATTCAAAAACTTGTTTATCCGCTCTGAAGACTTCTTTCCATTCTTAACATGTTGGTTTTGCACTTCATACTGTCACTTGCAAGCCATATTGTCAGCGCGTGTTCCGTGTGGTTGCGACTTTTGCTTTGTCTCCTTTGCGCCTTCAGTTCTGCCACCTACGCAGATGCGCGATTGGCCAATACATATCAGTAGATCAAAACCTCATAATCTTCATTCAAACATTCTTGAGGCATAGATCGACCAGAACGGAGAGAGCCACGACTGTTTGCAAGCATCTGACCAAGTGTGCTTGGTCTTATTTCATCGCTATTTGGACTGACAGAACCTAGCCAATACAGATGCCGCTTTTGCTGCGAGAAATGCTGGCCTGTCCAATAGGAGTCAGACGTGTCTTGGAGCCTCAGCGACAGTAACGCACAAACCAGCTAAAGTCTCGGTATCTCGAAAGGAAAGCATCGAAGAGTCTCTTATCTTGCGCCATTTTCAAAGGAAAAAAAAAGGCGAAAGTGACAACTTGACAAGCTTGCAGATGCCGTCAATTCGCGGCCTGCAACCGTTGTCTCCCCACGGAGCCCGGACTCTGCAGCTTTTACCACGACAATCTCGCATGTTGGGTGAGCACATCAAGAATGTGTTAACCTAACTACCTTGAACAGAAAAAAGTCATGGGAATTGGTCATTTGCATTATGTCTGCTGCATTTGTCATACGTAACAATCGTCTTTAGAGTTTGTGTCGCTGGCTTCACTCGGACCGGAGACCCCCTCGAAAGTTTAGCCTTGGAGTTTGACACGCGTCTCTCGAACAACGGAGAACACAAGGGTCGAGAACATTTCGCTGACCGGGTGTCCAAAAAGGAAGCCTGTCGCATGCTCTTGGACGATAATGTCGAGATCTCAGGGGTCAGAACACTCACCTGTACACAAACCTCAGCTGACGACTTATGGATTGGGAAGACATCTCCATAGTCATCACAACATGCAATGAACGACACCGGGAATAACGCAGTGTAAATCATCAAGCATGATAGAAACGTCTCCAAGTTTCTCAGCTTCCTAAAACGGCAGGCAAGGGAGAGGTTTGGCTTTTGGCTCGCGCTCGTATTTGATAGCCAATGAGGCCCAGATGGACTATCTATCATGGCCTACCATATCTACCCAGTCTGAAAGATAAAAGCATGCCTTGCACCAGATGACAGTCCCGTCCATCATTCCAATTGAGAGCCATGGCCACCAAACGACCTATCTTCAATCACCGAGCTACGGATGACGTTGGCATCGCTTACAATGGTCCAGAGCATTCAGGGCAAAAAAGAGACCATGAGGTCTAATTGACTGAAAATCCTATGCAGGAAGACTTCAAAGGTTCGAAGGCCAATGCCGACATCACTTTTGAGTCTGCGACGGAAGATGAGACCGATTCCGTGCCCAAGGGGTCAACTCACGTCTTGGACACAGCTGAAGACATCGTTGATCAAATCCTCGATACCGAAGACGATCCAACTGAGAAGGCATTGACGTTCCGAACTTGGTTCCTGGGTGAGCCTCAGTGACCATCCTTGACTTGGAGTCTCGCTGACCGTCTACCCACAGGCATTGGCCTTTCGATCTTCGCCTCAGTCCTCCAGGAAATCTTCTACTTCAAGCCGCAAACCATCTTTGTTTCCCTGGTCTTCTTGACTGTCATAGCCTACGTTCTCGGAGATGCAATGGCCTATGCCATCCCTCGCAAAGGCTGGCTTCGATACCTGAATCCTCATGAGTTCAAACGCAAAGAGCATGCAGCCATTACCATCATGGCTTCTGCAGCAGCAGTCAGTGCTCTGGCCACCGAAGCATTGGCTGCCCAAGCCCTTTTCTATGGTGGATATCCCAGTAAAGGTGCTGGAATCTTCATCGTCTTGTCGTCTCAGCTTCTTGGTTTTGGTGTAGCCGGCATGCTGCGTGACATTCTGGTCTATCCCACCAAGATGTTATGGCCCATGACACTCCCTGTAACGACCCTACTACAAACCATCCACAAGGACAAAGCGGAAACCAAGAAACGCATGCGTGTTTGGTATATTGTGTTCTTTGCCATTTTTTTCTGGGAGATCCTGCCAGAATACATGTTCACTGTATTGACTGGTGTCTCGATCTTCTGTCTAGCTGATCAACATAACCTTGTCTTTACCAACCTCTTTGGTGGTGCTTCAGGTAACGAAGGACTCGGATTTCTCTCTTTCTGTTTCGACTGGAACTACATCGCATCCTTCCAGTCTCCCCTGTGGTACCCACTTCAGACGACGGTCAATATGTTGATCGTTATCATTGGATGCTACATTTTGTTCATGGGTAAGTCATATGGGCTCAAGTATCGATCTTTGCTAATACAAACAGGTATCTACTACGGCAACATTTGGGAATCTCAGAACTTCCCTTTCCTATCTCAAGCACTTTACAACAGCACGTCTACTGCGAGCAACTACACAATCTACAACCAGAGTCTTATCTTGAACGACCGGTTTGAAATAGACTTCGACCTACTGGCCCAAGAAGGAGTGCCTTATCTGACTGGAAGTTACATCGCCTATCTGATCACATCAAACGCAGGACTAGCAGCTACATTTGTATACATGCTGTTGTGGAACTGGAATGACCTCAAGGCGGCCTGGACGTGGGCCCATCCTCGTAACTTGTCCAAGTTGCTCGACCCCAACACATATATGTTTTGGCGCAACCAAGAGACTCCGGAAGAGCGCATGAAGCGCAAGATCGATGACCCTGATCTAGATCCTCACTACAAAGTCATGTTACTCGGCAGGTATCGCGAGGTACCGATGTGGTGGTGGGCTGCTGTCATGGTGATCAGCTGGGTGGTTGGTATCATCTGCCTCTATTCGATCAAGGTAAGCGCCTCTTGTAGGATCCATTGTCGGAAATTGAATTGACGATGCCATACAGTCGACCCTTCCTGGCTGGGGCTATCTGCTTGCACTGATACTCACCTTTGTTTTCACGCTATTCTTTGGCGCTCAGTCAGGTATCACAGGATTTGGCTTCAACATTCAGCCCATTTGTCAGATGCTTGCAGGCTACCTCTTCCCTGGTCGTCCCCTTGCGAACTTCTATTTCACTTGCTTTACATACAACACTTCGTCCCAAGCTACACTGCTTGGAAAGGATCTGAGGTTGGCCCAGCAGAACCATATCTCGCCCCGCATAACCTTCATTCTGCAGATAACTGGCTGTCTTGTGGGTGGTATCTTCAGTAAGTATATTCACATAATTTTCAAGGGACTGTCTCTAATTCCAAGCCAGACTGGGTGATGATGGACAGCATCGTCAAGAACCAAGCACCAATCTTGACATCAATTCAAGGCACAAACATCTGGTCCGGTCAGAACGTCCAACAGTTCAATACTCTTGCGATTGCGTGGAGTATTGCATCCAAGATGTTCAGTGTGGGTTCGCGCTATGAGTGGGTGACACTATCCTACTTCATTGGCTTCATTGTTCCTCTCCCTACATACATCGCCTATCGCTACACCAAGAACCCGGCTTGGGGTTATCTTAACCCATCTATCATCCTCTGGTACATGGGCAACTTGTTCGTCGGCATCAACAGTTCGCTCACCATGTTCTTCGTTCTTGCTTTCATCAGTCAGTTCTGGATCCGCAAGTACCACCCTCAGCTGTTTGTCAAGTACAACTATCTTGTCTCTGCAGCCATGGACGGAGGTACGCAGGTCATGGTGTTCATCCTTACCTTCGCGGTTGCGGGTGGTAGTGGTAAAGCCCATCCATTCCCCACTTGGGCCGGTAATCCGAATCTGAGCGTACACAACGCTGATTACTGCATGGTCAACCCAGCCAACAATGGTTAGAACCATAGCTTCAGCCCGGAGGAACTCTGGCAGCTTAGGGTCGGGTTATGCGAAGACTCGCGTGTTCTTCAGCTCTTAGAAAGAGATGGATGATTAGGAATGTTTCAATAACTAAAACACTCGTATTTGGATGGAGAGTGCGGATCGCGGTTGGCTGTATATAAGTTGAGTTGAAAATAGAAGACTACAGATGTTCATCACCTTCTTATTCTTCGCAAACAAGTCAAGTCATTTGTGCTTTTTCCTTGCCGTTCTAGCAACTTTCCCGACTTTGTCAACGCTACAAGAGAGGCCGAGGGAGCGGCCGAGGAGGAAAAGCAAGCTCAAAAGCACGCAAAAAGCGTAGCAAGGTTTGTTCTCCCCTTCGACGCGACACAACACAGCCCGAAGGGTCTTTGGTTTTCCTCTGAGTATGCCATCACGCCTAGAGGCGCGCAAGCAATAGGATAGCCTACATTTACCTGGTCAGCTAGTGCCACATGTCACCGTCTTCGATGGAAGCAAGACAAAAATCATGTCGTCGCGAAGATGTAGACTTCTTACCCGCTGCCGAGGAATAACTACACAGACTGCTATCAGCCAAAGCTACTAGGACATCCACTTTCTGTAGAAGAGGGTCGAGCCCTGCTTTACCCTGCTTCATTAGCTCGTGCCTCCAAGCCTGACCTTCTTCGGGGGTAGAAGTGTTGTTCAGAAGATCGATCAGTTCATCTTGGGACGGATGATCTATGGATGTATCAGTCACCAAGTATGAAGAGTGTTGCAGCATAATCAGTCTAAAGATACCTGGAGGCATACTGATGCTAGCGTGGTCTGCATTCCACGCCACCATCTGCTTCAGAGTGCGCACTTCGCTCTTCTGATACTGTGCTGCAAATGCTGCGAAGTCGCCGCTCTTCAGCCTTTGCACTATACCGTATGGTGAGTAAGTGCAACGATCATTCGCTTTTGATTCGAACCAAGGGCTCAGATGTAATGAAGGCGAGCAACTTACTGCAGTGTTCGTATCCCAGGCTTCTACCTGAGATTTCGAAATTCTTTCCAGGGAGACTCAAGTGGAGATCATGCCTGATGTCTGCACCTAACAAGCCGATTGTCCGGGAAGCATCGATGAAGGCTGTTTCGATCTGGGCTCTTGTATCGCCCGGGAAGTCGCAATAGTCGTTTCCTGGAAAATGCCAGACTTTCGGGTCGAGGAACCTGACTTTCAGACCTCTGAAGCTGCAATCTTGTTCCGAATCAAAAGACATGTCTTTGCCCATGATGACAGAGGCTAAGTGATCGACATCCACGGCACTCTTAGCCATTGCGCCGATGCAATCAATCTCTTCAGAAAGACGGTAGTTCCCCTCCATCGGGACCGTTCCATGACCACAGACCAATGCATAAAGCCCCGCTGGCAGTATCACCGATCCACCCGTCTGCGTCCCTATTGCCAGGGGCGCGAATCCAGCAGCGACACTTGCTCCACTGCCCGATGAAGACCCTCCAGCAGATGAATTGCCAATAAACTTTTCATTCTTCTTCAAGCCTCCAAAAATATAAGGGTTCTGGGTTTGTCCGCCTTGAGCGGACCAACCGGGTGTATTCGGCCGCATTTTAAGTCCGCACAGTTCGGTCAGGTTTGCTTTGCCTATAATCAGGAGGCCTGCGTCCAGCAATCGATCCACGAGCGGAGAATTATGTAGACATGTTGCTGATGCAAAACAGGGACAACCCAATGTGGTTGGCAAGCCGAGGGTTTGGGTAGACGTCAGGATGCAATCTTTCAAGACGATAGGTATTCCATGCAAAGGTCCTCTTGAGTTTCCAGCCTGGCGTTCAGCGTCCAATTTGGTCGCAGCAGCGATAAGCTTGTCGCGCGGCGCGACAGAAATCAGGGCATTGAGATGAAGACCAGCGTGGTTATGGCGTGCAATCTGGTCAAGGTATGATTCCACGAGTTCCACTGAAGTGACGGCACCTTCCTGAAGCTGCTCCTGAGCCTCAGTAGCTTTCAAAGATAGAATATTATGTTGGTCTAACATCATGCGTTCTCCCTTTGTACACATCAAGAATAAGAGATAAGAATATTCTGAGCCAGCTAGGAAGGGAAGAGTCGTCAGTCCAGATATAGTCACACCTTGATCCTAACCCTGTATCGCATGAACGATATATAGAACAAGCATAGATTTAGGCATCCATATAATCGGAAGAAAGTGACCAACGTACATGAAAGGCTTATTTTTGGGAGGTGGACGGACGCGCGGCAGGTAATTCAGCAAGGTGTTCGAACAGACGAGACTTGGCGTCCCTAGAGAAGTTTACTGATGACGAAGCCCTTGAAGAACGGGACAAAAGCAGTTATTGAATGACACCCTCCTGAGCAGGCATATTGGGGCGTGATAGGAACAATCGTCACGACTATTACTGAAAACCTAGCCGGTATACAACGAGATCACCTTGGATCAGAATTTCAACGTAAGCTAACGTGCGTCCAAGTGTACTTGAACTTCTTCTACGATGATAACTTTCACTTCCATGTAGTTGAGCCGCAGTCATATTTCCTAGCCTCGTCTCCCCGAGCTCGAATCATTGTCCCATCCCTCCTGTTCCGCGAACGCGCCTTCTTTTCAAGCATCATCTGCTCTGGTCGTCTCAGGGGATTCTGAGTACCCTTCACTTCAAGCGGCCAATTTTTTCATTTCACCAGCGTACGCAATCAAAAGATCTACCCTTGTAGTTGACTGCAGCATCCAAAGAGCCAAGCCATATCAGCCTCAGCTTTGAATCAAGTCCAGCGGTTTCACAATCTGTTGCGGCGACAACGCTGGCAGGCACGAATGTGACACTGGCGGCACTCGAAGATGTAGTGAGGAAGCATGTGGTTACACTCTTCGCAGCGGTGACGGCCACGATGACACGTCCATCTCTCATGGTCGCATTCATGGTTGCGTCTGAGATCCTCTCTGATTTGAGCGACGAGGCGTTGCTGGTGAACAGCAACGGCATCTTGAGCCGCAGGACGACCAGCTCTGATAGGCATGCTCATGGGAGCTGGAATGGCAGCACGGCGAGCTTCAGGTGGGATGTAGGCGTTACGAAAGACTGGGACAGGAACAATGGGATCATCTCGAGTGGCGAGGCGAGCGACTGGGACGTTACGAGCAGGAAGGCGTTCGATCTGGCGAGCAACATCTGCATGAGCAACGCGAGCGGGCTCAATATTGGCAGCTGCAGCAGGGCGAGCAGGAGGGTCGACCTCAGCACGGAGTTGACGACCATACTCGATCCAAGCAGGGACAGGATTAGCAGGTTGACCACGGTCGACATTCTCCTGAGGGATGACCGGAGGAACAGCGGCAGCCGCATCGACGCCAGGATCCAAGGCACCTTGAGGAGGTCTGAAGAGACGATGACGAGGATCGCGGGCGAAAATCTGTTCTGCTCTCTCTTGCAGGCGGGTCTCATCCCACTGGGGACAACGGCAGGCTCTTGGGTTCCAGGAAGCTCCACAAACGTAGCAGAAGTGAGCACCACATGGACAACTGCATTGCGTCAGTTAGACAATATCTTTGGCCAACACAAAGACGAGAACTCACATCATGTGGTTGCATCCTGAGCGGAGTTCGACGAGTCGGCGACATTGGTAGCAACGCTGCCAACCTTGTGCCTCAGCGGCCTGAAGAAGCAGTTGGAGATTTTCATCGCGAGGGCAGTCACCACGATGAGCAGCGGCTTTGCAAATGGCGCAGGTCCTCTTTCCGCAACCGGGGCAGCCAGCGATATCAACCGTGATGTGCTCGGTGGGTATGAAGGTCGAACAGCGGGGGTCAAAGCAGTATGTTCTGTCCTTGGTATCGAGCTCGATGGACTTGTGCTCAAAGTTTCTGATGAGCTTAGGGTCAAGTACAAGCTTGGCGTCTTATAGGGGAATAGTTTGTTGACAGCAGCGAGGTGGGTATAGAGTCTCGTCCTGCATGGACAACTCAAAAAGCTCGCCAAGACATTTGATGCAGTAGTGATGACCGCAAGGGGTCTCAAGGATGTCGGACCAAGGGAGTGTGCTGGTACAGGCCACGCAAGTGAATGGAGACTCGGGTTGGTTGTCATCGATCTGGTCGTTGTTGAGATTGTCGACTGGGATGGTGCAATCTCGAAGAGCTGGTCGGATTAGTGCTTGATAGATTGACTGTCCAGCGGCGAAGAGACCGGAAAAGAGACTGGCAATTCCAGAATCAGCAGGTTCACGTGCGCGGCGGTTCAGTGTGGTTTGCTGTTCGGTGGTCTCATTGTGGGCTGGTTCGATGAGGTTGAGCTCTTCTAGTTGCAACTGCAGGGCGACTTTGTCGTGTGCAGTGCCCTCAGACAAAGCTGCTTGGAGTTCATCACGCTGGAGCTGCAAGATGAAAGCAGCTGTCTTTGGGTCGATGTCTCCGTAAAGATGAGCCATGGTGATGGTGATGTTTGCGCAGGGGAAGAGATGGATGAGAAGAGATCGAGGAGAGGAGACAAGGGGGATGATCAAAAGAGGAATTGCTGGAGCCAAGTGAAAGCGTGACAGATGCTAGAGAGTGATGAACGCGACGGAGAATCACAATGAAAACGACGCGGTGCAGGTTTTTGCGTTGTTTGGACAGACGAAAAAGCCGCCAAATATACCCTACCTGATTAGGGACTTGATTTAGTAAAAGACACGGTTTGAAAGCTTCCTCGACTTTGATCTACCCAAAATGAGACAGGCTGAGGTAAGAGTGATGGAAGAAGTGATGAGGAAAATTGAGGACGATCCGCTCATCGGAGCTCGACAATACAAGGTGGACGAACATCAAATGCCAGAGTTGATTATGGGCCAAGTTGGATGATCATTCTTTCTCTTGAGAACAGCTTGGCTCAGAAGCTTCTTTGATGCCACTGCACGACATTGACCTTTGAATATGAGGCAAAAGCTGAAATCATGATATACCTGCAGGCGATCATGACTCTTTAGCTCCTCTAAGTATAACTCTTGTCGTGATTGCTACTGCAAAGTCTACGAACATCATACTTACTGCTGGCTACTTGGTCACTGTATGAAGATACAATCCGGTTGAAGTGTCGTAGAGACCAGTAACACGGGTGTGATGTAAATGAGCAGAAGTTGAGGTGTTCTCAGTTGATGTCGGAGATGCTGCATCTAAAGCCTTGCGCTCCTGCCCATTGTAGTTCAGCTGCCAGAAAATGCCTCTAATGGATAAAAGTCCCAGATTCTGATCATCCGGTCAGGTCCAGACAAAGCATACTTTTCTTTGCAATGTACATGGAAAAGAAGAATGATAGCAGTGAAAGGTCGTGAGAAGAGCAGCTAAGAATTTGCGAAACGGGGACCGGAACCATCGATGTTACCGTGTGGAACTAAGGCTGTCAGGTATTATCCTGGTATGAAGCTACTTGGTAACCTCTCCTAGCACTTTCCTTTGCTTCTGAGGACGAGGATTTGAGAAAACGTTAGGCCACGACAAAGCAGATGATATGCTGAATAGGAAACAGGGTGATAGAGTCTACAAGGATGAACAATGCCAAGACATGCTGCAGCGGATGAGAGCTTGGACCCTGGAGATGCGATCATCGTCACATGGATGGAAGAAGGAAGGAGCATTGGGCCAGAAACATTGTACATTATTGCACTTGGCTTTTCTTCTGGACAGCTGTAAAGAGGAGGAAACATGAAGCGATAGCAAGCTGCAGGCCACAATGCAAGCGATCCTCCCTGGCCGACCACAAGCTCAACTGCAGGCGGTATCGACAGGGGCTTTTGAAGGGCAGACGGTCATTTGCTACATCTCGGGCAGCGCTCTCATCATCTGCAATGGGCCCGACTCGCTCCTGCAGACCATCTACCATGACGACCTCGTTCCCACGTCTGCGCTTGTCGCCGTCGCCTACGATGACCGAAGCGCAAAGATCGCGACAGCCTCGAACAACAATGTCTACATCTACGTCTTGCGCGAGGAGATCAAGGGCCAGTTGCGCTGGTTTCTTGACATGACCTTCTCCTTGGCCTCTAGCGGCATCCGCAGCCTCTCATGGGGCACCGACGATGAGCTGCTCGTCGCGTCCGACAAGATGCTTCTGCTGTCGACCCAGGACCAATCCATCCGCTGGACTCGTTCTCTGCCGTCGCCCGTGTCGCATGCCACCTTCTCGCCTTCGGCCGCCCTCCTCGCGACCACGTCGCAATACGATCGACTCGTCAAGGTCTGGCGCCGTCTCTCATTCGAATCCGCCATCTTCGACTACGCATACCTCTCCCACCCAGACATTGTCACCCACGTCGAATGGAGGAAGGACTCGGCCGACGAAGACGTCCTCTACACCATCTGTCTGGACGGTCGATTACGAGTCTGGAAGACGGGCCTACCCCACCACACCGACGTCCTTGGCCTCTACGCAGACCTCGATCTGACCAAGGCAGTCCGTCCTCTTGTACCCTCCAACCGTCGCTATGCCTTCCTCGTACCTTCGTCCGTCTTCTCAGATGCTGTCGAGCATGCTGTCAGCACCCCGACCCTTCCCGCCGAGCGACACGCCATCGAGTACATGAAAGAGCTTGCAAAGAGGAATCCAGACATTGTTGTTGTAACGGACGATCAAGGACACATGAGCGCGTGGGGGCTGGAGAATGTCGGCTGCAAGAAGAGGACGAGCGACACGGAACACGGCGATTTCTTCCACGCGACTCATGTCGAGAACCTCTTCTTCGACTTTTCCAAGCACGCCCACGTCGACGAAGACAATGCTCGCATCATCAACTTCGCTCTGCCTGGTCAGCCAGGAGACATTGCACTGTTGGTCCACCACTTCGATGGCCGACTTCAGTGGTACCAAGGCAGCGTGCATCATGTCTTTGATCCTTCACCACGAAAACACCGTATGCGCAACCTGGCTTCCTGGACTGGTCACTCGTCGTCGATCAAGAAACTTATCCGAACCGCCAACGGATCCGCCGTCATCTCGCGCACCGATACCGACGAAGGCGTTGTCTGGAAGCACCGCGCAAAGTTCCTGGTCAGAAAGAGCAAGGTCAAGCTGCAAGAACACATACACCGCACTGTCCTGCTAGAGGATGGTGATTTTGTCGTCCTCCTGCACCACGAGAGCATTTCTCTGTGGGATGCTCGTCTTCCCAATGCAAACAAGATCGGCCGCTGTACATACTCGGTCTCTGGCAAGCCGCTCTGCCTCGTCTTGCTCCCTGCTCCCGAAGATGCTGGCCATCTGTCATACCTCGCCACTGTGACTGCCGACATGCATGGTGTCGTTTGGGAGCTCGATCTTGCCACTCCTTCACCAACCATAACCGAGTTTTGTGTCTTCCAGCTCGACCGCATTGACAACATGTCGTATTTCTTGCCCGTCGACCCTGCAGGCAGCTCGCCAGTAGTCTCCGGCCTCTTCGACACATTTGCCCAGGATGTCGCTGTTTCGTGGACAACTACTGGTATCCTCCAAACATGGACCGCCAAGGTCGACCGACAGAACAAGTCTGTGACTTGGTTGAACATCTCGACTACCGATACAACTATCCAGGATCCTTCGCTCGGCAGTGGTACTTCGATCCGCAAAGCTGCCTTGGTCGACAAGACTCGCTCTACCCTCACCATCTGGGACACTAAAAGTGGACGTCTTGACTACGAGGAGACTTTTGAGAACCAGACCATACAAGACCTCGACTGGGCTTCGACTCCTGACAACCAATCCATCCTTGCCGTTGGCTTCCCTCACTCTGTCTTCGTCTATACTCAGCTCCGATACGACTACGTTACCGAACGCCCTTCCTGGGGTCGCATCAAGCAAATCAATGTTCGCAATCTGTCTCCTCATCCCATCGGAGACTCTGTCTGGCTGGGCTCTGGCAATTTGATCATCGGCGCTGGCAATCAGCTCTACCTTGCCGGAAACGAGATTGACCCGCAGAAAGATCTTTCGCCAGACTTGCACAGCTCAACTCCGCACAAGTCGTCCACCCGCATTCAAGATGTTGTTCGCAGACTCAACGGTCCGCTGCCTGTATTTCATCCACAGTTCATATCACAATGTATTCTTGCTGGCAAGATGGATATTGTGCACCGCATCCTGCTTAATCTACAAAAGACGCTCAAGTTCTACACTGAGGGTGACGACCTCGACTCTTTCCAAGGCCTTGACATAGACGACTTCATGTCGTCCACTGAAGTATGCTTTCTTATTCCGTCTGCCAAAGTTTGCTAACACCCAAGCAGAAATCTTCGAATTCCAGTAAACAACTGCACAAGTCGTACAGCACTCTCGACATGGAAGAAGAGTCGACCGCTGTCACCGAAGAAGTGGCCCAATCACTTGTCTCCCTGCTCTCCGAGAAATCTGTTCCCCAGCTGTCAAGCACGGAACAGCTCAGTCTGGCCGACATAATCGAATGCGTCGGTGTGGCAGAGAAGCATCGCCGCTCAATCGATGAAAACGCAGCTCGCTATCTGCTCTTCTGGAGAGAGACCGTCATGCGCTCGCGCCAGTCGTCTTCTTCAGCCGCTGTGACTTGGCGCGAGATGCTCTGGGCGTATCACAGCAGTAGCCAGGATATCCTTGTCGACATTGTTACTCGCCAAAACAAGGGACAAATGACATGGTCGCATGCTCGAGACACTGGTGTCTTCGTCTGGCTCACCGATCGAGAAGCACTCCTCCAACAATTCGAAGCCGTTGCAAGAAGCGCCTACACAAACACTGAACTCCGTGATCCCGTCAACTGCTCTCTACACTACCTTGCGCTACGCAAGAAGAACGTTCTAACAGGCCTGTGGCGCATGGCTACCTGGTCAAGGGAACAAGCTGCTACTATGCGTCTCTTGAAGAACGATTTCACCGACCCACGATGGCGCACTGCTGCAAATAAGAATGCCTACGCGCTAATGGGCAAGAGGCGATTTGAGTACGCTGCTGCTTTCTTCCTTCTTGCCGATAACCTTGACTCTGCCGTCTCGGTCCTCAGCAATCAGCTCGGCGATGTTCAATTGGCAATCGCTGTTGCCCGTGTTTATGGCGGAGATGACTCACCTTCACTGAAGAAGTTCCTCAATGAGCGCGTGCTACCTAATGCAGCCCTTGACGGCAACCGATGCCAGGCGACCTGGACATACTGGATGCTCGGAGAACGATCGCTGGCTGTGCGTGCGCTCGTCAGCCCTCTGCACTCGTTGCTTGACCCGCCTGGCTCACCACCAGATTCGCTACAAGCAAAGAGCTTCCGCAATGACGACCCTGCACTTGTCGTCCTCTACCAACAATTGCGAGAGAAGAGCTTGCAAACATTGAGAGGCGCTCTTATGATCAGCGGCAACGAAGAGTGGGAGTTCATTACCAAAACTGCGACGTTGCTTTTGCGCATGGGTTGCGACATCCTCGCTCTAGACTTGGTGCGACACTGGGAGTTCTTGCAGCCGCCACCTGTCGCGAAACAGGAAGAAGAAGAGGTTGACGAATCCGTTGCTGAACTACCACGTCGCAAATTGTCAAGGACTACCACCGATGACTTTGACCCAAGGAAACTGCTTCGTCGTCGCAGCAGTCTTGTCGTTGCCGACTTGCCAGAGGGTAAACCTGTTGTTCACGAGAACGCTGCACCATCTATGCTGGATGGATGGGGCGCGCCATCGCCACAAGTCCACCAGACCTCTTCTCTGCTTGACCAACGGACTGTCCCTGCACCATCTGCACCGAAACCTGCACCTTCCATGCTCGAACAATGGTCCATGCCGGAGAGGCCCAAGCAACAGACAAATGCTGCACCATCGATACTCGACAATTGGGCTACGCCGTCGCAGCCAGCCTCCAAGCCCGCAGTTTCGCTCCTCGATGATTGGACTGCACCACTCGCAAAGCCCAAAGCGACAGAGACGCAATCGAAAGCGTCAACGCCCTCAATGCTGGATAGCTGGACTTCAACGCCTCGACCTACATCCAAGCCTGTGCCTTCACTTCTCGATGACTGGGCTGGGCCAGTTGCAGAACCGAAGACGGAAAGTGCCAAAGTCGAGTCTTCGACGCCGTCAATGCTTGACCAATGGAGCTCATCGGTAAACTCAACGTCAAAGACGGTCGCCAAACCACCGTCCTCAATGCTCGACGAGTGGACTGCGCCCGTTCAGAAGCCCAGCATCGCATCTACGGAGGTCGCGCCACCTTCTTTGCTCGATCAGTGGACCGTACCTTCACACTCCCCTAAACCAGTGCCTACTGTGGTAGAACAGCCGAAAGAAACTGTTGTGGCATCGTCAGAGTGTGCCGTAGAAACCCCTCCATTTCTGGCCAACCCAACGATGCCGACTTCAATGCCTAACTCGACCAACGATGATCCAAAGGGTGACGAGAGGACGCTCAATGTTCACGACAGCGGCGCTTTGAACTCCGGAACAAGTGACAAAGAGCCACGGAAGAAAGAAGGCTCAGGGGTCGACGCACAAGAGGTCTCGAAGACTGGCAGGATAAGCGACGAGAAGGGGGACGAGTACAAATTGCCGAAGGGCTTGAAACAGCCGCCACCAGAAGCATTCAAAGAGCCCGATCCCAATTCTTTGCTTGATGCGTTTGGATTCTGAGCAAGCATAGCGAGGTGTTTATGGAGTAAGTATCTTGTGGTATAGTGTGGGTCTTGTATGTAGCAGTTGCGCCTCATTGTACTATATCAATTGCTGCCTGGACATTATTATTTCCGCCGTGTCTAAATTACGCTTCGTGTGGCTGACGGTTGTGCGGCTTCCTCTACCATGGTGGGTGGCGCGTCATCTGACGCGACACATAATCCCGCATTCAATTGATATAACCGTCATGTTCGTAGTTTTGGAATCATTCAATTCAAATCACCTCTCGCTAGAGAATCATCACAAGAGTCATGGAGAAGAGATACATCTGCCCTCGATGCAATCAAGAGATCAGGTCGCACGAAAAGGGCGAACACGACGACTGGCACTTCGCGCAGGATCTGGACAATCAAGATGACGGCGCGGTCGCGACTGCGACTCCGGTTCAGTCGCCCACGATGCCCGACAGGCAAAGCAGCAGCGCATCGCCAACGAAAGCAAAGCTGCAACCAGTCGACAGTCATCGCCCAGCAACAACAAGAAATGGATCCTCGAACAAGAAGCATCGCCATGTCGCTCATGTCAATGCTGTGGACAAGGCGGCAGCTCTGCGCGCACAAAGTGAGGTATGCATTTGTCACGATCAATCGACCTTTGAGGATCAAGTGAATTTCTGTATTTGATGCTGATTTTATATCAGCGGGAAATGCAAAATGCACTCCAAGACGTCCAGATGCGATATCGTATCTACAACAGCGAGATTGAGCCCGAACACGATAGCGACTACCCCTGTGCATGTCCCATCCATCAATATCAACGCATGAAGCGCTCTCGCCGACCTGTATTGACACAATGGTCAGAAGCAGTCATGTATCCAGGCGAGAAGATCTATCACGACTTGGCACCGCAAACCACCATTTTCAGTGGCAACCCGTATCAACTTCGTGTTACTTCGCCGTACGGCTATGGTAATACGGCGTGGGTGCAGTCACATCCTCGCCCAAACTACCATGTCAAATTCATTCATCAGACAATTGCGCTGAACAATCAATTGAACCATGAGGCGCAGGCCAAGGTTGATGCGATGGAGCCAAAGCACAGCATCTGGGACGACAAGACACTGGAAAGCGTAATGTCAAACTTGTCGGTCGCACCTGAGAAAAGCACGCCACCGGCTGATGCCAAAGGTTATCCAGCTGAGAAGGCATCCAGCTCCAACTCAACATCACGACCAGATGGTCAGCCTGAGCGCAGCAACACATCCAGATTTGCGGCGTTCAGGAAAGCTGTAGGTATCAAGTCATCAGATGAGAGAGCGGTAGCCAAATCTGAGAAGGCGATTGGCCGAGGCATTCAGTTGCGACACGACATTCTGGCAGAAGAAGCAGGTCGTTGGCCAGACGAGGAGACTCGACAAATCGTGGCGCAGTATCAAGACAAGGTCGGCATGGAAAGGAAAATCGCCCATCTCCGCACTCACCAACCTTTACAATATCTCCACCTATTGCGAGCAGGATATTTCGAGCCCATACCTGTCGCCTGGGCTGATCAAGCTAGCAGTATACTCACGTTCAACATAGAAGCTGCCGGAGGCTGGCGAGGCATCACACCACAATGGCGAGGATACGAAGATACAGCTGAAGAACGTCTGTACTGGGTGTTGAACCACAGAGAGGGTCCGTCAAACGTTGTGCGCATGAAGCCAGACTTCATCTCCGAGATGAACATGGCTCGCGATCGCATGGCGAAAGCTGTGGAACCGCCGCCAGATTACTACTCGGCCGATGATACTTGTCATTTACAGCATACTTCCAAGGGATACTCGAAACAAGTCATGCCGAGCCCTTTCAGGTCCAGCGATAGACCAGAACTACCCACAGATGACACCATGATTCTTCTTGATATCTCTGGATCCATGGACTTTGACCCGATTCGTCCCGTGTAAGTGCTCAACGGAATAAGCTTCCAGGAACCGCCGAGCATAGCTGACTTCAATCACAGTTACGATCAATACCTGATCACTGGATACGCTCCATCCACACAGCCAAAGAACAAAGGTGCTTACCCATATTTGTGACTCTGCATAAATCCCAAGATACTAACTACGTCTGAACAGATGTCGCAAAAGCCATCATCCGCCGCTTCATCGATGCAATGGCAAACCACGACCACGAATTCAATGGCTACGACCTCGTTACCTTTTCAAGCCACGCCAAATTCGTCGGCACGATAATGCACACCAATCTTGACAGCACGTGGAACAGGATTGCAATCGGGGGAGGCACTCGCGTCATGACCGGCTGGCAAAAAGTCAAGCAACGCCATTTCGACAAACACTCCGAGTCTGCAACGTATCATCCCGTATATGGCTGGCAAGCAGGACCTCAAACACCCATGCTGCGTTTACTGCTCTTGCTCGACGGCGAAGCAACCGATATGGATGAGTTCGAACTCGAACTTTTAGGCTTGTCCTGGGCGCATGTTACAATCTTCTTGATTGGAGTTGACGGATGCCCGCATCACCATCGCCATGCGAATGAATTGCAGAGGATTAGCGATGTCAACCATCATGTTTCGTTTGTTGATGCGCAGGGCAATACTCCCGAGAGGTTTGTCACGCACGAGTTGTTGAAGAGGCATTTGGGGTACGACGTTTCAATGGCCGAATTCCGGGAGCTTGAGGAGTTGCCTCCGTACGTAGAGTAATGAGTAGAGCAATCCAAGCGGTGCAACCATGCAAACATGCTGTTGGCAATGGTAGATCCAAGCCGTTCTCCTTATCGGGCTTTGAGCATTCTGATAACTCTGCGAGTGAGTCGATCATCAAGGGTCGGGATATGAACCTCTACAACTTTGCACTTTTGCTCAAGGCACCAAGGAAAAGATACCCGACCATACGCAAGCGGCTCTAACCTTTGATGAGGCAGCTCACAACAAAACAGGGTCTTGCTGATTCTTGGCTCAGGTTTCTTCGGACCCCTATACGATGATCGTGCTGATCGTACAGAAGGCCATGGGCACAAAAGGCGCATGCCTCGAAGAGCAGGAGACGCGTATACCATCTTACCAAGCGATCGCATGCAGATCCGGACCGAACGACGATCGTTATACACATACGTCAAATCGAATGTATTTTTGAAACAGCGTTGGAAGTTCCATTCGGGATATTTCGCCCGTGGCCAATAGCAATACGGACAATGGTAATGCGGCGGAGAGGCTGGACCTTTGACGTAGTCGCTTGGCAGAAAGCTTCCCTGCGGGAAGGACGGCACTCCCGGGACTCTTGACAGCTGAGCATAGAACCAGATGACCACTTGCCGACATGGATAGACCCAAGTCTTGGACTCGTTTGTCGTCTACCGGAAATATCAGTATTGTAGTCTGTGAAGATGAGCGATATGCAAGACACTCGTTGCAAGTCCATCGCCGACTTTCTGGCAGCACGTGGAGCTGATCAACAGACACGCTGCCTGTCCCGTCAAATGCCGACTACATTTGTCTTCCGGTGATAAGGTGGACCTCACATACGACCGCGGAGTCGCACTCCAGTTCAAGTGTTGGTGCATCGATCAATCCAGTGCGATGTCTTTATCCAGATACGATCTCGACAATAGTGCTCCGCGGCAAGTGGTTGTCATCTCATTGCCAAATTCGCTCCCTGTATCGCCTATGTAAGCCTTTGAGATACAAGCATTGGCAATATCAAACTCTATTCGCGGACGCCAAACCGTCAGAAGTTTCTGAGTGACGCTTTACTGAGTTTCAGTCGGAAGCCAAGACGATAACCTTCAAGACCGACGACAACGTAAAGCACCACACTGCTGGCATAGTCTTCGGCTTCTTCGGAGTCGATGGTTCTTGTTGGGCTCCGGTTCGGCATTATGAGAACTTGTGGTGACGCATGTCCGCGAAAACAACGCTGGGAACTGCATGTGTATATATATCGTCTCATTCTTCACTAGTGGTTAGTGCATCTCAAACGACCTCAAACTCCCTCAAGCATGCGCTCCATTTCCGGTCTTCTCGCTTCGGTCTCTATCCTCGCCGCTCAGGCTGCATCGGCCGCCGGTCGGGCTGCTGATGCTTGCGCCACCGTGACCCTGAACGGTGAACTGCCCAACCCTACCCCTTCCAACTTCAAGTTCAGCGGCAATGTTCGCAAATACTATGTTGCCGCGGACGAGGTCGACTGGAACTTTGCCCCTACAGGCTGGGACAACTACATGGGCGTTCCCATCGATGTTTCTCCTCGCGCCAAGTCTTCAGGCTACCTTCCTCGCTTGACCTGGAGGAAAGCATTGTACCGCGGCTACACTGATGGAAGCTTCACTCAGATGACCGAGAGACCTGCCTACGAAGGACTCCTTGGACCCATCATCCGTGCCGAAGTTGGTGACTTGATCGAGATCATGTTCCTCAACAACTTGTCCGCAAATTATGCCTCTATGCACTCCATGGGTTTGATGTACGACAAGGGTTCCGAAGGTGGTGATTACCCCAACAACACCATGCCTGGTCAAGAATCTCCATTTGTCGAGACCATGGCCGTCGCTCCTGGCAACTGTGTCGTCTACAAATGGATGGTCAACGAAGATGCCGGTAAGTAGCGTCCGAGCATTCGAGTACCGACTCAGAAACATCTGACCTGTCTTCAGGACCCAATACTATCAATGAGCCCGCCAAAGGCCACAGCTACCACTCCTATGTAACTATGCAAGAAGGCACAAACGCTGGTCTCATTGGTCCTACATACATCTACCCCAGAGGCCAAATGGAGGAAGTCATGGCTAACTGGAGGGAATTCCCTGTGCTGTACATGTCCATCGATGAGCAGGCATCCTTCATGTCCGAGATTAACGAGCGTCTGAATCAGACATGGGGTGGTCAGAACTCGTCCTCTTCTTCGATCAACGTCAACACGACCGATGCATCCGCCGGCTACAATGAGTTCCAAGATCTCCTGAATTCTAACGGAGGCTATGGTAACGAGTCCATCTGGAAACCTCAGGTCACCAACCTTTTGTCGTCAGGACATGGCAATGCCCCTACCTTCTACAGCATGAACGGCTATGTCCTTGCCAACAACCCTCCCTTTGAGATGTGTCGCGATGACAATGTTCTTTGGTACACTTATGCTTACGGATCCGGCTCGCATGTGTTCCATATGCACGGAAATGGTTTCTCGGAAAATGGCCTTTCCATGCCCTCCCAAAGTGAGTTTGCAAATACGCACGAAAATTCGTTGATGAATACTGACAAATAATTCCAATAGGCATCAACGACGGCAAGATGCACACTTTGGTCATGACAGCAGCTGGTGTCGGCAAGTGGGAGGTCATCTGTCACGTCAACAACCACAACACCATGGGTATGGTCGCAGACTATCGCGTCTTTGACGGCTACTGCCCCATCACCCCTTTGGGCTACCACAACGGAACAGAGTGGAACACCACAACACCTTACCCCAACATGTAAAATCATTCGAGTGGTTTTGGCACCGTAGGAAAGAAAGATTGGCGCTTGCAAGATAGATCTCATTGAACAAGACTTGTACATAGATATTGATAATTAATAATTGCATTGGAAGTTTTGACTCTATCGCTGTTGTCTATATACCATCCAAATCCTTGACAGAGCACATGCATATAGACCAATTGATGCCGAAAACATTCACCAAGTCCCAGCTATTAATGCATGTGATGGCACCTTGAACGAGATCAAATCGACTAACAAGCTTTCTGTGGAACATTTTGTGGGACCCGCTCGAGCTGCACGGGACTTTCGAACTTGATCGGAACTTGAATCCGGCATGACCTCAAGTGGCCTTGAAAGCTTTCGTCGACGAACTGGCACAAACATGCCGCATTGGTGCCACTGTCAGTGGGCATGAGGCCAGTACCCTCTGGTCCCAGCATTCGAGCAGCAGTCAAACAATGCCAGTAATGCATTCAGCTAGCCTCGGTCACACATTTTTCTGGTCCTATCGAGCGCCTCAGGTAGCATGACAGTATCTCCTCTGCAGAGACCACACTTCCTGGTCCACCACAGTCATTGTAATTGGGTGGGTGACACATTGCTGATACAATTGGCGTGACTCTGCAGTCTGTGTCACGTCAAGCTTGCAAAATAGCTAGCATTTAACACTCATGTTAGAATGCTCAAAGCTAAAGGCGTCTGTCTCTCTATCACAACTGATTACCAGGGTCCATGAAGATTTGCTACAAGCTGGAGCGGCACAACGAAACAAGGCGCAAGCCGTAAACTGGAAAGTTGGGGATTTGCGAACGTGGAGTCCTGCGATTCTGGAATATGCGAGAACGGAGTTGAAACGGGATGGTTCGGGAAAGGCTGAGATGGACATGTCACAGATCATCGATAAGTTGAAGTCCACGTGAGACGCATCGTACGCATCTACTTGCTTCTGAAATCAGTACTTGTGTCGGAGGCAGATCCAGTCCCGTGAGTACGCTCTCCACAAGCGAGCTATCATGCGTCCACTTGATTGAGTTCAAGGATAGATTACGAAGATATTGATGACATATCCATGGTAATTGGCCGTCTTTAAGCGAGAATGACGGAGTCAAGATGTTGTTGACTGTGAACGTGGCAACCAATAGTGCAAGGTTACTCAACATAAGCCAGGAGCCTTGAGTGAGAGCATGGCCATAGTGGTCCGAGGGAGACACGAGACCAACTGGCTCTGCCGGTCGTCCATTTAAACCATACATCTCGGACATGGTCATGTCATGACATGTGGGAAATGTCCAGATCGGATCATCGAAGTCCAAGAGAGTCCCGACTCTGTTCCTATTGCCAAGACAGAAAGGGACAGATTCACAGAAACCGTCGACCAGCCATTGAATACGTCTCTCGAGTACATGGAACCTGTTCTGGCTGGGATTCGATGTGCAAAACTCGGGATTGCTCTTCTCAAAATCGCCGATAAGCTTGAGAGATACCAATGCAAGACTCAAGCGATAACTTCGCAAGTCATTCATTCTCCTAGCTGCGTTGATCGAGGTGTATACATGACAAGATCTTTGGAATGCTTGAATCGGCGGAGAGATGATTTCAGAAGGAGTCCAGCTGAACGGTCCCCAAAACCTCGATACCAGTCCTTGCCACAGGACAAGAGACTGATCGAGTTCTTGGATCTCATTCAAGAGCTTGTAGACCTCTGTAGATGATAAGCAAATATCTTTACCTCCCGAGAGCGTACAAGCTCGAAATTGCATGTCGGCGACTTGTATGCCTAAAATGTCCAGATGTCTGATGGCATCTGTCGAGGTTGAATGGATCACTGAACTCCAATAGCGAACCTCAGTATGTACCTGACGCTTTTCGCGGATGGCAGCTGTAATATCAAGATGGATGAGACAACCCACAAATTCCCTAGCGATGGCTGACCAAGTAGACGGGTGGCCGAACTCTTTGACTAGAGCAAGTGCACCAAGGTGATGCACGATTCTGCTCTTCTTGCAAAACAATAAAGACTCGAAAGCGGAGTGGAACTGCAATAATAGCGTGGTCAACAGAGTCAGATCGCTTCGTCTGGAGTCATGCTTCTGAAGGTCATCAGACAGGCTCTTGATAACCCGACCTAAGATTCTAGTATTGCTCACGGCCAGGCTTCGATCCATACGCCATCTTGAAAATATCGTCAGAGCGACAACAGAGACTGACATGGCGGCTGCAGAATTCCGGGAGGCAGAGACTGCGGGCATGACATGCCCGAAAAGTCCAGGATGAGGTCCACCGTTTGGCACTGGGTCCAAAAGATAGTAACGCGCGAAGAATGCTAGCGCTTGCGTCTCTATATCAGGATGCATTGCCTTTTCCAATGAGGGTGAAGCCTTGATTTTGGTTCGTATACGTTGATAGCGTTGTGCAACAGCTTGAGTTGTGTCCACAAATTGAATGTCGCGTGTCTTGACGGCCTTGCATTCTATTTCTGCTTTGACACATGCTGCGCAGGAGGGTTTGGCTTTGTCGCACTTGATCTTCCGTTGCCTGCATGTTGAGCATGCACGAGGAGCGTTGCCCATTGTGTCTCTGTCCAGATCGACCAGATAGCGACCAACTCATTGGGCAGTGGACTGTGCCAGTCGATCGCTACAAGTCAACGCTGCTTGGTGATCAAGGGTTTCCAGAAAATCGCGACAAGACAGAATTTGGAAGAGGCGCTAATGCAAGCTTTATACATACGACCTGTTCCTCTCGTGTAAACAAAGCCACAGGGTTCAATATGGGGGGGTAAAAGGGTCATTTTTGGGCATTCTCACCGACAAAGTTCAACGGTGCCATGCGGTTCCTCCTTGGCACAATTCCTCGACAAAAAACCTCCGACGTTTGAACGTATCTTCTTGACGTGTGTTACATTAGATACGCTTACAAAGATTGGTCTTGCTGACCCTCTCCATATGTCACACTTAAATCAAACACATTGTAGGTTCCGAAGCACATTAGCAAGATGGCAGAGAAGTATAACAGCAAGATGGCAGCAAGTCGGAAGCAAGATGACGAAAGAGTATGATGGCAGCTCTGTGGGTGGATCTGGGATGCATATTATCAAAGTTGACTCTATAGTCTCGCCTTGGGCATCTGCTTGAGAGCCTGTCTGACGCCCAGGTCGGTCAAGATCTCCTCCGTTCCACCCAGGATTGCGTCGAATTTATAGGTGCGATGGAACTGCTCGACAACTTTTCCCATACCTCCCTGAGTAATACCACGGCCTCCAAAGACGTTACAAGCATCATCGGCGACCTCGTGGGCACAGCGAGTCGTGAAAGACTTGAGCAAACCGATGGGTCCGCCGAGATACTTGTTCTGGTTCTGGTATGACATTGTGTTCATCTGGTGCGTGATTTGTTCGAGCCAGGCTTGGGTAGCTTCTGTGTGTTGGATCATGCGTGCAAGCCTGGAAGGAGACTGATGTCAGTGTCTGGTCTGTATGTGTGTGATCACGATACAACTTACTTTCCACGAATGACTGGTTGTTCAGTGAGCGGTTTCCCAAAGACAATGCGTTGGTTACTCCACTTCAAGCACTCTTCCGTGACAGCTCGCATCCATTGTATAACTGCTGCTGTCATCGCCCAGCGTTCGTGGTTGAAGTTGCTCATGATGACCTGGAAGCCTTTGTCTTCTTCGCCCAAGAGATGGTTGACAGGAACTTTGACATTGTCGAATTGGATGAAGGCTGTACCAGCGGCCGTAGAATAGCTTGTCTGTATTGAGTCAGAAAGATGCTAGAACAACTTCTTGCACAAATTGTAACATACCTTGATCTTTTTGGTCTCGACATTGTCATCCCTTGGAACCAAAATCACACTGAAGCCTTTGGTAGTCTTGCAGCCAACAACAAAGTAGTCACTGAACATGCCGTTGGTTATCCATTTCTTCGTGCCGTTGATAATGTAGTGAGAACCGTCAGCTGACTTTTCAGCCGTGGTGCGAAGACCAGCGACATCACTACCAGCAAAAGCCTCGGTGATGGCAAGCGACATCTTCTTTCTTCCACTCAGGCATTCTTCCGTGACAGCATCTCTTAGCTTGACGTCTTTCATCCAGCTTCTGACAGCGGTGAGGGAAATTGACATGCCTGCCATGTTGCCATCCTGGAACCCTCTCGACAAGACCCGAGCTAGTTCCTGACATGTAATCAGATCGTGGAAATAGTCGAATTCTTCGCCTTTGACGCCACCTGGGATCGTCCTGCCGTGCAGATGCTGACCGGGACCAAGTCGCATAGCCAGGATGTTGTTCTTTGCCATCTTGTCAATCATTTCCTGACTGATGTAGGTGCCATCGGCTTCTTTCTCTTGTGCCTCTGACTTGAGCTCCGCATCCACAAATTCCCTCAGGCCCTTTCTGAACTTGCGGTGAGAATCGGTGTAGTATGGATTGTTGAATTGGGGCGTAAGCCAAGTAGGCTCTGCGTATGGAACTGCGCTCAGATCGCCAGGTTGAGGATCGATCACTTCCGGGGTTTCGTTTTGCACGGTGCCGATACATAGAGACGAGTACTTTTGCAGAACTTCATGTCGGTGTAAGTTGTAGAAAGCTGTTGTGGCGTCTTGACCTGCGACTTGTTGTAGGACTACGTTGCCACCAGGATGAGCGTCCAAGAAATCTGTGAGGTTGTAGACTTTGTGGTCGACAATGCACCACAACGAGTCTTCGGTATTGTTCTTTGCGACTTCCTCGCGCGAGAAAGTGCCTGAAGAGATTGCACCAGGCATGGTCGAGAGCAGCAGAAGTGCCTTGTTATTACAACACAAAGAGCAAAAAAGAATAAAAAACGCAGCAAGTCACGTCTATGAAGAAAAGGGAAAGTATTTGGCGCTCAAGAAGATGGTTGTGCTGACCGGCTAACACCCCGCATAAACAGTCGTGTCTCAATCGTGCCTCGGCTCGCACGCTGGAAGACGCGATCGGCGAGCATCGTATCTAGTCAGTTCTGTTGACATCGATAACCATCGCAATAATATCAACATTCTGAACCTCGAAATCACAAATACCAAACAATATTCGGCTGCAAAATCCGCATCAATCCACCCTTCCTTCTGCTTTCTTGTCAGTTCAATATCTGGTGATCTGTTACTAGATTCGAGGCTCAGCATCGTGGCAGAAAAAAGCACCACCCTCCTGGTAGACAAGGCAGTCGACTTCACCTTGCGTTCTGAGAACGGCCTCGGTGACCTGCGGTACTTCCCGAGAAAGATACGGAACATCATCTGCAGCTCACTCTCGTCCCGGATCATGTCGCACGGCTTTCAACACAAGAAAATCGACCGCTTCCTGGTACATGAACTGGTAGATGCTCCAGGTCTGGCCGCAAGCAAGCAATTATGTACCAAGCTCTGTGAGACTTTCATGAGAGAGGTTCATTTGGAAGAAAATGATAATCTTAACGAAGACCTTAGAAACGATGGCACCTACTCCTGAATTCGTACAGCAGATGTCCTCCTGGTGGCACAGGCGGACGGGGTCAAGCGAATGATAGCTGGAACTCCTAACTCTGTGGCTTTTCCTCCGCCCACCATGTGATGGTAACAAGCTGGATCAAATTAAACACTTGCAGCCACTGAATGAGCGGAGACGTGGTCATCGATTCTATGGCTGAGCTTGTTCATTTCCAGCCAAGGAAGCCTACTAGCCAAAGGGGCTTCAAAGACCTACGAGAAACCATGGTTATTCTTATTCGTTGACACTGACGCGTGGCTAGATAGGTATACCCCTACCACTCCCATAAGCCATCCAGTATGCAGTATGCAGTGTTCGATGTAACTCTCTCACCCACGAGGGCTTTTGGAACGAGACCCCCTTCTCTTTCTTGTTGGGCTTGGGCACTGCCGGGAATATGAGGATATCTGTGTAGACGTGATCTCGTGGCCGAAATGCAGTACATCTACGAATAGTTTTGAGACGCAGGCGACGGGGCTAAACACTTAATGTGAGTGCAGATCGGAACACCTTCGGCGGACAAGATTCATGGAATCTAGAGTGGAAGTTTGTCGCCGTGATAATCACGAGAGTGTGCGCAGTCAAGACCGGAGCAAAGAGGCATGGCTGATATGTACTGACCCTGCTCGTCGGCCAAAACTCAAGGACTTAAGAGATTCGAAAACCAGTGTGTTGAATGAAGACTCTGGCTCGTGGAGCGACAGCTCTTGAACTTTGTCTGCGAGGAACTGGCGTCTTGAGTGTGGGTGAACACCCTCAAGGATCTGCAAAGCCGTCCGACATGGTCTTACCCACAGTTGATCGATGGCGTATGCATACTAGATGCAATTCACTCGTGCTTTTCGCGATTAATTCATACAAGGGGTTGATTTGATTAAATTTGATTTGATTTGGTTTTCTCAAGCTATTTACCCTGTAAGGAGTATAAGCAGTCGCTAATCAATTCCCATTTTGACCAATATCTAGCCGTCGAATTTAGTAGGAAGGAGGGCACTTCCCCAGGTTCCTAACAAGTGCGTCGCTAAGGCTTGCATCCTTTACTAAGGTTTTACTAGCACAAGACTACGACCTTCCTTTTATAGCTTTCCGATTGTAAACATCATTATAGGATTACATAAGATAGCATTTTAATAGGTTAAAATTATCTTATAATTATTAGCCTACTTATATCACTAAGTGCTATATAATAGCTACGAGTATTAGTATAGCCGTGTTTACTACTATATAGCTAGAGCATAGACCACTATAATATTATTCTCTATACTTAACTATTACTCTTATAGTCTTTAGAAGTCCTTTTAACTATACTAAATAACCTTACTCTTATATCTTCTTACTACTATAATCCCTACTATAGTATCCTTTTCTAGTACTACCCTAATATATAATAAGGTCTAAGTAGTAATAAAAAAGCTTCTTACTATAGAAAAGTAAAAAAACTACTATAAAATTCTAGATTCTATAATATCTAGACTTAAATATAACAAACTTTTTAGAATTAATACTTCTAAAAAGCTAATTATTACCGAATTATATAGAAGATAGGCTACTCTATTAGATAATCCTAATAATCTCAGGGTTTTTAGGGTTAGGGTTAGGGTTTAGGGTTAGGGTTAGGGTTTGCAGAACTTCGATACAATACTATATAAGCTATATTATGCTCCTAAACTTAGAAACCTAGGTGCGGTAAGGAAACAGGTGGTCTACCTTCTTTAGATCGTGTAGTGTTAGTTAATCCCGTATCCCATCCAGTTCCGGGCTCGGAGTCGGACAAGTAAAGTAGAGATGTACTTGTCTAGCCATTCAGCTATACTAGGAGAGAAGGACTGTTGCAGCTCCTTATAGGTCTGCGAGGTCTCCTTT